GCTCTTTGAAGTAAACTTCAGTCTTTAAAGGACTAAGTGCTTTATCTGGAATCCAGTACCCAATTACAAGCCAAGTCTAAGCTGCTTCATTCCTCCCAACAAATAGGTTTTTAATTCTCAAAGATGTCAATGCCATGATGCTTCAATGCATACTTCATAATTACTCCCTATAAATTACAACAGATTTCTGCAACACAGTAGAGATACAAGTACAAATTTACAATTTGTTCTTTCATAAATCTTTTATATTATTACCACTCAAATGGATAATTGGTTTTGACATTTAAAAAGAATGCTGTTATTATTAGAATTCTACTCCAAAAGCACTACCTACTAGAAAACAGACCACTACTTTAAATGTTTTGAAAACCTAATAAGCATGTATTAACTTTTTTCAATAGAAAATAATAGATTTCCTGAGATAACAATTTCATCCTCTCATTCCAACACTAAGATGACAAATCAGAGGAAAGAAGTGTGGCAAAATAATAAGCTGGGATGGTGGTATTTTGTTTTTTTGAAGATAGTCATCTGAAGCCTTGTATGGACAAAATTTGTTCTTTCTCACAAGGTAAGATGCTTTAAGGGCTTTAGAGAAAGAAGAACTTACATTAGTATTGTTCTCCATGAGCCACTAGCCTGGTCTAGGATGAGAACTAGTCTAGTTCTCACTATTCTGCTTCCCCCTTGCCCAGGAAGGACCCAACATCCACTTACACTCAAACCAAGGTCAAGAAACAGTCCTGGGTACCCACTGTCTTTGACCAAAAACCTCTTGAGCTGCAGAGAACAGCACTGAATCATGACTGAACCATTTTAAAAGTTACTAACTGCTTTTTAAAGGTGCAATACCCATACACGAGATTCTTTCTGACTCCAGTGAAGAAGAACAAAATGAAGACTGTTTGATGTCCCATGTGAGACTAGAGACTGAACAAGAGAAAAAAGCCTCTTGCCTTTTTTCCATTATTCCTTTCTACCAAATCCAGAAGGTCACCACACACAGTTGGGGCTGAAACCCTCACTTCTAACTCAGGAACATTCAGTCACCAACTTCTGAGTTGCTTCAGTTCAGTAAGTGTGATTAAAATAGTTCCCTCAAAACACGTGTGTGACATTGCACTTGACACCCTCCAAACACAGACTGGGTCTGTTTTCCTGAACTATTACTAACTGTCAAACTTACCACTTATCTTGACAAAATACCAGAGTGCATTCTGACCCTACTGACATACAATAAAGCAGTGGTTGGGCTTCACTGGTGCTAAGAGAAGCTGGTGTTGAAAGGGCTGTGGCAGAAGAACCAGTACTACTCCATGACCATTTAATTGATTTCTTAACACAGAACTATTTTAAAGCAGGTGCACAAGACTGAAACAAGTAAATTTCTGGTAAGTGAAGACTGACAAGTGGGAACAAACCAGAGCAAACTTCTGCTGTTAGTTCTGAGAGAATTGTTTTTTTTACCAAGGGTATTCTGAATCAGTAACCAAGTTACAAAATCAGGAAAAAAACCCCAGACAATACCAAAAGGCACTGAAGTTCTTCAGTCAGAGGGAAAACAAGACATAGGCACATAGTTGAAGTCTCAAAATAATCATGCCAATACCAAAATGAAACACATGAAAGAGGTGTGAAGAACAGAAAGAAATCTGTAACTTATGTTGCTACAGACGATCAGAGTTCTTCCTCTTTTTTTCAACAGAAGAGTAAAAAAATGCTTTGAATCCTAGCTCAAACTGGCCATGCCCATCACTGTGGACTCAAGGGCATCAACACATCAATCTGTATCATAAAAAATAGGGTAACAGCTCTCACAAAGAAGACAGTAGCTCTGCCTAGTTCTCTGGAGACAGAAAAAAAAGGAAAACCCCAAAACAACACAAAACCTGAAGGAAGCAGGAAGGAGCGGGGATATCCACTTCTCACTTACGCAAAGCAAACCAGTTCATCCTAATGTGCACATACTGTTCCATCTCCCAACAGACAGAGCCTTGTTTGCTGTTCTGCAATTTGACTGAAAAAGCGTGAGATCTCATAAAAGGAGGTCTGTGGAGGTTGTCAGAGAAAACCACAACACATCACCTACAGGATGCACATGTTACTACATTTCAAGTAGTTTCCTGTGTCTTAAGGGAATGCAAAGCAACTATAAGGGAAAACCATCTTCATGTGCCGATGTTATGAATGATCGTTTGGATTTCATGATGGCATTTTAACCTAAACATATTTTAAGTCTAGACAGCTCTTTACAGTTTTTCTTCCATTTTCTCCTTCAAATATTCCTTTACATTCTGCTTTAACTTGCATTCTTCTTCAGAGCATTTGCTCTCTATAAGGGTAAACAATATCTGACGCAAAACATGCTATTTTAAGGAAAAAAAAACATAGCATATAGAATAATCTTAAACTGTATGAAAAATTATACAGATCTGTGAAAATTCATGGGGAAAATAAAAATTTATACCATGGTTAAAAATACATGTTCCTTTTGTAAATGTGATGTTATGGGTATTCCACATTATTCACAGCAGTAGCATATAGAAGGATAATGAACACCTAAGGATCAAGGCTGTAAATCATTGAATTATACCACTGAGTTTTTACAAGACAGCCTGACAACTTCCTCTTGGAGTATGAATACCTTTAAAATATGACATATGTTTGTATTGGTTAAGGTCTATTCCTGTGCAATACAAATGCTCAAACACCAGTGGTAATGAACAGAATGGCGTCTAATTAACAGAATTTGTTCTGCTTTTCAAATACGACATAAATCACATAAATCAAGTTACTAAGGAATTGCCAAAGTCTTACTAAGTGCTTGAAAGTTCACCTAGACGAACCTAACAGATTTAAATTTAGGCCATTTTTGTATGTGTCCGAACCCAAATGCTATGTAACCATGTAATGTTTACACTGAAACAGGTGGTTTTACTACTGACTTGTATAAAATGTACTCCTAAATTGATGCTGTTTTTCAGAAAATGCAAAATATCTCCCCACCTTTCAAATACCAATTATTGCAGGTAAATCAAGGCCTTTTCAAATCAACCTGTATTACTTCACTAGTGAGAAATCTCATGAAGTTTTCTCTTCATACTGGAAATGCACTGTCACTATAAGGAATTCATTTGTAAATACCACCTTCCAGCCAACATAGATGAAGTCCTGTAACTGAGGAATATTAAGCCTGACAACCTTTCTTTCTTCCTAAACAGCAGCTCTTTGCTAGCACTGACAACTTCAGCAGCTACTGTCCTACCCCTCTTATTGTGCTAGAGATTTATTTTTGGCTGGGTCTGCTTTCCAAACCAGCTCATGGCATGTGCATGCAGACATGCACACCAATACAGCAGAAGGATGGGAAGGGACAAATGGCTCCAATCAAGGACCATAGCAAACACTGGATCTGAATCACGGGGTGTAGGATGTGTTGCTCCCCCTGGACTGCATGCACAGGGAACCCAGAGAGATTTGTTTCCCTGGGTTCACCTTAGCCACTGAAGCACCAACTGCATCACAAAGCAGACCAATACCAGACATCAACCATGGCAATAACCAGGCCAAAATAATACTCTGAATCTTGTGCTGCTCTCTGTGGATACATCTTATTTAGCTGGCTATTTGCAGTGGAGCTGCTGAATTTAGTTTACTGGCACTATTTACACTTGATAGTATTGCAAGAAATTCTCCTGTTGGCTTTGACTCTTTATATGGCTGTCCTGCTGAGGTGACAGATTCCTACCCTCCAAATGCATCATTAATCAATAAAGATGCACTTTGCACAATTTCACAAAGGAAATGGTTTGATTTTTAACATTAGAGGGTTAATATTGTACAATGACTCAAAAATTTGGTTATTGTGACGTGCTCTCAGCAATGTGAATGGTTCAGAATACACTGGTGAAAGTCTCACCATCCTTGTATCTCTGAATGGATCTAAATGAATACGGGAATACACTCAAGATACATATGCAGAAAACAATTCCAGAACAACTGAAGCTGCAGCAGCCTTTTCAGAATAAGAGAAGAGCTTAAAATGAAGGACCACATAGACATATTAAAATCCATTTTAAGGAAGTAATGCTAGAAAGATTTAACCTAATTACTTAATTCTTGTAGAGACAAACAATTCTACTGAGGCAATATTACTTTCAGGATAAAGAGCAATTCATGCCCAAGAACCATGCAACTCATGGTACTTCAAGACCATTCAAATAACATTCAAATAACGCACATATAAAAAATACACAGTTTTGTCCATTATTGAGAATCTAACAAATGTACTGCGATACTTTAGAAAAATGAGAAACAAAGTGTAATGTGTAAGTAAATTAATTATAAAATGGAAATATTCAAAGCAATGATTTTACCCTCTTTTGCTTTCTCACAAAAAGATTATTAAGAACTGAATTTCACACAATGCCTTGTAATTTCTAAAATATGCTGTCCTGGAAAGTGATCAAGATTTCTAGTTCCATTCCTACTGTTTCAATTGAGTGCAATGAATTATGTTTTGATTTTTCATATGCATAAGCTTTTTGTACTTTTCAATTCTGAACTGCTTGATAGTTTAAGCATTTTTAAAACCATGAGTTTTCCAATGTATATAAAATGTGGCTGCCTTTCTATCAAGAAGCTTCGCTGTACCAATGAAAACACACAGCACTGGTAGCCTTCCTAGCTTAAAGTGACTGAATAAAAAAAATCTGGAACACAGCTACTTGCAGGGGTTATTAAAATTGTGGCTTTTTATCTGAAGAGATTGGGAAGAAGAGCAGACCTCACAGAGCTCCCCCCACCCCTGCTTTTCCAATAGGGCAGGCAAAATATACCCCTCTGATTTACCTAGAAAAACATTGTGGTTTTCTTCCTATGAAATCACGACAGGAATATTTTTCTGCAAGCCTGTGTTTTCACTAATTGCACACTAGCCTGCATTCTTTGGGTGGCGAATAAAAAGGGAAAGTGTTAGAAGTAGCATTTCCCATAGAAACAATTGCCTGTCAAACAAAGCATAAAGAGACAAAAGGCAGAAACACTGTTTCAGCTTGAATGCCTTAATGTCACCATTTGTCATGCAGCAGTTCTTCAGCAAACCCCGAAGTACAGTTAACTCTACTCCTCCTTACACTGCACACTTTCTCCTGCGTTGGTACTACAGGATTAAAATGTGCAGGGCCTGACAATGAAACAGCAGAGCCATCGCACATTGTTATGCAACTCACTGTCTGCAAGGGTGGTTTGTAGCTCCTTCTTTATTCAGCAAGTGCCAACTGCATGTTTAATCAATGTCACAGCTCACCACAGTGTGCAACTAAAGCCACTGTCATTCCTCTCTTCAGATTTGCCTGGCTAAGTTATGCAATGCTCCGAAGAATACCTTGGAATTCTTTCCGGAGGCTCTGAATGCAGGTGTGTGGCAGCGTTCACACAACTGCCAGTGAAGCAGACTTCTTTTCATCCTTTTTCAGACTGGACTAAAATTACATAGTGTGACTGCTCGCAGTTCGCTGCATTTGGAATTACAGCGTGTCAACGTGAGAAAGCCTCTTCAGACGGCTGCCACAGAGTAAATCAAAGGCTGGCTTTTTCTGAAGTCTTAATAAATAACTAAGTACAACTGAACAAACCCAGCAGCTGTTTGGGGTTTTTTTTTGTGGGGTTTGATTTTTTTCTCCCCAAAACAAAACCGAACAGCATGCATCAAACTGCTCTGCATCATCTAAGGAAAAAAAAAAATCCTCAGTTATAGTAAGAATTAGTCAACAGTGAGGATCATTACCAGAAAGGGGTTTACTGTTTTTCGACTACACTTGCTTTAGTGGATTACCGAGAGAGAAGGCCAGTCATTTGGAAGATTCTATAACATTATTATCCTCACCGATAAACTTCATCAAGGAACTGTTCATGCTCCTGTCTGGTCTGTCTGCGTGAGGAGAGCAGCCTCTTCATGAAGATAAAAGCCTGGTTTGCCACTGAATCAACGAGTAAGAAGCATGTCTGATGACATTTTATTCCTGATGCAATGTAGGGTAAGAAACATCTTTGGTTTTTTTACCTTTCTGTGAGATATTATCTGAGCTGATGACTTTAATTTAGACTCATAGCAGAAATACATTTATCTCTAATGATTACAGATGCTTGCCAGGAGAGAAAAATGCTATTACAGTATAAAATATGATTGCCAATGTTCAGTAAATTGCGGGTTATCTGAACTAGTAGAAATCACAATCAAATTTTAGTTTAAGGCTAGACATTTCTGATCAATAGGGCTAAACCAGCATAGCAGATTACATGTAAGATCAACTTCTCAGCCACTCAGCCAATGAACATAATTTTAGAGGAAAGATGTTTTTACACGAAATTTGACCGTAAATTAAGAGTACAAGAGCAATTAATAAAGATGACCTGTAAACCTCACTTCTGCAACAGAAAAGGTAATAAATCATACACGCATCTAAATATCTGAAGTCTTCTTATACTGCATAAAATTTTACTACTATGAAAGTACTGCTGTCCTTTGGCATACTGCAATAATAAGCATATATAATCACAACAACAGCAACCTTTATATTTGAAGAGACAGACATTTTCTGTTAAATGTTTACTGTTGCATGGATGTCCAAAAGCTGATTCATTAAACAAATAAAAGGATAAGATCTCACTCACAACTGCCTACTTAGGGTTCACTGATCAAAAAAGACTGTGATACTGTGTTAAGGAGGCTATTTTCACGTTCAAAGACAGCAGATGTGAATATTTTCAACTGGTTTTGTACTGTGATAGTTAAATATTTAACAGCTGAAAATTCACATAATCTCCCCAGGCATTTCCGGGTATCTGACAATGCTCACATACCTGCCTTCATCAATTCCCTGTTTTATAAGGAAATACATTAGCTGGCTAAAGACAAATTCTGTATTTCTTTCATAGTAAATCATATTAATTGGGCTTGAAGCATCAAGCTGTTTTTCACTCCTATCAAATCTACAGAACAATTAATTTTAACATGGACACATACATACAAAAAACAAAACAAAAGATGAATACAACTCAATAAACCGAGCATCAGGAAATACTGTGTACAGAAGTACAGAATTGCTTTTAAAAAGACCAAGCTCGCATGTTTGTCAGACCAGATATATCATTTGCTTTCTTTCTTCTAGCTAGCTGCCAGAATACTGGTGAAGGTATTTGCAGGAAAAATGGGGACCTCTGCCATCACAACGCTGGAAGATGTAAAAAGGCAAGAAGAGAAAGAGGAAAAAGAAGAATCTATTTTAGCCCTGCTTGGGATTATTGGAACTGTGCTCAATTTATTTGTTATTGTTTTTGTGTACATCTACACCACACTTTGATGACATTTTTGAACATCAATTGCACAGCACACGTGCAAAGACCAGCGATGGTAAGAATGAATTTTAAATATTTAAAACAAAACCCCACCACTGTCTGAAAAGATTATCAAAACCATTCCAGAGCAAAGTGTGTGTCTAAGGGCGCTGCTTCAGTGACTGCTACACGCATCTGCGAGCCCAGCTAGGGTGCTAAATTACGTAAATGAAGGCAGATGATATTCAACTTCTCATTGATAACAGATGAAATCCAAATAACAGAAACAGAGATGGAACTGTTTGATTGTCAGCAAACAAGCAAGAAATGTAAGCACTGAAAGCAATGAAAACATAGAAAGAGATGAATCAAATATATAAGTACAAATAAGCAAGCCCCATGATGCTTTCTATGGTTTTGTGCAACATGTCTCTTCATAGCTGAGACCAGAAAATGGACAAAAAGGTTTTCTTTTTAGATTACTATAATTTTGGCTCATAATTTACACTGATGTATAATAAGTGTGGAAACAAGAATACTGTTACACCAAAAACTGTAATATTACAAATAAAATTTTAACTATTGACTATATTCCATAGCATTTTTATTAGTCTTGTGGAAAGCTAAAGGTTAGATTTTCTTGTCTTTCCCGAATCTGTATTTGAAACCATCATGCTATATTGACAATGTGCTTTCCTAATTAAAAATCCTTTAAAGTGCTGTGAAAAAATAAAGAATAGTTTCAGTACTTCTCTTAAGAAATATTAATAATTACAATGGCACACCAATACATATTCTCCATATGAAAAAATCATAAATTACATTTTTTATATTGCCATTTTTAGAATGTGTTTAACATAAGTACAAAAACCCCCACTTTCACGTTTTCATCCTAATGCTAATATTCAAGTGAAATAAAACATATCGCACAAGGATTCATGGTACTGTATGGGGAACAGGTTTAATCATCTCTGCCCAGAAGAGTGTACTCTCTGTTTCTGGACCAAGTTCTGAAGAGATTTTTCCCTTTTTGTACCATTTATGACTGAGGTCCAGAATTGCAGCTCTTATGCATGTTCCATCTACTGAAACTGATGAAACTGTTTCTACCTTTTAAATTACATCTATGTATGTCTTTGAATTGGATCCAGACTGCAGTCTGAGATCATAGAAGATTTCTGTATATATTATTACGTCTTGCATATATCTTCTAAAAGAAAAGCTACTTTTGGGATCTTAGGATTAAAAACAGAGTAAAAGAAAAAAAAAATCAACACACACAGAGAGCAAAAATAAAATAAAATAAACCAAACCAAAAAGGAAACACTGAATTTATTAAATACCCTTCTAAGTATTACACGTGCCACAGAGGAACAATGGAGGAGCTGCATTTCTGAAAAATCATTTCAGTTCCTTCTCCTAGACTGCAAAGCTACATCCAGCCCTTCCATAAATTGATAAAGCAGAGCAATACATCCCTTGTATAGGTGATAGCTTATTACTGTATACAACCTCATTACTGCTAAACCAACTGAGCCTTTGGAAGTCACTATGAAACAAACACATGCATAAAGTAAGATCAGGGAGCCTGAACAGAATGAATTTGGCAATGGGATTTCCATCAGCTGCAGAAACTACTCTGTAATACTGATTTAAGGATGAATGAGGTAGACAATGGTATATTCTGGTTCTGTACTCTGAACCAATACTGGCTCAACCAGAAGAACTGATAAACAGAGCTGAGGCTGCGCTGGAAGGAAGAGTGTGCAGACAAAATTTATTCACTGTCTACAGTCTACAGAAGTCTCTGGTGTTCTATACTTACTTTTAGCACATGAACCACCAAAGCATTCTATAAAACTAAGCTACATTCTACAGGAATTATGCAGGTTATTCATCTTTATTTAAGACTACAGAATAGAGTCAATACATTATTAAATTTTTCAATGCACTTCATATCAACATACTTATGGATATTATTGCATTAATCTCATAATACAAGGATATTTGAGATGGGTCTTAAAATGAGAGGTTACAAGAACCTGAAAACTAAACAGAAATATGAAATTCAGGTAGAAATGACTGCTGTTTTGATCCTGAAGTTATTTAAAACTTGTCAATTCTGTGAAATAAATAAACAGTTTTATTTCATGTCATTTCAATGCATAGCTCTCTTCTCAAAATTGTGAATCAACTAGTACATCAGCACTGGAGTGAGACACTGCACCTTTTTTTGCAAACACTTCAACAGTAAAACAGATAAAAAGCAAACCCAAAGTTTTAGCCAAATGTGGCAAAGGTTCAGCATCATTCCTTCTTCCTATGAATGAGTTCATTAACATTAATGAAAAACAGTGGAATTTTTAATTTCAGTAATTATATACTGTCTATCTAAAATGCCACTGTACTTTTAATTTCACTTACAGTAAAAGGCTTTGACCCTCTAAGGGAAGTCAAAGGGTAATAGTACCATTAGAGATTGCCCTGGCATACGAGCTATATTTTGTTTTAAAACAGAAGTCTAATGTCCTCCCTTAACAAGGTAATACTTGTCCTCTATTACACTCATGCAGACCTAAGTCTTACCTTAGCTAAATGAGCTCAGTATACAGCTCTGGTGCTTAAACATTTAACCCAATATATGCATAAGAATCTCAACAACACAGAATCATAGAATAGTTAGGGCTGGAAAGGACCTTAAGACCATCTAGTTCCAACACTCCTGCCATTGGCAAGGATGCCCCACACTAGATGATGTTGCCCAAGACATAAATTATCATAACAGCAACTACCTCTTATTAAACATAGTAAAAAGCCAGTAGTCTATGGAAAAGCAGAATTTCATGATGATTCAACCTTTTCATCACAGTAGTACCTTTACACCTTCAGCAATGAATAAAGATGTAGTACACCCTCAGCTGAATGAGCTCAGTGTACCAACTTCAGACAGCTGTAAGGGGACACAAACTTCCCAAACTACTCAGCCTACTCAGTCCAGTGGAACTGGACTATTTTGCAAACAGTAGAGCAACACCATATAATGCCTTCAAAATAAGTATGACTAGTAGGAAAGAAATGCCATACTTCATTAGGCCATCTAGTGTAGTTTAAGCTCTGAGGTAAGGAGGCAAGGCCTGAAAAGTATGACTACAATGGACTAACTAACAAAGGTATATCAAAAGAGGCAGAAAAAAAGAATTCAGTGTGTTCAGCTTCAACAGATTTGTCCACAGAACTTACTAAATGAAGTTCACAATGAGGTATTGGACAGCAGGATAAAGCAGCACAACTGCTACTGAATCCACAAGTCCAGAGTGTGATAGTACTTGGTAAACTATGAAAGGTTCATGAAAAGCAATACTGGACTCTTACAAAGTAGAACATGCTGGTCAGTACACACAATCCTTTTAGTAAAACTCTCACATAGAAATGCGTCATCTCTTCTCAGCAGTCAAACCCAAGGAAGACTGAGCTAATCTAACAACATGCACTACGCTGACAGCATCACATGGAAACTTTGTCCACCAAAGAAGGAAGGTTTTCTAAGAGAGGAGTATGCAATAAAACCCCAGCTAAAATCACAGTATTGCCTGCTTCTTGTAGGCCTCGGAATTCAACCAGAGAGAATTCTGCAACTTGCAATGAGGTCTGTCTTCCAAGGAACAGGTGGTATAAAACCTCTTGCACTCTTCAGCTTTAAATAAGATTAAGTCATCTCAGGGTTTCCTAGATACTAGTTTATGGACAAACTAGTACAAGTATATTTTTAAGCATGAACATTCTACCTAATATTGTGGTATCACTGATAAATCCCAACTTCACTGTGCTTTTTATTGTCCAAACCCATAACAAAATAGACAGTCCCTGTCCTGGAAGTCACTTGATTTTCCTTCTGTTTCATGATTTCCTTCCACTGCCTTCTCTCTGTAAACCTCATTAACTACTGCCTTCTCCTTTCCCACTTGTAAATACTAGCTTTTATTAGTCTTCATAAATCTAGCTCCACCAGTCAAGTAGCTCTTACTTAACAAAATCTAGGCCTTCAAGACAGCCATGTACTTGAGTTAGAATCTGACAGTCACACATTTGCTGGGAACCTCTTGTTGCACACTGTAATTTTATTGTTGTGCATTTTGTTCACAGAGAGAAGTGTTCACATTTAGAAGAGTTCTACAGCACTAACTCTTTCAAATGAAATGTCCTATATATAAAATACAAAAGTGAAAAGATTTGACATGACAACCTTTGGTGTCAAGTGGGTGTAAATATCATAACAAATACATGCCAGATGTTCCACAATATAGAAGAACGACATCAATGCTATAAAGGTAAATGTGAATTAAGTCCTTAGGAATAAACACAAGTGTAATAATAATAATAAAAAAAACCAACAACTCATCATGTTTAAGATAAACTTATGGCCTTTCATTTTACAAAGGAAAAAAAAAGCCACAGTGATGCCATAACAAGATACAAAACAAACACAGGAAAAAATGATCAAGAAACAAGATGAAGCAGCTATTGCTCCTTGTGACTAGAGCTATCTTGCATAATAAGCAAAGTCCTTCATAGACAGCTAAACCTAAAAAAAGCAGTTATAGAACTTAATGGAAGTGGTCAGTTCACAGCTTTCAAGGACTCCACAATCACCTTGCTCTGATGCAGATGAAGCTGCAGAATGTGTCAGAGCAATCTTGTTTGTAATGATCTGCTTCAAGGTGAGGAGATTTCCAAAAGATTAAATGTTATGTGAGGACTCCTTACATGATCAGTATTCCTTTTACCTAGAAAAATCTAGATAGCAATCTAGTGCATGTACATTTTGGGTAAATTACACAGGGATGGTGAAACATATTTAAACAACAAAAAGCTAGATAAATTTTTAACTGTGACATGGGCCAATTATATATAATGATATTGGAACTGTTCATGAATTTTGCCAAGCCAACTTTGCAAGCTGGATGTATCACACCTGTACCTAACTGAGCATCTGTACACAAAATATGAAATTCTCATCAATACCAAAATGCTCACTATCTTGTATCACCACAGTGGCATCAGCCACTTGTTTGCAACAAACACAAACAGCCTATCTGCAGCTTCACTGCACATATTTCTTTTACAGAAAAAGTCTCCCACATCATTTTATGCATATGACAGAAACGTGTGTGTGTGTGTGTGTGTGTAGATCACTGTTACTGCAACTACTGACAGCAAAATCTAAACTTGAGTGAAGTACCTCCAAAGCATAAGGGTAGCCTTTAACTGGTCCCACCAGCACCCATTCAGGTCTGAGAAAGCTAGAGAGTTGTTGAAAACTGCTATTTTCCGTCAGCGCTGTGCCCAGCACAGCTTGTTCCTGCTGGGGTGCCAGAACCCGGGAACACTCTATTGGCATTCCTTATGCAGTGTCCTAATTCCACAGTCCAGCATGTTACAGGAAGAAGATAGTTACCCACTTCTTCCCCCTGAAAGTACCTTTTGGCAGCAGAGGGTACACTGGTCTCAAAATTAGAATACCATGTATGCGAGCGTTACTACTAATCCTGTTTCCTTTCCTACACTCCCTGGGTAAGCATTCAGCCCTGTTGAAGAAGAGATACTCAAGATAGAGAAGCCTGAAATTAGACCAGGTCTAACAGAAAAGACTCAAATCTGTTCTACTGCTTCAACAATTTAAATGTTTCAACCATAAACAGATTAAATGAATTTTTCAATCTTATGACCATTGTACCAGAACTTAACAGAGCTCCAGAGCTTCTCAACCTGTGTCTCTCTTCTGACAGACAGCATCTGTTAGCTATGTTTCTGGATACTCTGCTAGTGGCACTGAAAGCCCCAGCATCACCTGCAGCACACACTCAGTAATGTGAGAAGTATTTCTCTGCTTTTGAACGAAAACAGTAATTATTGCATTGGAATTATGCATGGCTATCACTGAGACAAACTGCTTTCAGGGACTCAGTTCAAACTGAATGCATCTGACTCAAACATTCATGAAAAGGAGATATTCTTTCCATAAGTCATCCTCCCTCTCACACTGATAGCCTATTACGTTTTCAAAGGCAAGCTTGACTGATATAAGCCTGCAAAGTTATTATTATTTTTTTTAAATCCAGAAGAACATTGTTAATTATAGCTGTATGCATTGACTTCTGAACAAATACATCAGGAAACATTCAAGACTACCGCTTGGATCAAACAAAGAAAAACCACCTTCAGATTTTACAGTTCTAAATTCCAACAGAAATAATCTCTTGCTTTGTGAATTTGTAATGAGAAGAGAATTTAAAAGCTTTTTGCTGAAAAGCAAGGATTTGCTTTTCTTTAAGGTAGTTTAGCTGCTACACTAAGAGGTACACATCCATTTATGAAAAAGCAGGAAGCATCTCCCTTGTTTACTCTTTTTTAATTGTCAATTCACAAGCACAACATTTCAGCATCTCTTGCCAACCACAAATAACAGTAATACAGCACTGGAAAACATACCTAAAGCAAACATTTGCCACTGAAAATTTGCCTTTCCTTTGTACTTTGGCAAAACAAATGGTCTCCGAAAGCCAAACTTGTCTGAACTTGTCACTACCAGCCACATATCTCATCTCTTCTATCAGTATCTGACTGTTCTTTCTCAGTTAAAGGTGACTTACACAGACAGATACTTTTTTTTCTACCGAAAACAGCAAAAAGCAATTTCAACAGCCGTGATTCATCTGTAGCTCAGAACCAACAGCTTCATCCTTCAGATAATAAAGCATTTTTTTGCCAGGTCTTTCAATGACTTTTCCTTCTTTACCTCAACAAAGAAGTATTTACGAGTATCTGTTTGAAAGATTACTTCATTGGTTTACACATTTTTGTTTATGATAATGAGCCTGGACTATAAGTTCATACACAGCTACATATTTCATTTTCCTCACTGTAATATATGCAAAGTAGAAGCAAGAAATTAATTGCAGAATTAGGGAGAGATGTCATGCTGAAGACCAGCAAATGAAACCTCTTCTTATTTTTATTTTTACTACAAGGCCCCAGCAGACTTTTTAGACTACTTCAATTCCATCATACAAGATTATGTAATGCCCTAGCTACTACAGATTAAGAGAGCTACGTTCTTGCTTTAGTCCTATATAGCTTTGTAAATACTCAAGACATGGATGATTTCTGTTTTACCTTGGAGATAAAGTATACTGTGTAATTCAAAAAGAAGCTATAAGAATTTCACATCATCAAACCCTACAACTGACATCCAAATCTGAGAACTGCAGTAATGTGATAAGACATTTTACCAGTTATAGGGCAGGAAAAATAAGGTTCAAACCCAAATTATTCAGATTTGGAGCAACTCCTTCTGATACTTAAGGATTAAATCAATCTTTACAAACTAAGCAACTGACCAAAATCCAACCTAAGGCTCAGGCAGTGTTCAAGAACTTTAGGCTGACAGTTACCTGAAGAAAAAATGCTTATCAATAATCTTCCCACTAAAGCCTGTCATGTAGTGAGACTGACCTCAAATCACACACCCAATCTGCTGGTTTTGCCATGAGCTCCACATGGGCATTTGCTTAACTCATACTGCTTGATGCTGTCGTGTACACTGAAATGGCTTCCACACTAAGGTGCGACATACTGGATGAAAACGATCAAAACATCTTTGCTTTAAAATTATGAGTAGAACTGTGATGACAACATAACTCATTTGTTTTCCCTTTAAAAAACACACCAAACAATACTTTGCAGCTTTGATAAAAGGCTTATTTATGTATTTCCTAATCAAACAAGAAAGAGCTTTCATCAAAATAAAAGAGAATTCCCCTAATACTACAACTTCAGGCATATACTTGCTCATTTTTCTTACAGAATTATAATTCTTCTTCACAATAAGATTCGTGGTCTTGTATAAAGTACTCTCCATATATCTTCTGTAGAACAATTAAAATGTAAACTTTTCAGATAGAAATACCATCTTCCTGTTAGTTTCAACCGTTTAAGAATTTAAATTTTAAAAGACATTAAAACAATAAAGTTTGAACTTTCACAACAAATGAGTGTTTTAACAAACACTATCATTTCATTTGCCAAGGCTCAAGTGAATGTTCCATGAGTACAATTCTAAATTGGCAAGTATTCCAAAAGAGCCAGAACTACTTATTGTTCATATAATAGCTTATTTGACAGAATTAAGCTAACTTTGATTAGAAGGAGACAATGGCACACTACCTGAATCGTTGCGGAGATAGGATGACATGGCTGGGATAAGGCAAGACTGACTGAGTAGCTCTAGGAGAACGGATGGAAGAGCAGTGCTGTTTTGTCCTCTACCCTCATGGCTAGTTTGAGTGTCCCCATTTGATGTACTCCCTGCAGGGTTTATGTAACTGGCAAGAACCTGAAATACACAAAAATATGTCATCAAAACTTACCTATTTTAAGCAAACCAACTTCCTTCCCTTAAGGAGGATGCCACAATACTTTAGCAGCTATTTTGCCAATTCGGAACTGGTATTTAGTTCAGCAGTCCCAAAGATGTCTCAGAAGAAATTCTATGCAGTTATTAGATCATGATTACAACTTTTGCTAATGATAAAATTAAATAAATATCATAATTCTGAATTACCTTAGAAGTCAAGTAATATGAATTCTGACAAACCTGCTGGAGTTACTCAAAGCAGGAGTTTGCAGGCTCACACTGAGACATGTAGCTGATGAGTCCTATTCACTTTAGAACACCAACTACCAACTAAAGATGTGTGTTTTGCTGGTGGTGACTTTTTTTTTACTGCAAATGTTTCAGAAACATTTGTAACTTCCTTTTGGATGGAACTTCAGGGTTTACAGACAAAATGACAAGTTACAGTGAGCATGACAGTTATTTGGAACAACCACTTGTGAGCATGGCTCTTGCTAAAGTGAACAAAGAGCAACCTTCCCCACAGTGAAGGTGGGAGTAACCTCACGCTGCACACCTGTGCTCCTCCCTTCACAGGTCCTGACCATGTGCTGTACAGCCTAATGTACTCCCATGGGACTGTTTTGTGCAGTTTTACTTTAAAACCAAGTAGGCTTGAAAGGCTGTATTATCTGAGATCTCAGGGGCTCTATTCATCTTTTCAGCCTTTTCTCCTTTATTTCACTCCCTTTCTGCTCTGACTCCATTAACACGGTATTTTGCTGCAGCATCTTACCAACATCTCCATACAACAGAATTTCTCTAAACAACCTTTCTAGAAAAGAGACCTTTGGATGGCATAATATAAAACACTGCCTAGAAGCTCTGTTGAGAGCTACTTCAGGTGATTTTCCACTTTCTTGCTTAGGAAAGTTGTTTCAGATTTTATTTGATTTACTTTTGCAAGACATGATACTTGTGCCTCGTAATCTACAGTGACTGAAATAACTGATTATATCAAAATGATAACTTCATCAGTCAGGTCATGGCATTTTCAAAATTTCATCTCCTTTGTGCTCTGCCCTTGCAGTGAGTGTAGCTCATGCATCTGAGGTGACAGTTCTGTGAATGAAATTTTTCACGAGTAGACAGAATCTCATTTTCCCTACACTGACCTAAGATAACAGGGGTTGGTTCCATTTCACAATGGACTGAAAAGCTTAATTATGCAGTATTTTCTTCTCCTTAGCATGAGGCATTTGGAAGGCAGACTTTTACTACTGATTTCCTATTGTCATTTAATTGACATACTCATGGTATTACAGTATGCCTGAGTGATGTCTTCTTATACTGATATAACACATTCATTAGCACCAATAACAACCACAGGCATTTCCCTGAAGCAGACCAAAAATATGTGAGAAATGAACAGGTAAGATTAGTTGGCATAAAGCCCAAAATACCTGTTCCCACATTCTCCTTCTTTAATGGACAGTTTTTACTTTTGATTGAATGCAGCAACATTGACAGAGGTATGTGACAGCTACAGGGAAACACAGTGGAATGCTTCTTGGTTCACTGTCTATTCAGGACTGTCTGGCGGGCTTACCCACACTGGTCTTTTTTATGCAGCACCCTAGTGATGTTTGAAAACAGCCCCACTCAAAACATGATCTATACCATTTGTCATGTACACAGTTATTACACACCTGTAGAAGGCAGGTCACATGCTCTTCTTCTAGCCTTTGCTTAGTCAAAGCTTGTTCAACATCCCATCCTGAAGCTGTGGAGCCTGTTCCAAAGCCTGTACCCTTGGCCCAGTACAACTGCTGTTCTTCTGTTGATGCAGTGTTGTGTGTACTTGACACCTGCGGCTAAGTTAAGAAAAGTCACAATCATTTCATGTTTTTCATCTTAAGAACATTGTCTTTAGAAAACCTTTGTTCTGCAGAAGAATGTAATCCCAACTTATTAGCATCATAAAGATATCATCAGGATTCAGTGAAATTCAAAGCTTTAGATAGGAAAGATGTTGCCACATACATGGAGTTCCAGTACAGATCAGCCCTAAATTGTTGTCAGTGGTTCTTCAATTTGACCAGAACCGTAAGTCCGTTTTTGTTTTCTTTTAAGGTACTACTACTGCTTAAATGATGAAAGGCATCAGAATGCTACTTAGTATCAAGGTAAACATCACAGCTCTGTAATTATTACTGTTTAGCATGTAGTCAAGTTGAATAACATATTCAGAACGAAGGGGATGGGAGTAGAAATGTTACCAAAAGCACAAAAATGAAATGTTGAGATGCTCAAGCATGTGTTGATTTTGAACAAACGCCCCCAAATAGCAAGAGGTTTAAGTTACATGTATAGCACTGAAACACAAAATATTTCCTCTCCAGGTAAGGGGGCAGGGGAAATATCTTGTCCATAAAAATCATCTGAGAGAATGCATTCTTCCAAAGGTGCTTGTTCAGGTTTCTCCAATGGTCTGCCTCACTGCATTTTACTAACGTAACTCAATGTAATATTGTTCGGCTGTTATAAATATTTAAGTACTTATGTTAATTTTTAAATTTTACCATATATTTGGTGAAAAGGATGCAAACAAAAAAAAAATCTGATCTGCACTTTTTAATCAATGTTTTCCTAGTTACATATTCAGCACCCTAAACAAGTGACTTTAATTTTTGGGAGCATTGAGCACTTGCTACTTTCTTTACTGGGCAACAATTAGCCTTACTGGAAACCAGGCATGTGAGTAGACGCCCAACTTTAATTTGTAATACTTGATTTACAGCTCTGAAGTTTCATTTTCTGTTCCGTTCTTCTTCAATAAACTTTGTTAAAGGTTGTATTTGAAGGAAAAGAAATGACATATGAAATTACCACAACAGTAAATAAAGTTACTATCTATGAAGTACCATACTGAGAGCAGTCTGGAATCACCATCTAACTTTTATAGCGGGAATGTAATGCATCTTGGTGATGAAACAGCTGTGCGGTTACTCTCATGTAGACATTGCTCATTACATCACTCATGAAAATGGTATGCCTTTAAAACTCAAGAGGACTGTCGTAAGCACTGACTTTAAGCACTTAAGGGAAAGCCTGGCCCCAGAAATATAAGTGCAGGCCTTATGAATCTCTAGTTTCAACTTACCATCTATCACCTGACAGATACAAATTATGAGAAAGCAAGCTGTGTAAGAGGTCATGGTAGAACTGAAGCAGAGATAAAAATTAATGGTTGCCCTTTCCCTCCAAAAGCACAAAAATTTAAGGCGTTAATGTGCCAGTAGCCTGATACCCCATCAGAAGCAGAGCATCTCAACTTCCCCTTCAGTTTGACTGGTCATTAAAGTGAATTACTCTGAGGCACAGCTGTATCTCTTCCTTGCTCAGCCCCTCAGTATCAGCTGATAAAATACAGACAGCCCAGTACTTTGCAGCTACCTAGACATATATAGCCACAAAGAACTTTTTCGTGCAAGCCTCTGCCACAACAATGCTAAAGAGGGCACGTCATGAAGTTTTTTTAAACACTTTCATAGACAATAGGAGTGTTATGCAGAAATGGCAACTCAGAATCTTAAAAACCCAGGGGATATATGTTCTGTATAGAATGTATAATACAGAAAGCACCCTTGAAAAAGTTTCATTTTGGTGATTCACTCTGGATCTTGAACCCTATGGGAAATTTTTGTCTTTAGATATCATTTACTCATCAGTAAAATGGGTATAAAATAATTGCTGCATTTATTCATTAATTTTCAGAACTCATTTGTTTGTGAGGCATTTAAGAGGAAACAGTTTGCAGCCAGTAGTTTAGATGATGAATACTAAACAAGGTAATGAGGTCATGCTATCTAATGAGGATTAAGGAACCCCTATCCATTGAACATTATGCCTCCCATAACTGAAAAAGAAGGTCCTATAGAAGAAACTGATTACACCTTAATGCCTCATGACAAGCCTTCTTTGTTGGTTAAATTTCATGATTATTATGTTCATTTGCAACATGCAAGGACAATTACTTATTCAAGTTCTATTCAATTATTTTTGTTTTTCATTCAAATGCCAACTCTGCAGAAATTAAAACTACAATGAAAGCGATGGGATTATTTTCTTTTCTATAGTTAAAACTCTTACTACTTCTCAGTGACAATAATGCTGCTGCTAAACTTACCTCTGCCTGGTTGGGACTAGAGTTGGGCACTCTTGGTGCATGGTGGCTTAGAGCAGAGAGACAAGCAAGGATAAGATGTATAGCCCCAATCTCCAGTGCCATGCGCCTAAGCAGTACTCCATCATCAGTAGTTAATGGTGTAGTGCTGAACAAACTGCGCAACACATGGAATGGCAGAGTTGGAAGCACATTCGCTGAAGGAGACTGCAGGATATGACCTAGATTGAAGAAGAAAAATATCAAACCCATATTTTCTTTCAGTAGTTCAGTACAGCCTGCTAATCTCTGCAATAATCTGTAAGAAACACATCCAGAAAACTACTAAGGTCTTAAACATTTGGATATAGTGAGCTACCTTCACAAAGAAATTTCAGCTTGGGAAGAGTGTAGAAGAAAGAGTATTTTTTAATTTCTCTTATGGATTTTGTTAAGAAACAAAGTTACAAAATCTGATTCACCATTTCCAAAGGGAAAACTCAGTTTGTGAGTAACAGCGAGCATACTCCTGTATTTGACGACACTTCAGCTTGTTATTTCTGAATTAAGAAAACAAAGGAGGTTTAGACTAATTTAAAGAAAAAAAAAAAGTAAAATTCCAACTACAGCAAATTAAAGAATGCACACAGTCAGCTAACATGGAGCTGCAGTCTGTCTTTTTTTTTTTCCCATATTCATGTGCCTAAAGTGGGAATTAAGTCACTGACACAATCCAATTCATGATGCTGCTCAAGCGGAGTGCGTGCTGAAATCCTAACATCATTTTAATTAATGAGCTGCATGTTTTGTAGTAGAATTATTTTAAATTTTTAACCCTTCAGCATTATGAACAAAAATTACTTCTTTTTAAAGCTACATTTCAAATAACAGCGAACCATTAATGTAACATACTCAGATGTGGGACTGTCTTATTTTTTTCTGTATTTTGCCATGCATTTCACATTCCTTCCCCAGTGCATATATAGAGATATCTGAAAACTGAAAATACTTTAAAATAGCCAACTCTGTTGAGAAGTTTGCTTTTCATTCTAAGTATATTTTCTCTCTGATTCTTAGAGTTTATAATCTGTATTGTCATACTGATATCTCAACTGAAATGCATGTTTAAGATGAAATACATGTTTAAACTTAAATACATGTGTCTACATTTGTATGTATATACTAGGTAAGTATACATATATATAACTACACACACCCATACACGAGTTAATTCGTATCTATCTGACACTCTGTAAAGACAGTAAGACAAAGGAAACAAAAAGTCCTCTGGGATCTTCATAAAGAAAACTGAGCACCTCTGGTAAAGAAGCCCACCTGATATACCTGCAAAACTGCAAGTGTAGCAAAACGGATATATAAGTTTAGCTGTTCGTATTATGTGAACAAGTAAACAGGCTCCAGGTGTATGAAAAAATGCATTTTCAACAGACAAGTAGAATATATACAGAGAATGAATGTGGGCTACTGGGTAAAACTGATCCCACATTTCATCAAGTTGAATTCAGAGGTTTGGCTTAGGGAATGGACAAACTGATTGTTTAGTCCAGCAAAAACAAAGGCAAGGAGGGAAGACAGGTCCCCCCAGCAAATGCATTGGAGAAAGAAGAGCTATATATGATGAAGAACAATGCTGGCACAATGATAAATGGGCAAAAACTGGATATGAATAAATGTATGCTGAAAATGAAAGCAGCCCCTACTTATCAGGAAAATGAGGTTCTGGAACTGTATTCCAATAGCAATAGTGGATGCACACACAAAAAAAGGACAGACCTTGATTTTAAGGGTTTGAGCTGGTCTTTTTACTATTAAAAAAATAATTATTTTCAATAACATGGGACTGGAACCACCCAAGGATATAAAAATGGGACTCCACAGAGTCTTTCAGGTAGTAACTACTTTATCCAGTTTATTCTTGTCTACTGTCCTATAGCTTGATAGGGTAGAAATAAGGGAGAGCAAACAAGACTTAGTTTCCCAGCTGGTCTTATGAGCTACATGTTATCCACCACTCTATAGGCTGCTGAATAGACTATCTTCAGTTGATTGCAGCATGGAAAGAACAGCATTCTTTTCAAAGTCATAATGAAAGGCAATGTCCTAAAAGTACTAAAACATCTTTCACATACACTCTTCCATTTTTTCATAATGCTAACAAATACAAATATTAGAATTATATGTAGAATGACAGGTTGGGTTGCAAACACTGACTACAAATTGTCTCTTGACTCAATCTGTTCATTCATTGAAGGATACCCCATTTCTCCCTCTCAACTCACACCATTAAGGCAGAGCTCCTGCTTAGCTAACTTGATTAGTATGACCTTCAGATCTTTCTCTTATTTTCTTAAACAGTGTTATTCAACAGTTCATTTTACTGGAGCTATGCTCCTATCCATATTATTCTGCATTTGGTTGCAGAATTATATGATGTTTGCTCAGTTATTTGAGTGTATCCAGCTACTCGTGTTGCTCTGTTTGAATGCACTGTCATCTTGACAGTGTCAATCTAACTTTTATCAGCAGTTATTTTACAGTTACTCTGACATCAAGATGAGAACACTTGAACACTGATGACTGTGACAAGAACTCTGCCAGACAGATTAATATTTAGAGACAAAAGGCTATCAAAGATGCTACAGAAACACAGGTCTGCATAAATCAATTCTAACTTCCTGCTAAAAGCATTAAAGTGTAAATAAATTTAAGTAAAATGATCTAGCTGTGGTCTACAAAGAAACATAATAATTGCAGCACATACTTCCTTCACCATCATCTGTAACTCCCAACACCAATCTCAACAGACACTGAGCATGTTTCCGTTCTTTTAGCAGCACCTCAGCATAGCCCGGGAGACGAAGAAATAAACCAAAGGCAGCCAAAGAATGTGCAGGTATGGGAGACATAGTCTGAACTGTTGACTTGATCGGTGGAGGTTCTGCAGCAATTGTTTCTGGTGCTTCATATACCAATTCCCCTGATTGTTCGATGGTGACCCATTCAAACTGATCACTGTCCTTCTGCTTTTCCTGTGTGGTTGATGTAACCACCGGAGTGCTCACCTTAACCACAAAAACAGCAAAACAATTTTGTAGTCATTCATTCAATCAAACAGGCAAAAATGTTATTAAAGTTAGGATCTAAAGGACATGCATAGGACTCTATTAAAAAAGTCACATGAAATACACTACCATTTACAGATACAGGGACCAGGAGAGACAACTAAAAAGGGCATCTGTTGTGTTTTTAATGTAGCTCTAGAAAGTCCTGCCTACATAAGCAAGCAACTCTGTTTTGCCAACCCAAAACTGTCAGTTAAAACATGCTGTTTAAAATCTAGAGGCATATGATACAAACTACACTGAAATAAAGAATACAAACATTAGTTTATATATCAGACTTAAATAAGGAATGGACCTTTTATTTTTAACATTAAACATTGAGTGTGAATTCAGATATCTGATTTTTAATTATGTGCTGCAAAAAGGAGAACAAATAATCATAATACCTTTAAAAAACTAAGAAGAAATTTGGATATTGGCAGTCTTGTAGCATCTTGCGCTCCCCGTGGGCTTTAGATTGATTTGGCAAGCTTTATTACTATTAATCTCCTAACACAACAGTCTGCCATTCTGTTTTATGAAATATGCAGGAGGACTATGAGACTAGAGAACTATCAGACATAAAGGACTATGCAGCCAGGCAGTATGATGGGAATCAGAGTTTAAGGGGTAACACTTGTAAAATTCCCCAGGAAAAAGCCATACATACATTAGGTTAAAATGAAGGTATGACAGCCTGGTCTCTCTCACAACTAAACATCACAGAAGTTACAGGCATTTATGCTATTCAGATGAACTGATGCAATCATATTTAAAATTTTAGTATTTATCACCAGACTGCACCAGAAAAGATTAATCTGAAAAGCCCTTGCAGAATTTATTCAGAATACCAAATTCCTAATTAAAAGTCAAAGCCATGTTTAGTTGCATTTATTCCAATCACCTACACATTAAGGGAATAAGAACTATCAGTGACTTAGAGAAATAAAAAAGTAAAATTAATGAATGAAAGGTCTGGAGAATTCATCAGTGTTCACTCTGAATCTTCAATTTGGTATTACTGCACTTAATTTGGTTTTATGGATCACAGAATTCTTATTCACTATTTCAATCCAAACTTACATCAAGCTGAATAATGGTGAAAAGAAAGTAACTTCTCAGGACTATAGTAAAAGGAAGGAAGGGATGAAATTTCACCTGGTCATAACCTGCCTTTTGTCCATTGCAGAATCCCTTCAAAAAGACTTCCTCAATACATAACACACTTCATCAGTCTTGGATTTCAAAATACAGTAATTGTTTATGTGAACACATTTCCTTAACTTTTAATTACTGAACTGCAGTGCTACCAGACCTCTAAAACATATCTGCAGAACTATTTACAAAGAATTAATATAAGTTATCTGATCTCACTAAAGGGTTCCTATTCCTGCCATAGTTTTGCAGTCAGGGATACTGAACAGCACTCTGTTCATGAATCAATTAATAATTAATTTAATTTCAAAGGGAATAGATATTGATGGTCTCTCCTGTTAGGAGTATCAGGCAAAATTACAAAAATAAAGCCAAACAGAATCTGAATAATTCACAGGTTATTTTTCCCTTTTTAATAGTTTGTGTACCAGAACAGTGGCGAAAGGAATAGTTTCACACTAATGACACTACTGACACTTTTGAAACGCTTAGCAGAGCCTCCAGAGAAACTCCATCATAAGTATACAAACACAAGTTCTTATCTTATAATTACTATTTACAAATATAAATATAATTAAGATTATACAGTTGTTTATTAATTACAATAGTAAATTTAAATAATATAATCTGCTTTGAGAACTAAATTTCATTTAACGATTAAAAAAATGGTTTAATGGTTAAGTGAGGTTATCAACAGAAGTGAGGCAATCAGCAACAGCGAATTCACACACTTATTCCACAAGGACATGGCTACTCAAGCAGACTATAACATTTAGCTGGACTGGGCTATGTTAAAATAGCAATTGCCTATTTTGAAGCAGTAACTGAGATGTCAAAGTGAACCATAAAGAAATATGAGGAAAATACTATCCTTCAACACACACACACACACACACACTTTTAGCATGTTTTTTTTACACTGACTTTTTCACTCACTTGCTGAATTACATCAGGATAAAGCATAGGGAGTCTCTCTGCAATAAGGGCCAATCCACCCATTCCTGCAAAAACTTGCAGTGGAGACTGAATGGGACAGGTTTCAAGAAGCGATTCGTCTAGAACTGCATCCATACACTCATCCCCAGGACTGATGGCTTCATCTTCAGGGCAAGGTCCCAGTAAATCCACATGCTCTACAAAAACACAGAGGAAAGAGAAATTAAGACAACATCCTCAATATTCATGGTACTTTTTCCCAGTGATGGCAGATCATAACTCAGTATTATTTGTATAAAGCTACATGTTAACGATTACATTCTTAAGTTTTATTAAAACTTGATCTATACCTTCAAGATGTTTTTTAACTGCCTTTCATCTTAGAGATGAAAATAGGTTTGCTACTCTTTGGTAAGTTCATGGCTTAAGAAAGGGAAGACCCTTTCTCACTTTTTCCTCAAAAGTGCTGAAGTAGGATTTTTTTATTTAATTTCTCCCTCCCATCATTTAACTTGGCATCCATAAAGTTGTATCACCCATCACTCACCACACCTATCATTCTCACATCTCCTCTCTGTGAGGCGTCCAAATGCCTGTCTGCCAAAGCTGTGAAATTTAATGCTACTCTTCCTCATAAAAAAGATTAAGATTTCTATTTTTAACTTTCTACGTGCCTCCATCCTCCCAGTTTCTGACTAAGCACTCTAATATCTTGTACAAGAGACAAAAAGATTGTTTTGTATAGCAATGCACATGTTGTACATACAGCACCCTACCACAGTTAATTTTGCCAAAAATCAACCCTCTTTGCTCATTACTGCAGGAAAACTTCAGTCAATAAGCAATATACTTAATCTAAAAAAATCTGCATTGCAGTTATGTTGTTAAATACTACAAGGCAGTGGTCCTCAAAACCTTCACAACATAGCCACATCAAAAAGCAGCATAGGTTAAGTGGTCTCACTATCTTTTAACTGTGATCAGTCTGATACACAACTACCAAAACAACCTTTTTTTTTTTTTGTTCCCCAAGTTTTAACCACAGATATTTTATCTTTCCCTAATTTGAAAGGGAATAGGAAACAGCAAGTCCTTATCATCCTAATTCTCAACTTTCTAATGTGCAAGAAGCACCAGATTACAAGCATATCATGGATATGCTGCAGGGGAAGCACACTGCTATGGAGAAATATGATCAAAGTATCAGATACAATAAGCTCAAATCAGGGATGTGTAGGAGTATGTACATCAATTCACACTAGTTCAACCAGACAGGCTATGAGAAATAGAAGAGGACAGAGACTTCCAAAGCAGGATCATCCTTCCAAGAAAGAGCCCAAACATTAAACTTTTACAGAGATCTTTTACATCTACTGTTCGTAAGGATACAGACAGAAACCACTTGTGAAAGTTTTCTGTATCATCACAAATAGTGGGTGAGGATGTCTGCAAACATGATGATCTCAGTAAGAGATCACCACCCTCTATAAGAGAAGTGGAGGATTCCACCATGCTAAGCTGAACATGACTTACAATTTTTGATTGCTTGTGATGACATGAATAGGTCAGATCACAAGAAAGGTTAGATTTTCTGTGATGAGGAAAATTTTTAAATAAAGATTTTAAAGGAAGACTCCCCCCTCTGTTTTACAGTGTAAAAGGCTGTAAGCGTTCCAAAGAACGAAAAAATAAAAAGAAGCTCCCGTCTTAAAACAGATCAATGATTAAATCATAATTCTATCCTGTGATCAGCAGATCATCTTAGCTTAATCTCAATGATCCATTTCTCTAAGTCCTTCCCGGAAGGAGCGCTATCAAAATATTTCAAACCAAATTCCTGGGATATAGCTCGTCCCTCCCCCTTCTGCAGCATTATTAGTAATAACAAGCAATTACAAAAAACCACCAGCAAGAAACAGACCATATTAGAAACTGTTAAAAAATAATGTTTTTAAAAGCTAGTTACAAGACCTGCTTAGATGGGCTTGAGAAAAATTCCCATTTTCAAAGAAGCATTTAAGTACTCAAGATGCCACAACAGAAAAATCCACAGGCTCCTAGAAATTGGATGGTTTCAACCAGCTCCTGCATTACTTATCTGCCCTAGTTATCAGCATATACACTTGCTACAGAAAACCAGTATACTTGTTAAGAAATAAAGTATATGGTATCTATATAATAATATAATTGTATCATATATATATAACACTACAATGAAGAAAGAAAAGTGAAACCAGAACAACCATATTGGTGCATCTTACAGATACAATCTAAAGATGGGCAATTAATTTGCTCTTTATCGTTAAGCTTTACACTTGTCTTACAGAGAATGGCTCAGGAGCATCATCCAGGAAGACACAGAAAATTGATGCTTCTTAACAAGAAAATCAAAACCATTTTTGTCCCACAGAAAAGCATTTTAAAAGGAATATGCCAAAAAAGTAAGAACACTCACCTTTTTCTGTATGAAGACGTTTAAATGAGTCTGTTTTTGATAAGCTTGGATCTGAGATGACTTTGGAGCCAAGCTTAACTGTCAAATCTATTGAACGGTATCCTTGAGGGAGTTTACGGTCATAAAGCAGAGTCAGAAGCTGGGCGAGTGTCATTTCAGCTGGTAACGGTTGGCCTAAGCAACAGTGGCATCAAGTCAGAGAGGAAAATGATGATTGGGTTATTTTAACATACATGTCCAGGTGCTGCTCATTACTTGTACCACAGATGCCAAGTGGACTAAATATTACCTGGCTCCAAACCAAGGCCTTAATTTTACCATTTGTTCTCTTGGGAAAAGGGGCCCCATCACCTTGGAACCAACCATTAAAGAACCATGCCAACATTCCCTAAGGCAGCTTTGTGCTGAGAGCCTAAGCACTTGGCATATCTAACGAATGGTTATAATTTCATGTACATTTTAGGCGGGTACTGCCTGTCCCCTCATATTAAACCCCACCCCTGCATTATCCTTGTATTGTGGTGACATAAAGGTACATGACCACAAGGTAAACTGGCTGAAATGGAAAAAAAAAGGGGGGAAGGGGGGACGGACGGGACGGGACAAAAAAACCCCTGCAATTCTTTTTTCAGTCCTATTAATCCCAAACACAGCTCACTACTCTTGTGTTGGGACACAACTCAGCGAGAAAAAAAACGAATGGCACTGCCAGGAATAATATTCGGAGCAGCAGTGCAGACTTGATAGGCACATGCAATACAGCCCAAACTGGTTAGACAAACCAAGATTTTTGGCCATTCTGCTGTTTCCAAGGCATATGTTCTTCCCTGAAATTACAAATTACTCTCAAGGCAGAATAATTTTTCCTGGTAACAAGTAGTGAATAACTTCTGGTAACACCTGAGGTGAAATATTCTAGAGTTGGATTTTATAATACACTTAGCATGCCCACTTCATCTTGACTGTACTTTATCAAGTAACACAAGTTCCAGGAAGGTCTTTAGTAGCAACCTGTTTCTTCAGTGGAAGATGGTGTCTGAAGAAATTAAAACTAAAAATGTCTTGCCAATGTGCAACTAAGTTTTCTACATTTTCTCTAATCACCGATTCTGCTTTCCACAGCTTCCCTTTATGTAACAACTGGCACAAGACGTGTGATCAACCTAATCACACAGAATGGTCCACATTTCCGTTAGTGGACAGTCAGCCTTTGCCAGCAAGATACTGAAAACGCACACTGAGTTTTGATCTCCTCTCAAAATAGCAGCATTAGCTTTATCAGTTGTAGATAGTTGAATCCAAGTATATGATCCCTCTAATAATTGCCAGAGGTTAGCCTGAAATAATTCTGTAGTAAGCTGCAAATTTATTTTTATTAGGTGAAAATGAGTTTGATGAGAAGTTTACCACTTAATTCCATCAGCTTGGTCCTTATTTCTATACTATAAACCAGATAAGCTGGTCTTCTGCATAGTACTCAAGTGTTTCACCCATGTTCCTGTCCCATTATCCTTAATCTAAGGTTGAGAATTCCAGTGTCACAACCAATCTCTCTCTATAGGAGATCACAGAATCATAATCATAGAGTATCTCAAGTTGGAAAGGACCCATAGGATCTCCCTCTCTATGCTCCAACTACAACATTACCACCAACTTTGTCCCGATACCTGATAAAATGTATCTGCTATACGTAGACCACGACTAACTGCTTAAGACACGCTGTTTTTAAAAACACAAGTATTATGGAATTCAAGAATATTCCTCAACTGGCAAATCAACCTTCCAGAGGGGAATGCAAGTTGGCTGCCCACTCAGAACATGAAGTAACAGTGCACAAATAGCAGGCCAGCTCTGCTTGCAAGGTGAAAGAAAATGTGAGTCACCTTATGAACCCGTCCCCCTTTTATTTCTGAGTGAAGCTGGAAATAATTTTGAGATTTTGTTTATGAACAAGGAACTCCAAAGAACATCAACACAATTGTTACTTTTGTCCAGCCACTATGATGTTAAAATGCTCCACTTCTCATTGAAAGCTGTTACCAACCCAGAACGGCTCTACAGTTCCAAGATGCTCAATAAAAAGACAAAGATGTTCATTAGGATTACATTTACTTTCTGATGACATACCAGTCACTGAAAAAGACCATAAGACTGAAGTTTAAAATTAGTTATTAAAGTCACCTGGTAGAAGTTTATGGTATAGATGAAAGACTGGAACACTAATAGTCTTGCTGGAAGATTCTCCTCCTGAGGAAGAGGTACCTACTTTATCTGCCATCACTCTTCCTCGCCTTGATGGTGGACGTGGAGGGGTGGATGAAACAGCTCTTTTTGACTGAGATTTCAAACCTAGTACAGAAGAAAAAAAAATCTAATCCATTCTAGTATTTAGTTAAGTTCAGTCAGCCAAGATGCAATGCACTCCACAGCTTCAATGATAGCAAAAAAGATTAATTTTTCAGCACTATCAGAATAGCATTCATGTATAATACATATTTGGATGTAATCCTGGTATTTTTACAGTTGCAAGGCTGCATGCCACCCCTGAGCCCCAAACCATAACTATACTGGATCATATCACCCATAAAGAAAGCAAAAGCTATTCTGATTCTGCTCTTAAACTTAAAGAGCTGTCCAGCAATGGGTCCACAGTTAAACATTTTTAGGTTGCTTTTTCAACTAAAAGTAAAAAAGGCAAAAAAATTCTAAATTGACAGATGTTTCAGAACAGACTACAGACAGCAACCACTTCTCTGGTCTACAAATGTGACTTGAGCTGCAGTAGTGACGGTACCACACGATGAAAGGCATATTTAAACATACTTTCAAAGCTGCCTTGGTCAAAACATTTAAAGTAAGCACTACATGATAATTAAAAGGCAAAACTAGGTATGTAAAAGCTTACTAAGCATATATAGCAAGGCTGCCATATTTTGGGACAGGTTAAATTGACTTAAAGTACAGCAAAAATATACAGCCATCATGTACCCTTCTGTATAAGTGACAGACCAGCAGGTTAAGATCCAGACACATAAAACTATTGCCTTATTAGCCAAGAGCAGCTGCAAGACCAACAACATCCACACCTGAAATGCTATAATACACTCTGGTTTCAGCTGGTCAGTAGGAGCAGCTCTAATAGAAAACATACTCTCCAATAATCTCAGTATACTGAACTAGCTTTTCTCAGGAAGATCAGGCTCCAAATACTATCTCTGCCCTCTATTAACTTTACCAATAGGGAGCAAGTTAAATACTGGATTTAAGGCTCTGAGGACATTAAAAAACCCCAACAAATCACCAGAATATATGAAAAGATAAAGACAAAAGAAAAAAAGATTTCACAAACAAGTGGTAAACCCAAATGCAAACAAAGTAAGCTTATATTTAAACTATTTTACTTAACTGGAAAAAATGCAAACAAAAGGAAGAAAATACTTAAGTCTGCCTCATTCTAAACAGGAAATGGGCTATCTATTATCAGGCAGTAGGAGCAGAGATGCAACTGGGATAAGACATCACTGCTGACTACATTATGCCCTATCTTCAAGCTTGGCATATTATTATTTTAATTTGTAGATTCTTTATTTATGTTTTAAACCTTCACTTGGACCCGTTAACATTTTAAATATTACCAAAACCTGTTTACCCTGTTTAAGTGGCACCTACTGCAAGTATCTTTCCAGATAAATATGCTGCTATTAACATCAGCTGTGTTGCTTTAAATGTATAACAACATCCATGAAACTGCTGCCCTGTTCAACACTTGAGTTCAGAGTTATATCTAAAAACCTTAAATAAAAAGCTTAAGAAATATTGGTGTCAGAAGTCAAAGGAAATCAGCATCTCTTCTTCATGCTTCATGAAGTGTAAATGAAATTGAGATACCTCAATGAAGGCAGAAAACTAGATAGGAAAAGAGTAGTTTGAAGTTCATTAATCTCTCAACACAAACCAGAACTTCCAACTGAAGGACTAATGATTTCTACAGACATCATCTGAACTGTAATCTTGTACCACTGCAAAATTACTATGTTCAATCCATAACCTCCAGAACAGTTTTAGAGGAAAAGTGTTTACATTACTGATTTCAGGAGGATCTTCACATTAGCTTTCAAAAGGTGAATGCTTGGAAGAAAATCCTGTATTTGTGGTTTCCAAGTGGAATTAACAGTGTTACACTTACATCTCCACCTGACAGTTTTTAGCAGAGTACCACCAGTTGTTATGTAAAGTATATGGATCTTTTTATTTCCAAAGCATATTGTGGGAGTCACTGAACTCTGATGTACCAGCCACTGCTAAAAGGTAAAGACAGCAACACTCATACCACAGTAACAGTATACAAATATTAATATGCTGCCACATAATCTGAGCTCCACGTGTGTGTGTACAATATCCTGTAAAATGCACTAGTAACAGCATCCACAACATAATCACTGATACATTCCAGTAGAAATGTATCAAAGTACATAATCTGCTAGAGGCAGGTTCTACCAGGAACCAACCTTTGCTGCCTAACAGCCGGTTAGATTAACTGGGCACTACAATATTTCTAACAATCATTAGTAATAAAACCATTGTTCGTACATATTCGCCACACAAACACACCCCCTTTTAACATCAGAAAGATGTTTTTAGATGGTAGAAAAAAAAAGACATACCAGAAGCAACGACAACACTATAATTGTCCTGAAATCCATTTTCTGCTTTAACTTTTTCTTTCTCTTCATAGTTCTTTTTTTCTTTATCTTCCTTCTGTTCATTAATTAGCTTAGCTGTAATACTGGGGGTATCTATACAGGGTTAAAAAAAGGGCAAGAATGGCATTTCAAGACACAAAGTTGATTTTATTAATTTCTAGGCTGTTTAACAAGGCTATTCTCAACTACTTCTGTGGCTCAGAGTTCCACTCCTGGCAGTAATAGTCCGATAAAAATCCATGACGTAAGGTGTTATGATAATTCTGGTCCTCTCCCCCCCAAAATCTCTCCTCTGACAATTTAAAACTGTAGCAGTCTAAAACCACCACCTGATAAGCCAAGTGTATTCATGCTAAAACACTACTTCAATCAAAGAAAAATAAGATTAAGCAAAAAACAAACAAACAAACAAACAACAGAAAGCCCAAAACAAAAAGAAAAAAAAACCCCAACAAACCAAACCCACCCAAATGCCCAAAAAACCCAACCCAAAACACCACACCAAAAAAACCCCAACAACACAACAATAAAAACCAAAAACGCAAAACTTTTTTCAAGGACACCTGTAGACTTGTTAAAATCAACTGCTGTATCTAGGTCTGGGTGTTTAGTGTTATATACTGACCCTATTTCACAACTGGCAAGTGTGACTGTTCCTTTGAAGCTGGAAGGTGTACATTACATTACATATCTAAAACTTGCGCTGCTTGCTTAAGTGAACATTACACTACTGCAGTTCAACTGGTTTGGTTCAGTCAATTAGTGCAGATCACAAATATCAGCAGGCGGTGACAATGGATCATTTCACACCTTGTAAGGTACAACTCTGGCACCAGAATAGCCAGATCTAATTGCTTCTGAGTAGTGACTTGTTTCCATACAGCCACAGCAGCCTTAGGCTATAACCACAAACTCAAGACCTAGAAGTACCATCCAGCTCAACTTTAACTGTGTATCACCAGTGACTGAGGTGCTGAGAGAGATATGGTTTGACAGCTTGGAAATACATTATTATTTGTGCCTGAAGACATTGGTTATATGTGTGTCAGACATAGTGCAGACTGAAAGAACATACAGAGTATGAAACTGTGAAACTGCTGCTATAAAAAATTCTTATTATTACAACTACTACCATTATTATTTAACTTCTCTACCTTGGTGTGAATGCCCATTTAGTGCTGGAGAATTTAAAGGTCATTAATAAAATTATTAAGGAAGCTTAAGCAATGGTTTTTCTACTATTCAGGTGATACTCAGATTTGTTGTTCCATTTTTCTGACCATCCAAGACCAGTAAATTAACACTAAGTTGAATGAAATCCAAAACAACTGGTATTCGTCCTAGGCAATCCTATCTACAGTGATAGTGCACATTTTCTTTCCATCGTGAAGGAATGCGAGTAGCAGATTTTACAATGATTTTAGAATCTCTTCCTCCCACACACTTTGTTTTTAAAAGACTGGGAGAAAGAGTATGACATGAACATACTTACTGTGATTTATTTTTGCAGCAAGCAAGACAAGCAATTTGAGACACTAACAGCTTAGTTAACAAAAAAGAAGTTAACCCAAGGGCCAGACTCTGACACAAGACCTTCACGACCATCTATCTGTTGCAGTGGCAGTCTTTGCTTCTTTTCCTCCCCTCTTCCACACTCCATCCCTTCTTTTTGCCTCTCACCCCAAACACACATTTTACTCCTCATATATTGAAGTCTGCTTTACTATGTCCTAACCATGGACTTCATGGAATGATATAAAAGTATCCCAAAGCTTTTAATAACAGTCAGAGAAATCACTTTAGATGAAGGATGGAAACATGAGAGAAAGTGAACTTTTCCAGAATTAATTATTCCAACTTAAAATGAGAGTTAAACTGAGGAGTAATGATTCGGTAGCAAACCCCAAATTTATGGTGCCCTACGAAGTCAGCATTTGTGATCAGTTTCAATTACAAGCACTACAGTATATCACACCATCACATTCCCCAGCCCAGTCCCTATTAGCACTGGCTATCAAGCTGACTGCAATACACCAAGGCAGCTATTCAGTACAGTTTATGTCACTGCTCAGCAACTGACCCCTACCTCATACACAGTGACTATCCCACCCATTACAGTAACTCTGACCATAAACTGCACAAAGATCTGAAGACCTCAGTCACATTCCACATGACTGTGTCTGCACAGTAAGTGAACACAGTAAGTGAATATAAAATTTTATCAGAAACAGTGAACTATTCCCTGGTAAATAAGCTTCAAGCATTTTTTGCTGTTTTTCATTCATTACTTTTTAATTACAATCCCAAGCAAATTTCAACATAAAGATTTTAAGTAGACGTAAAAAACAACAAAAAAAAGTACTAGCCCCTCTGAACTCCATGAAAATCTGCTTCAGAAATGGAAAGTTTCCAAAACAATTACACATACCAACGTATCTGCAGACATAAGTACACACATACCCAGTCAGATGTGTGTGCTTCTAAGCCCGCACACTTCTGTGCGCATCTGCAATATGGCAGTTCTATTTTCTAGAGTGTTAAATAGATGCTAAAGTTGAAGGTGGGATTCATTTTAAGATTAAGGCATCCACCATTCAGGTGTCAACAGAGGTGTGGTCAAAAGAACTCCTTAGAGAGGGATTCATCTCTCCGTGTATATTTAAGTAGTACAACTGAGAGTACTGAACTTTAAACAAACAAAATTCATGCCTTAACATTATCCTCTCATTGTATATAACTGCAAAATTAATCTCAAATTATGGTTTTCAATCTCCACTTAGTAAGCAAACCCAAATGCTTATGTAACAGGCAAATATATATCCACAGAAATTAGATGGAGCCTTCATTAATGTCCTTTCCATAACAACATGATTTTATCTCTGTCTTGAGATAAACTTTTAAGTTCCAGGATATTTAACTGACAGAACCCGGGAACATTTAAGTGAGTGGATGAAAGACAGAGCATTTTAAAGACTGATATTACTGATAGCTGCAGTATCATTTGTATGGTCTTCCAACTATCCTATGACAGATTTGAGAACACATTAATACTAAAAAAAATACCCCAAAAAACAACAAAACCAAAACCAAACAAACCAACCCTAAGAAAAAATCCCAAATGAACCAACCAAAAAACCACCAATCAACCAAAAAATGAATGAAATAAAAATCCCACCTTCACCACCCCAGTTTTATAGAAACAAATAGTTCTATACTATAAACAAGAAAGAAACAGTTCTATACTATAGAACAGTATTTAACCTGTGAAAGCACATTTTAGACGCAACATGTAAGGCACACTGAAAAGCCTAAAACTTAACCCACTGTTTCATATTTGCCATTTAGCAATGAATACAGCAAATATTTATGTCAGACATATCTAGTTTATGCAGTTTTTTGGGGTCTGAGGTTTCTTCTTTGAAACTGTATTTTAAAAAAGTAAAATATGAACTATTGCAAACTTGCCTGACACACGATCAAGAACCTCTGCTAGAGTTGTTGAGACAGGCAAGTGAAGGGTACGAAATTTGTGTCCAGCTCCGTACATTGGATGTTGAATGACATGACTGGTAGCATTAATTCTACCTTTGTACAGCTAAAAAAAAAATAAAATTTAAAAAGAAAATCAACTTTTATCATGACTGACATTCAGAAATAAGATAAAACATAATGTTCTTATAAACTCATCAAAATAAAGCTAGATCTTAGCATGCTAAAAATGAAAACTGACACATCCTTCAACTTTGAAAGTACACAGTTAAAATGCATTAAATTCAGACAAATTTTTTTTTTAACCCCAAAATTCAAAAGCCTAGAGTATTTTTAAGATCAGCACCATATCAAATACGGTATCATATTTGTTAAAAAAACAGAACAATTACTTGACATAGCTGTAAATGAGAGAAAAACTGAGTCTGAGACTTGCAGTTACTTATGAAATTAAAACTTAATTCTGAAATTAAATTAGGAAAATCACAATATACTTGCAGTAGAGAAAGCCATCATTTCTCTATTGCTCTGAGTTGAGGATGAAGTTTATTCTAGACCTAATATCTACTTTTTGCTATTATGACGGAAACCTAAGTCACTGCTAGTTAAAACATTTCAAATATTTTATCTTAACATGTTTTAGCTTGAGCTCAGTTTGCCTTTTGCATCATTCTTTACTTGCAGTACTTTTTACAGTTATTACACTTATCTCCTTCCTCACAGCATCAGGAGACACCTTTACTAACACATACATACAAGACCAATCTACTGTTATGCAGTATTATAAAAAAAAATTAATACTTGATGGCAATCACAATTTAGCTTCCAAGGTACAGTTTTGGTAAGAACTTGTGAGATAAAAATGGGGAACCAATCTTTGAAAGGTTATGTTGCTAGATAAACTAAAATTATATGCTGCACATCCACATTATTTTTTAAGGTTTCTCTTTGGATGCTAGAGGAAGAATCATCTCAGTAAGAACAGAAGACTGTTCTTATCTGACAACTTCTTTTCAATATATTTTTTCTCCTTTTACATATCTAGTAACATTCTGTAAAAATCTGTTAAATTAGTAGAAGACAGATGTTACCTTCACATTACCAATGGCCATGTTAACAATTAATCTCAGTTTGTGCTAGATCCGTATTTGCTTCTCCTTTTCCATTTTATACTATCTGATCCAGTTCCCCTGTCATATATCTCATGTAGTACTTTACTTCTAAGATATAGTAAGAACAGCAGAAACCAAAGCAGAAAAAAACTATTCTTTGTGAGTAGCAGATATTTTAATAACTTCTGGTTTTCCTTTATTTCTTTATTCACAGCATTCAATTGAGAGAGCAGCAGAGCACTTCAGACATTAATTATAATTCAGTTTTCTAGTGAAGCATGTGGAAGTATAAAAGCATTCATCTGTCTTATAAGTTAATTCAAGTATTTATCACTCAAAAATTTATTTGTAGTGTTTGGCTAATGCTGAAGGATCTCTGCCAATTTTGAAGCATTAAAACTACGACTGTTCCTTAATGAATCTGATAATAAAGAACTGCTGTAAGGACTAAAACTTGTATCTATATTTGCTGCTAATGCATAAGGATACTATTAAAAAGTCTTCCATAAGATAAATTTCAGTTGTCAGTTCTTTCCAAAGCAGTGTATTTTCAACAAGATGGCTTTGTCTTACAACAGTGTTTTAAATTTTCTTTCATGAAAAATGCTGAGTTGCAACTCAGCAATGGGTTCGCCAACCCATTTCTTTTCAAAATTCTACAATATGTACAGTAGGAAAAGCTGCCATCTGACATTTCAAAGGTGAATATACCCCTTTTTATTTAACTAATTATTTTTTAAGGCTACATTTAATCCATGTTCACCATATGGATATCAAAAATTCTTACTGGACACGGGGACTGAAGAAACAAAGTCACTTTTTCATCCTCTAGCATGAGCTGCAAAAAAAGCCTCCTAATAAATCCTGAAATGTTTCCAGAGGTTGGGAGGTTCCCACGCTGAGGAGAGGACTGAAACAATTCGCAGAGAACCTGGGAATGCAAAATGACATCAGAATGAAAATATTTCTATATTTAGGTCTCTAAAATATAGATCTACACAGCCATAATAGGCAGTACATAAGATCTGATCTACCTTCCAGTCATTATTCAAACAGAACAAAAATGAGCACCACTGACAAAAACACCAGCAGCAAGCTGTTTTGTTTTTTTTTATAAAAAAGTTCAAAACAGTGACTACAGCAAAGTAATTGTAAGTACACAGACTATTCATAAAGATAAAACCAAGAAGATTAAATACTTAGAAAAATAGCTTTCAAATGCCTGAAGCAAAAATTTTCCACTGCATAATGCAGTATTGCTACCATAGAGAACTGTATTCATTTTTTACTGGTCTACCTGTTTCCACAGGATCATCATTCTTAGATGAAAAAATCTATAATTTAAAATGGATTTTTCAACACCAAGTTTGCAAGGTTAACGAATGTAAGGAAAATAGCTGAATTTGCACTAGAATTCCAAATACAAAGCCTTATTCTGCAGTAGCCTCTATTTCACTGGTCACAGACTGCTCAGGGTATATGGCTGCAGAAGCAAATTTAGCAGGAAATCTCTCTAAGTTGCTAACATAAAAGATGTGTATGAACCCTGATTTTCAAATTCTATTTCAGAAGGGTTTAGATTTATCCAATTCAATACAGTATTTTGGATTCTGGTCTAAAGTTTATTCCTCTAAACCAAGAGGAATACAAATCCATACATAGGACTGGACAGCCATGTCAAAACATTTTTTTATGTTTCAAAGTCAGAGCAACAAGCTATCAATTTTAATACAAAACTGTTTCTGTAAGCTGTCACTGACGAAAAGCTAAACCTAAAAAAGCAAGTTTTGAAAGTTGGCTGTAGTTATTAATAAAGAAACTAAAACATTTTTACCTCCTCACCCCTTACCTGTGCCATAAGTCTCTGGTTATTAGGATGGCAAGAGATGCACTGCAAGAAGAAAGCAACTGTTGCATTTTCAATTGCTGTCCGCTGCTGAGTGGTCAACCCTGCTGTTACTGTCGAAGAAAGCAAGCTAGATCTTGTACTGGTCTGTTGTGCTGTCACATTGTGTCCTCCAGAAGTAGCACCAGAATGGCACAACAGAAATAAAAGTGCTGTCCACAATGGATTGACTTCAGAGCCACCCAACCAATCCTTCATCATGTGGCTGTTGCCAACTTCTGTCAAAAACCTGAGAACAGGAGCAACCAGATCTGCCGTGATAGGCATTTTATTAAAGTGCTGTGGAACATGATGCCTCCTGAGCCTGTCCTGGCTAGTATCCATTGATTGTGCAGTGCAGTCAGAGCTAGAAGTATGGTTAAAGCAAAAACTAGCAAGACTTCTTACAAGCAGGGAAGGCAAACCCGAGTCCAATAATTGCTTGATAGCTTCAGGAGACTGAGACGAGGCAGCAAGAGTAGCCAGGTGAGACTCTGTTAGTGCAAGGGGGGCTTGTGCATTTTTAGAGTCATCTGTTAAAGATGAACTAAGGTCCTGCTTTTTGCTGTCATCAGTCATGGACAGTCTGTGTTGACACTGCATTGGAGGAGGAGTGATACCCATCCATCCCATGAGTAAGGAAAAATAATTTGGGTGGATGTGGCACATTGAGCAAAGCAAACTATCAACAGCTTTCTTCAAAACCATGTTGCAGGGAAGAGACATGGACCAGTTAAACAGTGACCTGCAGAAGACAGAAAATCATGTCAATACATAGTTTCCCACTCATTCTGCTTTCATTGGTTCATAAAAGATCTTTCTACATTTATGATTAACTATTGTAGAAGTAGTAAAACACACTGTGCTGAGCTTGGAAGCCTCTTCTGGATTACAGTATCATCAAGACATTCATTACCCAAAGGCATTCCTGAACTGTGTTTCAAGTTCTTTCATCATACTCCATTTAAAATAGATATAAGCTAACTTTTCTGGCATGAAAGGATTTCAGTTTTTTGACAGTTATTACATAATTTATGTAATTTTGAGCCAACTGCAATCTCTTTGTGCTTTCAACTCTCCACACTGCAGCTACAAGGCTCACACACATGCATGCACACACACTTATTTAAGAAAAGGTCTCCTAATTCTGTAAGAACTGAAAGTATTTTAACATGTTTCCAAAAGGTTTTTAAAATTTGCTTTATTTTTTATGAGAAAGTTTCAAAAACATGCAAGTGCCAACAACCCTGTTGATAGAATGAAGTTACCTTCACTATCCTTACTCAACTTGCACTCAGGATGCAAGTTAACAGAGATACATCAGAGATGCTAAAATCTCACCTTACCTTTGAACTCAACGCCATTCAAATACTATCTGCTTGAATGCTAACACAAGGCATATGAATGCAAAAGCTAACTTAGCTCCTATTACTCAGCTTAAATTTCAGAAGTGGTATTTGGACAGTAGTGAAATGGTAATTTCTTCATACAGACATTGTCAGAGTAGGTAGAGTATTAAGAAAAAAAAAAAAAGGCAAGTTTTCGGACCTGCATTCACAGCACCTAACACCATACATATGTTACATTAACTTAACCTTTACATACAGAGGTGAACGTACACTTTGTGCCACTTCATTGTTAGGTTTTCAAGTAAGTTTGGATGTATCATCATGTATCACATTCCTACTTGAAGACAATGAATTCTTTTCTCTCTCCTCAATGGAGGCATTAGTCTGTGTTTAGTCTGAGGGACTGTAGGAGTCCAGAACAGAACGCAGGCTCACCAAAAGTTAACTTTTTATCGTAATTCTAATAAATGGCTGATAAAAAATCTCACAAAAACCTTTCCAAGATAAAAGATTAGTCATCTCAGTGAACAAATGACCCATGACATTTTGGGAAAATAGCCAAAATTTCCTGAAGTCCACATATAAGGATACACTTAAACTCTTCTCCAACTACATATTCACAAAATCCTTCCACCAAAATTTTTCTGGGTAAGTTCATGATCCATGAAAAATAAGATTATTTTCCAACTAGATATTAAAAAAAACTAACTAAGGACTAAATTAGTATCCCTTAGCCAAAGCAGAAATACTGAAATGGAAAATGTGGATGATGGAAAAATATATGCAAGAAAGAAGGGAAATATCACATGAAAGAGAAATTAGGAGTTATAGCTAGAAATAATGAAAACATTTCAAAAGCTAAAACATCAAAGAGGATGAAAAATACACACAAGAAGTTATTTTTATCAGAAGAATTATTTACCCAGAGAAGTCTGACAACAATTCTGTATTTATTAAAAATGTATTTTATAATTTGCTCCAGATGCTGGCTGATATGAATTATAGTTTTATTTGGCAGGAGGCAGAGGAACAGGGCTGTACTGCAACATGTACACTCAAGCTAGGTACAACAGTTTTATTAGCATTCCTTCATTTTGTCCTGTGATGAAAACAACATACTCTCCTTCAAAGTCAGGAATTCAACTGTGAAACCCACTTTTATATTACTATAAATGTAAACAGACTATCCATTTTAAAAAGCCTACTTTTGTTAGAGTTCTTCCTTTGCAAGTGTTAAAACTCACATGTATCCGGAAAAAGTATTTTTGTTAAAATGCATTGCTGAAGGGACTAACTGACCTGCAATCTGAAAATCCTTAAACTGATTCCCAAAATGAACAAGCTTGTTCTGAATTAGCTATTATTTATATTCCAGTATCACTGAAGTGCCTTTGGAAAAGGTCTAGCTTGTAGTCACAGATCTAAAGATCATCATGTTGCACACAGGTAAGAACCTCACAAGCTTATACCAATAACTGTAACTTGTACATTTCCCATTATTTGAATGTTTGACTGTGCCTAAATGAGACAGTGAGGTAGTATTAGAATATGTGTTTCTTAAGGGTGACAAGAAGAATTACATGCTAGCAAAGCTCCTTTCATTCACTGGAAATGTATTAATGGTACAAATGAAAGATGCTTCACTAGATATGGGAATTTACCAGTTACATTTTTTATAATACACATGAAACAAAGCTATGTGGCTTCTCTTCTGTTGCTTTGTTTAAAACAGAAGAGATGGTTAAGCAACATAAAACAGAAATGTTTGCTCACATATTTTCAATTTGGAGTCACTAAAAGTATACATTTGGTGTTTAGGATGAACTTTTCCTTAGAATACAGCAACATCCACAAAATTCATAGCTCAAGATTCACTCAAGAGTTTGTGCTTTGTTTCTTTCAAATCAGACTGGTCAGAAAAAAAGAGTGGCAACTCCAAAAAAAATAATCAACCCCGCTTCTCTAGCTTTTTGTTATTAGTTACAGATATTACACTCAATTTCAAAAAGAACAGCCCTGAATTATAAATTAAAACACCCACCAAAAAATCCAAACTTGTAACAGTTTACCTTTCACATATCACAGTATGCTAGAGATTGGAAGGGACCTCAAAAGATCATCTAGTCCAATCCCCCTGCCAGAGCAGGAACACCTAGATAAGGTTACACTAGGTAAGTTTACACAGGAACGTGTCCAGTATAAGCATGGATTTGCGGTTTTGTTTTGGATTTTTTTATTTTAAACACAATTATACCTGGAATATATCAAATGCAGTTTTGTGTTTAGAACTACAAAACAACCTGTTCAAGTATTGTTAAGTATTCACTCTATCACTACTGTTTCACAATGAGTGCACTTCAAGTTCTATCATTTCACTGAACAAAATAATTTAACTACATAAAGTACGTGATGCAAAACTTTGCTTTACTTACTCGAAGAGCTCTCTGTCCAGCAACGCTGGTAGATCATATTCAACAAGTAATTCATAACTATGCCACAAAATTGCTGCTACACAATGCAAATGGGAAGGAGATGGCATCAAAAGACCATACTCTTTTGTTGAGCTATTTGGACAGATGTAGCTGACCCGGCCACTTTTTTTCATAGCTGCAACTCTTGCAGAATCACTGACCCATTTCAGCAGTGCTTGAATTCTGGAAGACAATATGATGTAGTGCATTATAATGGGTCAAAGAAACTCTCAGAAACAAATTAGCTTGTTGTTTTTTTTGCAATCCAATTTACACAGTTATCTTTCCTTTTGAAGCAAAGTTCAAGAATGAGCTCAAACTCTTTTCTCGAGACTTAGATCACTAGATCACTAACAGAGAAAAAATTAATTAAAAGCACTTATCTTGGACATCCAAATGTAAGTTCTCTTTCTACAGAGAAAGAAAACATAGCAGGTATCTGAGTTCTGAATATCTGAGAGAAAAGTCAGTTGAGCCATGAAAGTTTTATCACATTAATAAGAGCAAAAAAAAAAGAGGGACAGTATTCTCTGAAAAGTATGCAAAGAGCTAGGAGGGAAAGCTTCTTCGGATGTCTGCACACTCACGCTATCTTGTAACAATCACATTTGAAAATGTCTGTGCAGTCTTATCAAGCCAGTATTTAACAGATTATTTTTGTATACGCTTTCAGATGACAATCCAAACAACATTACCTATCTTTTGTTCCAGGGTCTTGAGTTGTTCCAAGCTGATAAAGAATGTCTATTGTGGAGTCAGAAGAGAGACCATTTAATCTTCCAAACAGTAAAGGGCTATTCAGATCTTGCAGCATTCAAAAAAAACCAACAAAACAACAAACAAACAAAAAAAATGGGAGGGGAAATAACAGAAGTACTTACATATGCAGATTTTTAAAAGTACTAGTGAAATTATTATAGAATTACAACATTAACATTGAATTAAGTAGTGCTAATAACATAAGGATGCAATTCTCATATACACCACTATATTGAAACTCTGTGTTTTGTGTATTCAATGTAATGTTCAGACTTACTATGAAAGGAAAAACCATTGCGACATTCAGCAGATACAGGACTTAAAACGTTTAACTAGTAGGATTTTCCTACGGATATTCCAAAAAGATGTAACTAATTTCCATAGAGCTGTCAGACCTTGTGATTCACAAAAGCAAACATTTATTTCAAAATGGAAGTTAACTCCCATTTCCATCCCACTGGACTAAGGCTGAATATTTTCTCAGATTATTTCCTATTAAATCCTCTCACTGTGTTCACTTCCTGCCCTGTATGAAGCTAACTGCATTGTAGCAAAAGGCACCAGACTACACTGAAGCATTAACTCCTGGCAAAATAAGTCATGGAAGCCATTTTGAAAAGTTTTTTCTGTTAGTATCAGCAACCTCAAAACAGGAAAAAACATGAATTCAGTTTTCTTTCATTTGAAAGGAAAGTGGTGTAGAGTCATAAATACAAAAGCCCCAGTTCATTAACAGAAGAGCTACTGCAAAATTTCACTGCGGGACACAGGTGTACGTCCACCTGTAAATATTATCAGTGCTTAGTGCTATTCAGAATACATACTGCCCTCTAGATAATTACTGCCCAAATATTGCTGTGTTTGTTTTCCTTAACAGTACTCCTGGATGCTCTTTATTTTGGAAGATTTGGACATAGTATCTACAGTAAAACACGCAACATATTGCATGTCCTCTCATGTCTTCAAAATACTCACCTAAGTACCTATTCCATTAAGTAAATCAAAACAACCCTGGCTGCACTGTTTTACTGTTGTAGAACTTCCCACATAGAATGACTGATACTTACAAACATGACAATGCACAACGGCAAGTTCTGGCAACCCAAATTCAGAAAGTAACATGCAAGTATTTGTACATTTATATAAGCAATGTTTTTAGCAACAATTGAAAAGAAAAATAATGTACTCACCTGCAGGATCACTCCCTGAGGCTGAGCAGTTTCTTAGAAGAATGTCAATCAATTTTAGGCCTATTCTGGTGGACTGAAGCCCAATTTTGACAAGCACAGCCTCAATGTTTGGAGAATGCATACCACAGTAAGGTGACATTAGTAAAGCAGCGCATGTCTGCAACAGATTAGCTGTGGGTGCTGCAGCACTAGCCATCATTCCTTCTAAATCACTTATGTGAGTGAGGCAGTGGTGTAACAATCTTAACCATCCAATACTGAAAAGAAAAGCAAACATGAGCTAATGTAGAATTTTCTTATTTCTTTATTTTTCATCTATAACATAACTACCTATATTAGATTCTAGGAGAAATACTGCAGAAAACTGCTGTGACATAACCAGATATCATCTGAGAAAAACAAATTAAAATGACTGAATTTAAGACCACTATGTAACATACATCAGTAATTGCTGTTGTAATCATGGTTTAAGGTTGTAAGAAAGGATTGATTTCAGGTAGGAACAATGAAGAGCCTGCAAGTTTTATTACTGCAGTTTCTCAAGATTTCTTGATTCACATATTAAAAGGAAATGGCCAAAATGTAAGACCACACTGCCTCATTTGGGCACCATTGCATTTATTCCTATTTAAAGTGAAGATCTTGCAACAGTGGTTGGCATTAAAGTTATACACCTGCACAGCTTCCTTAACATTACAAACTTTTAGGGTCATACACATCAACAATAATTTACAATAAAGTAAACATTACTGAACCAGATTTAAAAAGCACACAAAAAAGGAGCAGAAATTAAAAAAATGTTAGCCACTGCATTTTCCCTGTCTCTCTTATTCTTTAACAATATCATTCAGCATTCCTTCTAATAATAAATTTTGTAAAGTAAACCTACTGTAATGGAATCAATTTGGAAACACATTAACTACACGTTATTTGTAAGAATATACTATAATGCTGTTTAAACTGGTATCATAAACAAGATGAGAATCTAAGATGCATGTGAAACAAATGGCTACATTTAACTGACAAGTTCTAAATTAACAGGTTAACTTGTTTTCACAGCTAATCTTATCTCCCATAGTTCATAACAAGGGAAAGTTGCATACGGATCTTAAATGAAGTTTACCGTTTATTTTAGGAATGATTTATTCCTAAATATTTATCCTTTTAGGAAAGAGCAAATTTTCCGTTATGTCTAAAAGACAATTACATCAAAGTTTATTGAATATATCTATCATATTACTACCCCTGCTTTATTGAGGTACTTATAAAACTAAGCCAAAAGCCACAATAAAGCATATCAAGACACAAAGAACATACATTCATCTGATTTCCTTAGATACTGATTATTTTTGTGTGACTTTAAGATAACCTTTATTTTAAAATCCTTAAGTATCTCTTTATTTTTATTTTAAAAATGAGTAATAAACTCAAGATGCCACCTAACCAAATAAAAGCTTTGGAAAAGAAATCTTGCTGATATGCCAGAATCCTAACAACATTCAGTTCCTATTTCTCAAATGTTTGCAAACAGCAATATTAGATATGACTTCCACAAAACATCCCATTGTCCTATTTCTATTTCTGCTTCAATACTTACGCAACTCCCTTGACTTCAATAGGGTTAAGAAGTATGTTGCTACTTCAGTTTTTCTGACAACTGCCTACCCATTAAAAACACAGAATGCAACTCTAAATGCTTTCCTGTGCTTTGTATTCCTTCACCATTGCAGAGATGAAACATCCCCTTTCACATATGCAGATAAGCACGCTACCAAAAAAAGTTAGCACTGCTTCTATTTGCCTTCTGTTAAAAAAAAACAAACCCAAACAACACCAAACAACAAAAAGGGCAAGTTTTCTAAGATATTTGAAATAGATTCTGTAAATATTAAAATTCAACTACAAAACAGGTATTCATGAACGTGGTTTGCTTCTGGAAGATCTGACTCAGAGCAGAAAACACCATAACAAAAAAAAGCCCCAAACCATGAACTGGCACAAACATGCCACTCTCCATTGATACTAGAAACTTACCTTGTTTTAGACACTTGATCCTCAGAGGGAAGGAATGGATTATTGACAGTTGCAGATGAGGTGTTTCCAAATGCTGTGAGGCCTAACAGTTTAATCTGAGAGAGGCCTAGTGTACTGGCATCCCGAGGACGATGGAGACGAAGGCAGACAGCTGAGGCAACTTCAGCTTTTACTAGCTGGATTTTTATATAGGTGAGACCACTCGTGATAACAGGAGTTGACAAAGGTAACATATTGACACCATCTGCGCTTATTTCAACAGATACTGATGAAGGGCAAGCTACAGAGGAAGAGAATTTTTAATACTATTTAAAAACGTGTACTGGTTTGAAAGTGTTAAACACGTATACAAAGATGATTGAAAAGGTTTTGGACAAACACTACAGAACTGCAGCTGGAGTATTTGACCTGTGGGATCGTGTATGTTGAAATGCAAAAGTATTTTGATACATCCTGTATACAGTTTCTTTTAAAGACTTAACATGAAGAAAAGTTGTGTCAGTGTAAATGCCACATGTTTTCCTAAGAGGTCTACAACAATAAGAGCTGAGTATCTTGCTTTATTCCAACTACAATACAAAACCATTTTGCCTGAAGACCCCTGACCAATATCTCACTAGGGAAAGTTTCAAGCAGTTTGACTAGGCATGTGTAACATTAATGCTAATGAAGCTATAAAAAAAAAAAATCAAGCAGAGGCAGGACCTTCTATTCTTAAGGAAATCAGAATTAGCGAGGCTTTCCACTTATTTTACAGGTTTTCTTCAAACAACCTGCCAGCTTTAGCTCATCTGATTATACTTTTTGTATCATTTCTAAATCCTACCCTTCCAATTGTCAAACCAGCGTCAATGTCAGTAGATGTACTTACTTGCCAGAGAGGCCAAGTGAGGCTGGATGTGGATCTCCTTGAGCAGCACAGCTGCAGGAAGGTGAATCGTGAGGTCACACCAAGCTTCCTCAGGTAAAAATATGTATGACCATGCAGCAGACCGAGCTCGTCTGTGGGGAGGAGTGGCCTGTAACAGCACTTCAGCAGGCTGGGCAGTGGGACTGCTTGAGGTGATCGAACCTTCAAAAACAGCACCATTAACCTTGATTATTAATAAAAACCAGATAAATTTACAACCTGAACTGCAGAAAACACCTTTTTTTTTTTTTAACTCTATCTCACTTGTTTTGGTTTATTGATAACATCCCATGTGTAATAATGACAACTGCTGAGATATGTTTCTTTTATGCTGTTTTAAACAGGTAGTTTACATATGTACATATAGCAAAAAAAACCAAACCCTAATCACAGCAGCAACTGCTTGTTTTTTAATCTTAGCATGAGTTAAGAATGAATTAGGAAGATCCAAGCTGTCTTCCTTAGCAAACATTACAGCACAACAAGACCAGATAGGTGCTGTTCAAGCTACAGGTTCTTGGGGGTTTATGTGAAAATATCTCTATCCTGGCACCATGACTGAATGCCTAGTAGCAGCTGGGGGTGAATTCGTGCACACTTTTTAATAGGCTTTCATCCCATGTGAACTGAATTCTCTTTCAGAGAGCTCTCCATGATGAGAAACAGAATGTATTAAGTGAGGACAACCAGACGGTTAATTTCTAAAGCACACTCCTGACTGAAAGTATTAAGATAGATGCACTCATAGCAGATCATTGAGAACTGCTGGGAGATAAGGCATTCAAGAACCCATCACCATATAAATATAGGATATTTTCTGCTAAAAGTAATCAAGAACCAACATTTGCAGGATTCTTAAATTTATCCTTTATGTATTTTTGAAATGCCAAATGGACTGAATGGATTTCTCTCTTATCCAAAAATTTTACCAGAAAATTTAAAAAGAATTTTTTCTCTCCTCTTGACAGTGAGACACACTGTATGAATACATTCATGGGCTATGCTAGCCTAATGGGCAATAAGATGCTGCTAGTGAAAACGAGCCTTTGTGAGATATTAGAGTACATCTACATCTTAAAACACATGTATTTTAGTTAACTGACAAGCACTGTATTGTTACCAAAACATCTCTGTAATTCTAACAAATGCTCATGCAGGCAACATCAGAGCAATTATGTGCATGTGTGAGAGCAGCAGCAGCAATATCAGCCCTACACTCCCGCTTCTTCTCCTCTGACACAGGTTAGGCTCATCCTGTTTCACCCAAGTCTGCTATGCTATGCTTCATAACATCACGACCTGATGTGTCTTAAGTGAAGTTAGTGAGTGTTAATGTATCCATAGCAGATGGTGGAGTGGAACTGATCACCCTGACCTACGGAATGAGGAAGGGGCCCACCCTGCTGCTGGACTACATCAGATACAGATCACTTCCTTTCCCTCTTTCCACTATCCACAAGAGGTCTTACTACAAGTGGAGGAGGTGCACTCATATCCTCCCCCAACATCTTCATGAAATACCAGCAAGCTCCCTGTTTAGAAGGTTTAACAGTATTGCAACATTTGACACTATCACAATAATTCTAAGAACTTGATAAAGATTCAAATGACCACTGGACATTAATGTAAGAGAAAGAAATACTATTACTTACCCAAAGGTGCAAAATTGTGAATTCCTTCTGCATTATCAGGCTCAGAAGCTAGCACTCTAGCTTTCAAACTGCTATCTGTTGCTTTGGTGGGACCAGAATCAAGAAATTTCATAATAGTTGAAACCATACTTCTTGCTGTGTTAACAATAGCTCTTGTGCTCGTTACCATATTGTTACAAATAAGCTGAACACCACCTGCATACAACATGGGCAGAGGGAGAGGAAACAACACTGTTCAGAAGCCTGAAATGGACTCCAAGCAAGCAAAGGACTAGTCAGCAAATTTGCTCCTCCAAACACGTATCTTTATTCCTTCTTAAGGTGCCCCCCCAAAAAAAAAAATCTACAATAACCCTTTTACTTGACACAGCTGAAGGAAAGCCATTCTTACCCATATCATGGAAAGCCTTCAGTGCCTCACTTGTATCCAACACCCGTAAAATGAACCAGAGCAGGGGCTCAGATAACTGACAAGTGGCAAGAGAACCCTAGAAGAAAAAGTTAAGCAATACATGGTTTCATACAAAATTAATATGACAGAAATACATATGACTGCTCTTAGCCTCCCTTTTTAGTAGGCAAAAATCCCAGAGAGGAAATGCCAGCGCAGTTGACCTCTATGCTACAAAATAGCAATACCATGTCCTACATGGTTCACTCATATGTAGGAGCAGTCTCTGAGGTAAGAAAAAGGTCAAACTACCAGGACAAGCAGCTGAGGGAAATAATATTGAGCATTTAAAACACCCATTTATTGTGTTCATAAGAGCATTTCCCACCTGCACATAAGAAAATATTCAATCCATCCTCAAGCTTTTAGCCGGGAACACTTACAGGAATGTTGAAATGTCCTTACAGAAACTCACACTCCCTTTACCATCGGCAATGGAGGGAGGCTTGCTAACTTCAGCATCAAACTGAAGCGACGTTGGAAAAAAGTTAACATTTCTTTTACACAACACGAGTTCAGGTTTGTGAGCTTATTATAAATGACACCATTAACTAATCTGTAATTCCTCTGAAGCACAGTAGACCTAAAGGAACTTACCTGTCTTCCCATGTACCCACAGGCCATGTAGGTAAGAATCGGCTGAAGCATCACTTGCACTGTTGTTGCTTTTTTACTAAGTGTTGTCAGGATAGTGAATAACCCATCTCCAACTGATATTGCATCTAAGCCACCATGAAAATTTTCATGTTTAGTAAGATGTAAGCCACTCGCACCTTAGTGAAAACAGAAACACTTCAAAGGTCAGAAACGGAGATCTAAAAAAAACATTACAGCACATAAGAGAACAAGGGGATTTATAGTTCTTTTCAGTTAAATGTCCACATGGATTTTACAAACTACAAACTGAATGAGGTTTTTGGGATCAAAGAAATTACTATTAGTGCTCTCAGATACGTGCTACCTTCTTTACAGTGAGTAGGAAGACTCAATCCTGGAAGGGGGTCAGGAATGTAAATCCAATTTTAGGTAATACGTAAATACCTTTTAGGTATTTAGTGAAAGAAGCAGAGTAAGAGCCACACAGACTGGAATAACTCCTAGCCAGAAGGAACTGAAAAGATTTTTTTCATATAATAGAAGCGCATTTGTACAGCCAACCCCCCCCCCCCAACATTTAACATATATATTTCTATCAGAAATACTTCTCAAAATTCTCCTTCTCAGTGTTACAGCTCAGGATTTATTAATGAGGATTTAAGTGAATATCAATATTCAGCAATATTGATTATGCAGTGCTGAAACTGACGATGGAAAGCAAAGGAATAGAATTCCCAGGGAAGAGACAACCTCCATAAATACAACTGTCGTATCAAGCATATGACATCTATCTGGAAAAGCTTTTAAAGTGGTTTTAGATTTGAGTGGGAGGAATCTATGCAATAATGCTGTTCCATTTAGAGAAACTGGAGTTATACTAAAGAATTATAGTAAAAGATGTGTTCAAGTCATCTTTGGAATATGCCTTAGAGAAACAGTTTGGCAACAGCATTGACAGCTATAGCACTTTAACCACCTTAAAGCTGTCAAGAAAGAAAATATTGATAAGCACTGGATGCATGGAGATAGATAAAATAAGAGTCTTAAGAGTCAGCCTCTGAACAGCCTAGGAAAGTTAAATGGAATCAATGATGAAGCTTAAGACAAGTAATGTGGGTTTGCTGTGAAGACTTTGAAGCGAGGAGTTGGTAGGCGAGGAGGGGAATACTTGTATGATTTTCATCACCTGTCAATGACAAAGCATAAAAACCTAATGAAATAAATAGACAAAATGGTCATAAAGAAAATCCAACAAATGTTTTAACTTCATGTGACAAATTAACTACTCAAGGCCTTCATGGCTCCTGACCAGGTGGCTTACCAGGTGTAGTAAATTAACACGATCAGCACTAATTTTGACACCAAAGCCACATCAGTACACATTGTCATCTTCATCTTTCCTGGCTAGCTAGCATGCTGCACTAGGTATTACATATTTATTACTGAATGCTGATAACTGATTTTGTACCATATGTAACCTTGGCTGCAGTCTTGTTAATAGAAATTGTCTGGAGAGAGCTTAATGCAGTTTCTCATGAAGGAACTAAAACTACAAATAACTGTGTTACATCTTCTCAGAATACACATACAAATTAGTTTCAATGACCTATACCAAAAGACCGCAGGAGGAACAATCCTCTGAAGGGACCAGCTGCTCCTGAATCCTGAATTCAATGAAAACACTTTGAAATGAGACTGGTTTTCCAAAATTTTTAAAAATGCAAAAAACCCCCCAAAAACACTGGACAGAAATCATTGGTTAGAAGGACATCAAAGTTTAGGAGAAGAATATCTGAATTTCACTCCAAAGCAGCTCGTACTCAGAACAAACCACCATGCCCAGAAGAAACTACTTCTTGTGTTCATAGTGTACTCACAATATGACACCAATTACACAGAGGAGATGTTTTAGAATTAATTTCAGGAATGTTCCAACAGCGCAGTCCAGACTTGTCAGCTCCTGCCTGCTGTTTAATTTGACTACTGGAGATCTTTCCTCAATTGTTCTTATGCCAAAATGAACCACTGGTCTAACATTCACATGCTCTCATCCGAAAAATATACTGCTTTCTGCTAACAGCACTGGTTAACAGTTTCACGTCTGCTTAAAAGAGATGAGCACAGAAAAGGCCAGAGGTACTTTGAGAGAAGAGAATCACTATAAAGAGAACCACATCTTACAAGTCTTTATGCCTGAAATAGAGTTCAAGCTCTTTAATTATCCTCCTGCAAAATGTTTTTCCAGGTTTGCACACACAGAAACATTTACGGCCAGTGGTTTCATTTGTGCAAATAAACCCTGTGCTAACAACATTGCTTACAAGCAAGTCACATCAAGATAGCCTCTCTGAGAAAATGCACCTTAGGTACATGTCTGACAAACACAATATTAATGAGATTTCTGGTACAACAGAGGAATAAAAAAGTTTATGTATTCTGTGCAAGGGCCATATCTGTAACTTGACTGTTTTCAGGAACGACTGACAAAAAGTAATGCAATACTTAAAAAACTGAGGTAATGCGTCTATAGCACAAACTGAAGACTAATTTGTGCATACAGGCATGAGATGGGCATAGACTGAAATATAAGAACTCCATTTAAAATTATGAAAAAGGGTTTTCTACTTTAAGAATAACTGAACATTGTTAACAGGCCGCCCAGGGTGGTTGTAGAGTTTCCACCCTTGAGGAATTAGAAACCCAACTGGACAAGGTAATGAGCAACTTGCTCTCTGAGGCAGGCTCTGAGCTGACCCTGCTTTGAGCAGGGAGGTTGGACTTGATAATCTCCAGAGGCTCCTTTGAACATTGACCATTCTTAGATTCAGCAAATTCAAATGCCAAATGCATTCCTGTTTGGTTTTAATGACTGTCTCCCACCTCATGTTAGGTTTTTTCACATAACATTCTTTTTCTTTCTCTTATCGGTCTCTCCCTGTCATTTCTGTGATGCATTCTCCCATGTCTAAACTCAGTTTATGAGTTTGTAGAAGCTTTAAGTACTTCATCACCCCAAAAAGATCTTCTGTTTTATTTACAAATAAATAAATTACAAATACCTACCAATAATCATTGCCATAGCACTGCTGTTACACTGGCCAAGTGCAGACAAAATCTGGCTCATAATTTGCTGGTTGGCTAACACCAAGTCTGCCACATATGCAGTTGATCCTTGAGTATTAGGGTTGCTTCCGTTGCCATCTTTGCCTCCTGAAACCTTTTCTTCATCAGACACACTGTCTGTAGTACTGCTTGCTACCGGAACACGGGCACTGTATTCTCGGTTACTGGAAAGCGGTAGTTGAACCAAAATGTTGACTAGTTTTAACAAATCAAACATCAGTTGATCCCTTGTCATCTCTCCACAAACTGCTTTGGCATCACCTGGACGGATAATATTGGCAAAAAGCCCTCCAAAACACGCTCGAGCACCCACAGAGCTGTCTGAGCCGCTGCGAGACATCACTTTGTCCGAACATGTAATGTAATGATGCACAAGGAAGGTTATAGACTCAATCACTGCAGAAATAGTGCTAACTGATACAACTTCAAAATTCTGTTCCAGGGTAAATTCCAAGAGTTTCACTTGTGCATCCAAGGGTCCCTGGCCTGTCTGGAAAGCACCCCTGAAAGGAAAAAAAACCAGCATAAATAAAAATTCATCATTCAATATTAACAAGTTTAAGCAGTTTGCTTCTTTTGGGTTTGGGTTTGTTCTGGATTTTTGGTGTTTTGTTTTGCTTTTTTCTTGATTTTTAAAGACTCAGCATACCAGAATTTCAACAGATAAAACTCCAGCCATTTTCAGAAATGCATGTTAAAGCACAATCTGATCTTTCTCAAGTTAAGCACTCTTAAGTTTTTAATTAATGTACTGGTCATTACTGTAGAACCTTCTTGTGCTATCACTTTCCCAATATCCACTGAGGATTACAGATTCATTTGAAAAAGTCTAGGGTCCATTTTATTTTTTTTTAATAATTCAGTTAATTTTGCATGTACAGGCTTGGAACAGAGTCCGGTTCAGTTGTGGAAGAAAAGTGTCATACGTTTGCAAGGAAAGTCCATGCGAAGAAGCAATCTAATACGTTAAAATCATTAGGATTATTAGTTTTCTAACAGGAAATCATGATGACTTTTTTCATCCCATATGTTTTGGTGGTTCTCTTCTCCCCCCAAGGCAGAAAGAAGAATGGTCAGGTTTTAGCTATTAAATAATAACAATACATAAGACGACCATGAGAAGGTATTCCAACTATCACAGGCTGGTGGTTGTAGAATGACTGTTTAAATGAACCCTCTTTTAGGGATAAATTTATTTTCCCAATTGCTTTTGCACATATACTGGTGAACTACAAATTGAACCTTTTGAATCAGTACTTTTAAGATAAAACTGGTGCTAATTCTTGAAGTGTTAGTTGCTGATTTTTGATATATTTCTCCTTTTGACATTGACCAATCTTAGTATGACTTTAAAAAATAAATACAGAAGAAAACATTTTATATAAATAGCCCTGAAGAAAATATTTGGCATTTAATTAGTCCTAATAGCAAAATACTGCTTTTCTTCACAATCAGTCTTATGCTTTGATCAGACATGATACACTCCAGTAATTTCCTGAGGTTTCAGAAATAGCCATCTAAACCCTTTTTTGGTGTTTTGCTTCCATTTTATGACATTCCAGTTCACCTTTGATTTCTGTCTCTCAAAAAAAAAAAAAAAAAAAAAATAAATTCAAAACCTATTCTTTCCATGCTCTCATTTAGCTTATTTCAAATAAATTATGGCATGAAGATAAGCATTCCAAGATTCATTGTGAATTAGTGATTTTGTTATATTAGGCATTTTTTGTATAAGTGAGTATCAGTGTAACCTGGTAAGTACCACTTACCCAAATTAAGTTACTAAAATAAAATCTCTCAGAGAAGGCTGAAAGTGTTCTCTGCATGATTACAGAATAGGTAACACCAAAGTGCCACCTACTGGGAAGCCAGAAATTAAGGAAGCTCATCCCTAATTATATAAATCTTTTGTCTGGGGATGACCAGAACACCAGTACTAGAAATAAACGATAATTCCTCATGCACTTCAGACCAAACAATAGCCAGATTATTAGTGTACTACTGTCTACACAGTAGTTTTGTGCTCACTGACCTAGCCTTGAGAAAACAGAGCTTTCTCTTATAAAAGGCAAGCCATAAGCTCTTATCTCCCTGGTCTATGGCATGTGTTATCTATACTAGTGGGAAGACTGGTCATCAGTAGGCCCCAGAAGAGTGGGGCAGAAGGCGTTTTCCACTGTTTGGTGAGAAGAGAAACAGAAGACAAAGCAATAAACATGCAGTTCACACGAACAGCTTTACACAATCTTGTATTTCATCCTACCACGTTATAAAAGCTATCCATCTGACTTTCACAATCTACGTGTAATTCCTAGAATTTTTCATTAATTCAGGGGTCTCAGAATACTCTTTTTAAAATAGTTAAACTAATCAACAGTGCCCCTATTTCAGGGATTACTTTAACAAGGCCTGTATTGCAGGTCTATATAAAATCATAAAATCAGTCTAAACAACTGTTCAGTGCTTTTATTCATTGTCCCTCACACAAAGATGGCTGTGTATGGATTCCAGTTGCACATGCCAGAAGCACCCCAGATGTTGCTAGTAGTGCTGCAGCAATATCTAAGATCTCCATCTACATATAACATGACAGGATGACAAGGAGGGTCATATACATCTTGGTTGAGATTAATGCTCACACAGATTTAAAGATAAACAGGGCATGAAAATAAAGTTCAGATTTACCTTTCTGTTGAAAGTATATGTATTAATTTCAATAAAAATTCACTGAACATCTGAGGACAAGTTGAAGAGAGGTGCACTTGTAATCGAGTAAGAAATTCTTGCATAGCTTGTGTCGCTGTTGGCCCAACCTAGAGAGAAAGGCATTTTAATGAGTTTTATAAGAACCTGAAGCGTCTTCAGGAACAGTGAGCAGTACCTAACAAGAACATTTTCTAAGAACAGAAAAGTATTATGTAGCTTAACTTACTTTCTGAAAAATTTTACAGGGTTTTCACAGGAGAACTATTCTGTATCAATTTATATTGTGTTTTTCTATTAGTAACCATGAGTAAAAAGCAAATAATTCTTTGCCTAAGACTCATTTTGCAGATTGAGATTTTCTGTTCAGCAAGGCAAACTATGCATACACACAGAACACATTTCTGTGCTGATCTGAATGCTTTTTCACAAACCACACATTTACATGCAAGTGCATTATATTAAAGGAACAGAACAATATTTAAGTTCTGGAAAAGACTATGTAATTTCTGGAAAAAAATATGGAAAATACTGTATCCTCTGTCCCCTAAACTAATTGGTTCAGATTCCTGTCTAATGTTACATACAATTAAGTTAACTTGGGCTTTGCATTCAATCACTACTCACAGATGTTTCAAAGACTGTAAAAACAAAAAAATAATAAAAAAAAGAAGTTGAAATTAGGAGCAACAGTAGATCCCACATGAATTCAGAAACAGGCAGAAAATAAAAGCATAATTTTAAATTCTGAAATTATTAGATATTTAAACTTAATCTTCATTGCCATTTTAATTGCAACCCAGTAAGATTTCAGGAAGCTAACTCAACTCTTACTTTTTTCATGCATGCAACTAAGGAATCCTAACAGGGAGCACATTCACTGATCTATCACATGGTATTCTCCCCCTGTATGAAGTCTCCAAGTAGCTGTAAAAACTTATGATCACTCCTCAGAATGTATAACCAATATAAACTTGCCTGTGGTTGCTTAGAGCCAAATAAGACTATAACCAAAATAAAGGAACAAGCCAAGAATATACTTTATTATGAGCAACACATACTCATGTCAAGTATACTGAAATCCTATTATGAAGAGTTTTTTTCTCTTATTTTAACTGCTAGTTACCTGTGGACTGTGTTGATTTGTTCCATGAGGGTTAGTGCCAGAAAGAAATTTCACTAACACATGAATGAGGCTTGGATCTGACACCAACAATTGGGCAGTACTTTCCTGAGCTCCAATGGCACTGCTTGGACCAGCTTGAAAAAAAAGACATAATAATTAGATCTGTAATCTTAAGCATTCACTGTAAATCAAACATTTATACTGCATATCCCTTGTATTTATTTCATGATGTGTAAATATTTTCAGCAAGATCAGCTACTGCTTATTCAGATTTACAATTTTGAGTGTAGAGTTTTCCATTAAATACAGATATAACCCCCCAAACTGTTCCACCAGTGTTCCAGGCCTCCTAAGGCAGTACTCCTGAAAGTAGAGCTTCATTTTGTAGAAGTAACATACACGGACATTTTGGTTTGTTTTTGTTTGCTAGTCAAACACTTTAATAAGGCTTAAAGGCATATATCAGTTTGCCAGACAGAGACTATGTGTTCTATTAACCTGTAAACAATCAAGACACTTTTGTCCTTGGCACATTCAGAGACTTATTATCATTGACTAAAACTGTAGAGAACTTCAGAGATAAGAACTCTGAGAACCGGAATTAGAATTAAAATACACCCTTCAATGATCAAACAAATGAGCTTTATTAAATGTGAAGTCATACTCATTCAACCGTGGTACACTGAATGAAGCTACAGGTTACTGTTGAAGATGCAATCTCTTTCAGACTACCTCATCGTATGTAAGATTAAATCAAGAGGAAATGATGCTCTGGTAGAAGAGCTCAGCTGGTATCCCTTCACATCCCAAGATAAGATTCTTAATTAGGGAGGCTGTTGAAAGCATCAAATCATGAACTACTTACTAGTCACTCTGTTTATCAGAGTATTCTTCATTCACGATACTTTCCTTAAACTAAGTGGCATTAAACTAATGAGCCCTAACAGGAGTGAAATATCCTTGTCAAAACCAGAATGAAACCCTGATTGGTTCTATCTCAGTTGAAAAGCTTTCAGAGAAATGAAATAAAAATAGCATTAGAAAGACATTTGCTATAAAAGAAATCCTTACAAGAAGATGAAATGAGAAAATAATTCAAAGTAAGTTTTCCCTTAACAAATACCATTTTATTCTCAAACTATAAACAGATTTCTTACTTTAGATAAATGCAGAAAACTAATGCTGAAAATGTCTGGCAAAACAACAAACCATTTTGCACTGATTTATCAACATTAGTAGTGGAACGAGACTATATGGCTATGACTGATGGCATGGCAATATCTAGCTGGGGTTGAATATAAGCAAGAAAGCATCCTACAGCATTCCAGTTCCACTGTATTGTAGACTATAAGCCTGCTCTAGTTTATATTCCATATTGCAAAAGTTGAAGAGGTTAAGTGATGTCTGGGTGAGGGACAAGTCTTTAGAAAGCAAACACATGATTTCACAGGTTCTCTAAAAGAAAAACAAAACATTTCAGAACAGAGAAGCCATCCATGGCAGGCTGTGTCTTGGAAATACCAGTCTGAGTGAACTACCCAGTTTATTTTCCATGCTGAATCTGCACCCCTTAACATTACTGAAGTAAAACATACAATACACTGATGTTCTCTCTAAGGAAATAAGGTAAGTAGGTTGATGGTGGGGAGTGTTTTTCATTTTTTGTTTTTGGCAGGTGTTCCTGAGTATATCATAATACAAGTTAAAACAGAAAATGATACTCAGGTCTCTAAGAACATGGCAAGCTCTAGCTCTTGCACATATACTTAGACCTGTTACATTACTGCCTTTTGTGTCACAGGGGTCTTTTAAGTTCCTTATAAACAATTTTGAAATTTAAGACAAATCACTATCACTAAAATACATTCAGCTGCAGCTGACAACCAATCAAATTTGGAAGTTAATCTGAATTTGGTTATTCTGTTTTTCAATTTTCTGTAACTTGCCATCATTTCAATATAACTGCATCATTCAGACTTCGTGTCTGAACAAGATGTCACATGAGTTTGTCCACAACTACTGAGCATCCAAATTAATTTTAATATATATAGATAAAACTTAAATACAAAATATGAAAATAACCTAACAGCAAAAAATATCACTACAATATAAAGCACCCCTCCCCCTTTTTTTTTCCCCTACATTATATTTATAGTCTAACAGGTTTTGCTTGGCATTCTAGCTCAGTTTTCAGGATGCACCTGCACTACGTGCTCTGTCAGGTAGCGTTTATGTTCAAAATGCTGCTCTCAAACAGTATTTCCAGTGACAACAATAACAGAAGCAAAGGGCATGTGAGGAGAACATGATTAGTTCTTGCTCAAGGAACAGATGAGCAAATGCACTTTGAGAACGACTTGACACATGACGGCTGTTTACTTGAGAGCAGCTGTAGCTCTGAGAAATTTTCCTAGCTACATTTCGTTATCATTGTAGATTTGCTTCTACCCACCTTCCTTTACACGACATTAAATGACTCCAGATGTCACCCATCAAATACTGATTTTAAACACTATCCTTGCACAATTTGTCCCTGAATCGTGCAAAGAATTAAGGTCATTGCTCTGAAAAGAAATGGTCGGGGTACTGAACTGATCCCTGAAAAATACCTTGTACTCCTCAGGTAAGAATTTCTGAAGCACAGAAGTTACACAGCCTGAGCTCTCATTCTGAATAGATTTAACAGCAAGTAATGGCACAACAAAGTAAGATTTTCTGACCATGAACTGACCTGCCCTTGACAGTGCTTACTAAAAATCCTATCATACGACAGTTCCCCAAAAGAATCTGCCCTACACTCCAAGCATGAGGAGGGGAGACAAGGAAAGACAGCAGGACAAAACTTACCATTAAGCTGCATATTTGTCATGAGAGTTAGGCTATGAAGCACAAGGCACCATGTCCGGAGTAAGGTATTCGGATACCACGCCAGAACTGACAGGAAGCTAGTTACAGAAGCTGTCAAGAAAAGCATGTTGTTCAAGCTTTAATCTTCAGCATATTACTATAAATTTATTTTTACTGTTAAGGTGCTATGTTTATTATTATTGTTATTATTATTAATATTACTCCTCTTGAATTGACTTTGTTTTGTCAACTATTGTTCCAGGAAGTTAGGAAAAGAAGCCCCACCAACACTTCAGATGCTGTCCCACAGAATTTACTACAGTGCCCACACCCTGACATCTCAGAGCAAATGAATCAAAGAAACTGGTTCCAAAATGCTCTCATGGAAGTCAATTTAACAGGTTCGTTATAGCAGGCATTAATGTTTTGAACTACAACCAGAAGAGACCACAGATTCTTAACTATACAGTGTAACAGGTAATAGAAAAACTATTGTACTATTGTACTACCATAGTAATTTGATGCCAGAAAGTAATAGGGCTTTCCACCTCTTCTAACCCATTTGATAAGTCAGAGAAGCGCATACAGGTGCACAGCTCACCTTAGACTAAGACATGTATTTTAAGAATCCCTCCTCAGTGTAATGACGAGTTAAACCCCACAAATTTTACACTTTAATTTCCAAGGAGATTATGCAAATTCACCTTCTCAGTTACATCTAGCCACACATTTTTCATGTTAAGATAATGAGCCAAGGGCTCTTTAATAAGAACACAGAAATTATCCTAACACCGATCTTATCAAGAATATTTACTGTAAAAATTGACTAATTAAAAATACCCCCCCAAAACCCCAACAAACTTATCTTACAGGTTCTGAAAATTAACTTCCCATATTTAATATATTTTACCTTGGTTCAAGGAAATGACAGGTATTCGATTAGCATTATAAAGGAAAATATCAGTGCCACTATCTTTACTTCCAGAGGAGCTGGAATTCAGGCTTAATGTGAGCCATAACTGTAAAAGGGATTCAAGCTGCAAAGAAAAAAAAAAAGGGGGGGGGCACGGGGAGGGAAAACCCACTATCAGACCAAAATCACACTCTGGAGTTCTGGAAAAATGCGTAACATGTATCTGGTTTTGATTTCAAAAGCCTTATCTACATTCTCAGCTGCTACTGTTTCACTGATAATACACACACACACACACACTCTCTCCTTTACTGAATTTGCTGGATTTGAAGACTCTTATAATCATAATATTCAAGAGAAATTCAGCATAACTAGAAAATGCATCTGCTATTTTTTTTGTAATTGAGTTCTCTAAATACAGTTAAGTTTTCCTTAAGAAGTTTATTCAAGCTTATGTTAAGAAAAAAGAAAGCAACTTTACAGACATTTCTGAGCAGCGTGTATCAGAACCTGACACTTGTAACCTTGGCTTGCATGCTAGCTTTTGGAATGTCTCAATATAGTCAAGCAATGTTTACCACTCAACCAAAATTATTCAAAAGGCCAATTTAACTACTGGGAAACCTCCTTTACTATCATGGACACACTGATGCTTTCTGAAAAACTCCCTTGAGGAAAATAACTACTCAGATATTCTGGGGGAGCATCAAGGTCCTTTACACCACAAACTGTATTTTGGATGACGTATTTAAAGAACTACTGAGGAAGGGGTCAGCCACCCAATTAAAACATGAACAGGGAGGCAGGTACCTCATCACTTATATAGCATACATGGTGTTCCTTCTTATGTATCAAAAAAGTGTTGCTAAACCGATGACTTCTCAAAAGACACTTTTAACATTTAGGATTATTGAATAATTCAGGTTGGAAGAGATCTCTGAATGTTATCCAAGCCAATCTTCTGCTCAGGCAAGGTCCAAAGAAGATAGCAGACTGGGTTGCTTGGGATTTAGCCAGCTGGGTTTTTGAAATGTCCACAGATAGGAGACTGAATACTAAGTGACAACCTTCACTAATAAGCTAATTATTATCTTTCAGTGAACCTACAAACTTAACTTTCACTGTAACAAGAGATGCCCTATTTAATAAAACCTTTCAGCAGCTTGTCTATTACATTATTGGTACTGTTGTCCATGAAAGCTTCACAAGCAATAAAGCATATAAACGTAACAGGTTACGTGAATCCTAATTAGTAAGAAGTATACGAAAACAGCTTTCTAATTTAGCAAGAAATACTAGCAAAACATTTCAAAGTTCACAATTCTATACCTGAACATGGTGGACCTGCAGCATGGAAAAGAGTTTGTTGAAGCATGCACTCAGCATAGGTATAGATGACAACTGTACAACCAACTGGGAGTTCTGATTAGCAGCATGTAATCCTCTTAGCAATGAATCATCTGTTCCACTAGGAGACTGGGTTACTAAAAAAACAAAACAAGAAGTGACATCCTCCCATGAACTATTTTGTAAAAGTTGCTAAAAGTAATTTCATGTTTATTTCCTTGCATTTTATACTTAAGGGAAAGACACTCGTAATTTACAAGAAGACGTTCAGTGTAGTGTTCAGCTGAGTTGGACTACTGGCTACCGTACTATGAAAGGCATACTTGAATATCAGATATCTTCATTTTCACAAAAAATGCTTGAAAAGAGACCCCCACACAAATACATTTTCACTGTAAACACGTGTTACAGGAGTGTCTTGGTAACGCGATGGTAAGACAAACACCCGTAGTATCTCTTCCTTGCATTATGGTAAAACTATTGCAATCAATAATAAACTTCAACAGAATAAAGGCTGAGGATGTCACTAAACCTACTCAATTATCAGATATTCAACTAATGACTGCATGTATATTAAGGCACCCGGAACAGCTATAAAGAAGCACATCTTAAAAAGATAGGCAGTGCAACTCACTGAAAATAAGTTCAGAAGTAAATTAGCATCATGTGTGCTCTTATAACATAAAGCTTACTGAAAAGCTGAGTTTAAAACTGTATTAAAATATATTCACTTTCATCATTACATAGGTGAAACTGTCAAGTGCAAAGTAGTTTTCAAACATCTGAAATATCACAATGAATGCGAGTTCACAAAACAAGGAAACTTAATGTTCACTCGCACCTAGATCAGAAAATAAAAACAATTCCTCCACTGTAGTGCAATGTACTTTCAAAGAAATCCGGCATACTTGACCAGTTTCACAAAATGTTTTAGATACATGCACACACATAAGTCAAAAATCTGATGGAAAAAAAACTCTAATGCTCAGCCTAACAAGAAAATTCAAGCAAAATATAACTTTTTCCATACTGCTAAGTGACTACAGAAAAAATTAGTTGTAGATTTCAAAGCACCACGCTCATTACGTGAAGAAAATGATTTTAGGACATGTAGTTACATGTAGGTGATGTGTTTGTTAATGCTTGTAGAATGGAATCAGCCTCCAGGGTGGACATCATTTTCAGCATCAGCTCAGCCTGCTGTTCGAGTCCAACTTCTAGACGTGCATCTAAAGCTACACAAGGCAACAAACAGGGTAAAACTGAATTATATCAGAGACATTTATAATCAGTTACTTCCTGTGCAAGCAATATAGCTATACAGCATACGTTAAACAGAAAAAAAAAAACAAAACCAAACATCCCTCAGAATTGTTAACAGGAAGATTCACTTTAAATATGTGATGGAAGCAGAACATAGAAACTTACACTCTGAACCGAAGATTCTTGTAAGTGTAAAATACAAAATTAACCAAATACTACATTTCTGTGACACATACATGTATTTCTTTTCACAGTCACTGTAATAAACATATGCGCATTTAGTCATGTGTGATAAGCCTACTTTTCCTAAAGTAACAGCTCTCAACCAAGAACTAAAAAGTTGGTTTTCCCCAGTGTGGCAAGGGAAAGACCTATCAACTCCAAATTAAACAAGTGTGCCACCTCATTTTTTAGGCTAGAGCCAATTATCCAAACTATCAGCCAACTAGAAAAGAGCTTCTCAAATTTCCTGAGAAAACAGGAAAGATTTAAACGTGCCTATAAGTGAATTCAAAAATGCTAGAAAATAGGATTTTCTGCTGTATTAGGCTGATTTAAATAGAAACTTCACATAATATTTTCCCAGCTACCACAGAAAAACCGTGGCATATAGAAAAGTTACTTCTTCCCATTTAATACACATAGGTTGTTTACATCATTTGATATGCAAAAGTGTCAAATACAGTATCTCAGAAAAGGAATAATGAACAGAACTTTAGTTCGTTACTTACCTTGAGACACTGATACGCTCACAGTTTGTGATCCATTTTTCTCTGTAGTTACCGGTGGTTTTGCAACTGGAATTCCAACGCCTCCAATGTAAGGATTGTAATTGTAGGTGCCATAATCAGCACCCCAGTAATCATACCAGGTGCTGCTTATAGGCTTAAAAAGCAAACAAAACAACAAAGAAAAAAAAATAAGCAGCAACTCTTTAGACTGCCCAAGTAAAAGAATAAAATGACAAACAACAAACACTGAAGTTACAAAAAATTAACACCAGAAGACTGGATGCAATAGCTTTAAAAAAAATTGTTTCCATTTTTATTGCAGTGTAAGCTATTGAATGACAAAATCCAGCAATGCAGTTAGCTATCTGAAAGACTAAAGAAGCCAATTATCATCAGTTTTTATTCTCACATTCGTACAACTTTGTAAATTTGGAAATGAAGACACAGATATTTTGAGAAGTTATCTAAGACAGTACTATAGCATTAACCGTACTATTAAAGTAGCTTGAAGCCCAGTGAGGCTCAGAGATTATTTGTAGTAGGGTCTGCAAGAGATAGAATTGAATAATCTCCACTCCAATGTCAATTTAAGACACTAAGAAAGCATATGGACCACAAAACCAAAAAAAGTCATGTAAGACTGTATTAAGGCAATTTGTCTATGCCTGTCTTTAACAGCAAGATCCAATATCAACTCTAATAAGGAGATCATGCAGATATGTGTGGACGAAGTGGACTAAGGAGTACTACCACATGAAAAGATAGAATAAAGGAAGGAAACATCAGCAACACAAAAATTGAGCAAAAGTGGCATTTTTGGTAGGGTGTGATTTAAAGAAAATCTTTACATGACAGGTAAACAGTGGAAGGACATATGAAGGAATATAGAAAAAAAATAGTGTTGTCTGAGCAAATGGTGAGAAAAATAATTTAGGTTAATTCAAATGAGGCTGAAGATGTAAGTCAATATTGACAGGAGTGGGAAAACTCCAAATGAAAGCGTCATCCTTATGGACAGAGAAAAGAAACGACGTTTTCTTATGAACAGCTGTGCTTCTTTACACCAAATCTCTTTTTTAAATATACCTTGACAATATACTATTACATCTAAACGCAACTCTACTACCTCCTATATGTTTAGTACATCAGAGTATAAAAGTGCTTTATTTTCTTGTTCCATAGTCAGCTAAGTTTTGCAGTCAGCTGCTTCATGTCAGAGTCTGAAGCTGGTCTGACCACTATTTACTGCTGACTTACTTTTTTAAACACAGTACTAGCAGTATTATCTCTAAAGATCAATTGCAGAAGCAAATGGCACTCTGTTCTTTACACAAAAAAAAAAAAAAGGAACCTTATTTTTCTTTTATATTATGCTTTTGTTGCTTTTAACATGTGAAGTATGAGTTAACTCAGAACCTCTTGCTTATGCATGTAACTTCATGCAACAGCAAAATGGTTTGTAGTCAACTGAGATATGATTATGTCTGAGATGTGAGCACAATCTTTACATTCTTTCCTGTCACTCTACATTAAACCTTTGTAAAAGGCTAAAAGAAGGTCTAAGATATTAAATATCGCTAACACAGAAGCGCAAAGAGAAAGGATTTCACTATTTCCCATGTAAAGGTTATCCTGAAAATGCAGGTGTATCATACCTTGAAGACTTTGGCTGCAAGAGGATCTTTCTCTAAATCAATATCTAAAGGATCAATATCAACTTCCATCAGGTCTTGCAGTAATTCAAGATCAATGTCCTTATCTTTTTCCAAAGATGACAGAGGTGGAGCACCTTTGAATGATTAAAAGAGTATTAATATTACCAAGTACAAATTATAAAAAAATACGTATGATACTTACCAGATAATTTTAAGTCTTTTAATATTACAGCTCTTAGTGGAAAATGTTAACGAATGAAATCAAGTTGCCTATTTTAAATAATCAGACAAATAACTATTTTTTCCTGATTAGATGTAAAATTAAGTGGAATTGCTGACAGTCTGTCTATATTTTCAGAAACCTATTATGTCCCTGCCCATGGCAGGGGGGTTGGAACTAGATGATCTTAAGGTCCTTTCCAACCCTAGCTATTCTATGATTCTATGATCCTATCACCAAAAATCATTTACTGACATTTTGATAGATGAATAACAGCGAAGTTTGTGGGTTGGTTGTATTTTTTTTCCACTTTTTCTAGTATACATATATACATCAAGGTTATGGAATAATCTACCTGTGATGTCATGGGTCAAAGGCTCATCTATTGTCTCCACTAACTGAACTGTGGACTGCTGGAGAGAGTCATCAGAATCCCCAGCCGAAGCTCCAGCATCTTCTCCCAAAGCACTTTCTTCCATAGCTTCAGCTGCTATAGGCGCCAACAACTCTCCTATGTATTAGATTAAGCAGACAACCAATTTCAGTTACAAATTAACACCACAGTCTAGGTCAACATTCTGTTTTTCTTCACCTAACTCTACGTTCTCTAAGGGCTACTTCCTCAAGTGGAGGAGTTCTGAATAATCTTCACGCAATGAGGGCCATACAAACATTAACTTTACAATGCACAAGTTACCAATTCAGGATTGACAGCAACTGTAATTTTAAATTGCATTCTTTACACACTAATCTCAATATCATGGTGGTTTTATTTTGATTTTGGTTGTTGTTTTGTGTATTTTGCTTTGGTTTTTTTTGTTTGTTTCTTTTTTTCCCCTATCTTAGCAGTGTCAGCAGATTCTAACATAATAATAAAAACCCCTAAAAAACACTGAAGGAAGAAAGATTCAAGTGTAATGTACATTCTGAAAAATATAAACATAAACTAAACCTGCTAGAATATCCTGCAGCATACAAGTCAAAGAATACTGAGCCCATGCTCCTCCCCAAGAGATGTCTCCTCTGTTAAAGTCAGTTCCGACGAGAAGCAGCAATAATCTTTCCAACTGAGTCTCATTTACAATCTCACATAAATGAATTGTTGGTCTTGTAGCATTGGCAATTCTAGCAAGAACCTGTAAGAAAAAGAAATATATGCCTGTTCATATTTAACACTGAAAATATGTAGTAGCTTTAAATTTTATGATTGTTACCTTTTGTATAGAAGCAAATGAAGCATTTTTACTAGCTTAGATTTAATAATTTTACAAGTGTACTTATATGAAAATATTTTTTAAGTTACTATTTCTATGCAGTTTTGAAGCCATCATATTCGAAGTTACACAAAAGGTGACGGGTCAGAAGAACTACCTCACCAGAACTTTAGAAGTTTTAACGCTGCAGCTAATTTTTACCATCAAGCCTGGAAAAAAGCAGTAATGGAAAGCTAACGAAATGCAGTGTTCATTGCAACTACAAAGTGATGTTCCATAGTCTGTTTACCTTACAAACAAACAGAAGTAAATCTGCATGACAAGTAAAGTCCATGGACAAGAGAAAGAGTGCCAGCTTCTGCACTACTGAAATGCAACGTTCATGTGCCAATGTAAATGGAAGTGGTTCAATTTCTGGAGTTTCCTTTGCTGTTGATACTTCTGTATCTAAAGTAGAACGAGGCCATTCTGCAGTCCGACGTAGGCGTATTAAGTCCTTGAAGTGCTGCAGAAATAAAATTTGAAAAAACAGCTACATTTAGAAACTAAGCTCTTAATCTTTTCCCAGTGAAAATCTGAGACACTAATACCAGAACTTTGAAGAAAAAAGAGGGAATGGGGGAGAGAGAGAGAGAGAGAGAGAGAGAGAGAGAGAGAGTAAAAATATATGAGAACCTGTAATAGAGTTAAAGCTTTACTGGCAGAAATTCATTCTGGCAGCATGTTATCTTGGGTGACAGTCTCATATGAAAACCAGTTCAGGACATATGCCAATTAAGCCTTTATCTTTGACATAAAACTTATTGAAAATATGTATTTTAGAAGTTTGTTTCTTGTTTCCACACCTGCACATAAAGCTACAGTTACCAGGGAGCAAACTGCATATAAAAATAGCTGATCCAGAAATTTACCTTTATAAGAATGCTGACTTCTTATTTTTTCACATTAAGTAAATTATCGATAAGTTATAACTTTCTTAATACTTTCCAGGGTACAAAGTGTCCATTAGCCACCATAAACTGAACTAGTCTAATACTTGATCAGGCATTGAACTACAATCTTTTTGACAGAGGGCCCGTGTATTCAACAGAGGAAAGAAGGCGCTTTGATTACTCCTCCCATCCATCGAGGGCACACATTTAAGAGCTCAGTTCATTCTATCGGCTACACAGGCAGTCTAAAATCAGTACAAATGACTCTTATAATCTCACTTATGTAGTGAGTCTACTGAAGCAGACCAAAGAAAGAACTATTTACTAACACACAGGTTTCAGCTTTCTCCTAAATGCAATGAATGTTTTAAGTTACCCACTTGTCATAACTGAAAGTGATTAGTAGGCAAAATAGTTAAAAATGCATGAAATGCAACTATCAAATAATACAATGGCTAGATGTTAAGATAGTGTAAGGGAAAACTACTTAGTTCCACATGCTTTTTTGATGCAAAATGGCTGCTATAAAGTGAAACTTAAATAGCTGGACAGCATTATTTCACCCAGTGACTGGTTTAAAAATGTTTCAAGCGGGCCACCAATGGAGTAGCCCCATTCCTAAAACCTGCTGGAACAAAGCAGAAGATAGTGCAGGAAAGAACAGCTCATGACAAGCAAAGTTAGTGAAAACTTAGAGCTTTATTTTTATGCTGGTGTTTAAATTTTGCTGTTGGGTTTTTTTTGTGTTTGTGTGTTTTAATTTTTTTTTCATAATTACAGGTTGTTCTAAGATTTCCCTTTAGATTGCCTGTAACAGTAACATTCTACAATCTCTTTCTGCAGGCCTACTTTCAGTCATCTTAACAGGCATCAGTAATTCTGGAACTAGAGAGCAAATGTTTAACGTTTGGCAGCTAGAGAGTTTTACACTTTTCTTTCTGTGCTCCCTGCAAAGTCCATGTTGCCATCTCCAGAATCCCTCCATTTCAGCACTTCATCTCATAATCAAAGTAACTCTTTAACTACCACATCCACTCCCAGTACTTGGGGCTTACTGCAAGATGCCACAATTTCCATGATTTGTAGTTTTAGGGAGCTAAGCAGCTTCTGAGAAAGTTCAAAAAGCATTCTCAAAAGTCGCATTTATCAGTTTGGAGAGACAGTCATTAGCATGATTATTTTCTGATTACTCAACCAGGAGATAATCCAGAAGAATATAATGCATGAAAGCTAGCCATATAAAATGCTATTTTATGTTTTCCTCAAGAACTTGGCAGTGTTGGTCAATGAGAAACTTAACATGCGCTGGCAGTGTGCACTCGCAGCCCAAAAAGCCAACCGTATCCTGGGCTGCATCAAAAGGAGCGTGACCAGCAGGTCAAAGGAGGTGATTCTGCCCCTCTACTCTGCTCTTGTGAGACCTCACCTGGAGTATTGTCTGCAGTTCTGGTGTCCTCAACATAAAAAGGGCACGGAACTGTTGGAATAAGTCCAGAGGAGGGCTATGAGGATGATCAGGGGGCTTTGGCACTTCCAAAGCTACAAGTTTATTGGTGATTTTGGCCATGACAACCTACAAAACCTCTGTAGAATGTGAACTATTTTTCACAATGGAAAGATTTCCAGATGGCTGCTGTTTTCAGCATCACAATATACTTGATAGCAGCCATGATGAAACAGCTGTTTAAAATAAGGTCAACGAAAGACAAAAATGACTTTGCAGGAACAGGTCTTTTCACACAAAGGACAGGAAGTCAGTTACAGTTTCAGAGCATCGTACCTTTGAAGTAGCCTGCTTTAGTTTTGCCTGTTCTACTAAAAGTTTGTATGATGATCCTTTGTTGCTTTGTATTTTCTCTTTTTCCATCTGTTCCACCAAAGCCTTCTGTTTTGCTTTTAATAAGTTAAGTTGCTAAAAGAAAATGTTAATAGGAAAAAATGAAAATTTAAGCAATAAGATGTTAAAGGGATCAGTATGTTCATATGATAGCAATCTTCAGTTCAAATTGTAACTTGAGCTTTAAAATACTTTAAAATTACACCTTAGGTGCTTGCACTCAGGTGCACCCAGATCTATCTAGAAAGTTCAATTTATTGTCCAATATGAGCCACAGAGTGCAACAGCACATTCCAACATCAGTTCCTCCAGCAGACCCCATGCCCCACAGTTTGAGACAAATGTCAAAGAAGTTAGGCAGCCTTTAGCTACAGAACCAGACCTATGCAAAAGCAAGGCTGAATGAACCCCAGGGCCAAAGCTATTCAAAGAAATGAGATATACATGTGTGAAAATAACCACTGCCATGCTGGAAGTCACCTGTTTATGATGCACAAGCTGTTTCCTGATCTTTCGGGAATACACTCTATCTAGGATACTGTTGCCTTTAGTAGATCTGCTCAGACTCTGAGTGTGAAGGCTATTATTTATAAAACTCCACTGGTTTCCTAATAGGAAAAAAAATAATAAATCCATATTATTAAACTTCACTTAACTCCAAAGAAAAGAATTTACATTGCAGCAATGGTTAGCATGTCCATACACGAAATGCTAAACAAACAAGCAAAATCTAACTCTTGGAGTGTTATGCAACTATCAACACTGATGGTAATGTTTTTGTGTTATTTTAAAATCCAGTGGTACCATCTTGTTTTTGCTATTTTTAAAACACGTAAGGGTGTAAAAGCAAGACTGTCATAATTAAAAATACCAAAACAGATTCCATAACAAAAAAGCTTTATAGTTTTGATCTTTAGAAAAGATGTTCAAAGAAAACCACAGTTAATTCACTTCAATAGTAACAAGAATGAGGAGACAAAAAATGCATTTAGAAATACTGGCTACAAATACCATGGCAAATACAAAAGCAGTTATGAAGTAATTTTCTCACAACACAAATTGTCCCAACATGGTGTAATCTAAATTGCTTCATCATGGAGTCACAGGATAATATACAAGCATTTTACAAACTAAAATCAAAGTTGCATTTTTAATTTAAAAAAAAAAGAAAGATGTTTCTAAGAAGGGGGAAGCAGAAAACTGCAAATAAAATGATCACAACATCTGTTTTTAAAATCTTATTTTTCATGTGAATTGAATATATAAGTGTTTGCACAGCTCCCAAACCAATACCCATAGAAGCAAGTTTTGATATTAAGTGTTAAATACCTGTCAAAAATCGATCCCTCTCTTTTCCATTCAGAGGCTTCTTGGCTGTGGCTGCTTCATCTTCAACAGTAGCTACATAATCCAATAGCCTGGACACCAGCATTACAACCCAGCTGATCATGGGAATGTCTAAAACTCCTTCAAAATAAACAGATTTGAGTGTCTTAATGAAGTTTTAAAGCCATAATAAACTAATCGTAAAGAAACCATAAAAAGCATTCGATGGCATACATTTCACTAGGCCACAAGGATTCCACACCCTTTTTCTTTTCTTAATGAGGATATGAGTCTGAGCACTCACAAATGAAGGAAGAAATCCAACACTCAGTATAGAATTTAGGTGCAAGAGAGTATGTCACAGTTCTCTAAGTCTGAGAAAGTCAGAAGTCAACAGCTTCACCTCTACTGTTAAAGCTAAAAATTAAGCAGCATTTAAAAGAAGAAATAACCAAAAATTGTATGTTTACATTTCCTAAAAAACAAATGCAGAATGGCAGCTGCTCGCACTAAGACACATAAATTAGATGTCTCACATTCCATAGTGTGAAATTCCTCCATCAACCAGGTCTCCAACAAGACAGTTAGAACAATGCACCCAAATACCTTTATTCTTACTCCTTTGTTAGTGCATTTTCATGTAGCCATTTGACTAAGATGTCAGAAAGCCAAGACTGAGTCCAGATGACATGAACCATGCTGGCAGCACTAGGGACTGGCTATTGCCTATTTGAGTCTCACACACATTAAATGCAGTATTTTTTTGGGGTAGGCAGGAAAAAACCCTACATTTTGCATATCATGCACGAAAAATCTTTGTGTGCAAATCCAAATGTACACTGCTGAAGTGGACTCATGAGTGCTCAATAAAGACCAGAAGCCTACAATTAATGACCACGTAATCACAGCCATCATGCAGATGGCATATTTGTACAGCATGTCAATACACTAAAGTCATCATTACTGGAGATTAAACACATATTTTCAAATCTGTGAACAGTGCTGATAGCCACATTTAACTACACTACACTTTTCATTCACTGACCTCAAAAAAATTTTAATTAGCTCACACCATTTTTAATTCCAGATCAAACAAGAAAAGTAAAGCACAGAAATGCTTTCTCCAAAATCACACGTAGCAGCTGCCAGCCCAAGCAATCGGATAGAGACCCTGACTTAATTCCACTTTCCTGTCTACACTGGCAGAAAGCAACCCACCCCAAGCAGGCAACGGAACAGGAGGCCTCTCCATTACAGGACCCGAACAGGAACTGCAGATGTAATTGCAAGAATAAAAATGAGTAGCACTGATGACTGCTACATAGCTTTTAAGTTGCCAGAATAAAGAGGAGGGAGGCCTGCTGCAGGGTGAAGTATATACCTTTTCATATCTCTGTCTAAATAAGTGCATTTCTTTCCCTTTAATCTCTTAAATAATAAATAGAAAATGTCAGTTTCTCTCACTCCCTCCCAGTGTCTTTTGCTTACTCCTTCCCCCCTCTCTGCCTCAAAGCTTACAACTTCTCTCTACCCACAACACTCACCTCTTGCTCTGATTGTCCTTTTCCTTTCTGACTTTTTCCCCATTAAGTTTTCCCCCTTTGACACTCAGTTAGTCATGACAGCTCTCAAGAAGGGATTTCTTCTGCTGCACCTGATGCTTCCACCACATAATAATGCCCTAGTACTCACCTGTACTGTCCAGGAGGAAGGAAGCTGGAAGACCAGCAAATAAAGCTCTGAAGTATCAGTTACTTCTGCTTCCTAAAGTCCTCCATGAGGACAACTAGTAAGGCAAGAGCTATGAAAGGAATTGGCAGCTGTGGGGAGAGTGCAAACAGAAGTAGAGGAGATGTAAGCTTGGGTTTGGCTCAAATTAGTTAGAGACTATAGAAGGATATGGCCATGATAAAGTACAAGATAGGCCAATGGGAAGCAACAGGACAGCTTCTGACATGAGCTGAAGGCTTGTTTACATCAGGACACAAGGTAAATAAGTAAGGAGAGTCTCAGCTGGCATTTACCAACTTCACAAGGCTAAGAATTTTTAACAACCTATCTTCTACAATGCTCTGCTGTATGTACACAACAAACAAAGTAGCCTAAAGTCTGACATTTTCAAAAGCGAGCATTTTCTTCCATCTTGGGTGGTTAAGAAAACACAGAAAATCAAGTTGGGAGAATTTAACTTCAGTATTTTTTCAGGGTAAAAAGAAAAGGTTGAGTTCTGCAGAAACCTCACAGATACACCTAAAAAACATGTCTTCACATCCGCATTTTACCTCAATAGCTTGAAAGGTAGAAAAGGATCTCCAGAGCAGAAACGGCATGTATTTCCAAAATTTTAAATTCCAAAGTTATTCACAAAAGAGACTGGAGCTGTTTATACGTTGGATATTCCTCCACTTAGTTAAAACTTTGAAGATCCCTAGCTGAATTAAAAGCAACCAAATAGATTTTGCTCAGGTTTAAGTGGGAGTGAAGGGAGGAATCCCTTTTAGCACCTAAAGAACAAGAAGTTTCAGCACATTTTTAAACACAACTGTGTTTTGAAAATATAGTAACCAAGCAATTTCTTCTTTTATTGCACCAAATTGTGAGCTAGTCTCTCAATTTTCTAGCTTATAATGAATATGAAAATATACATTCCCAAATTAGAGGGCTACCTTCAGTTCTTCTGTGCACAGGTAAATGAGGTTGCAGTGGTGACAGCAGGTTATCCAGGAGATTAAGTAAACTTTCTAAAACACCACTGTTGCTAAGCGATCTTTGGCCAATGCAAGAAAGCAACATGAAGACCCTAAAAATAAAATTTACATATTTAAGATTTTATTTCTTTTTCAGATCCAGTAATACCGTGAAACACCCCTTATAGAACAGTATTTCCCTAGGCTTTCATTGAGACACAAGCAGATTGCTACTGAAAGCAGTACTATGGGCCCAGCAACTGAACTGGATTTCATGGTCTATTGTTGAAAGGATAATGCAGTGTTTTAAGGTGAACATTTTCTCTTTCATCCTCAAGAGGTCAGTAGAGCATTCTACTTTGTACATCTGACATATCTATTTCCTATTAGCAGGGATAGAGAAATATTCTTATATCTTTGAATTACTTAATTTCAAAAAAAATATAAACATATAAGTACTGCTGTCCAAATAAGGCAGAAAGCCACAGAACAGCAAATATGTTTGATTAAAATAAATGTTAATGTTTAGAATATCAAAGACCTCAATCAATAACCTGAAACAATCAACACATCTAACATTCATTGCTCGTCTCTATCCTTATTTGCTATTAACTCAGAGAACTCCTTTGTATTAAATGCTAATAGTATGCTTTCCTGTCTCAACCCTACTTCCAAACACATTAGAAAAGCAGCTCTACAGTAAGGGTGCACTTAAGCCTGGTAAAGGAGAAGGCAATTTTTGTCACTAGGGAGAAATCCTGCTAGGTATGCAAAGATCTCTAAGTAAGGAAAAAGAGCAACTAATTGTGGCGCAAGCACCAAACAGATGCAATAAATAACATTTATCATTTGCAGTGCTTTTGGGGACTATTTCTTTAATCAGTGGAATAGAGATGGGTAAGCATCCTTCTGCCATATTTTATCAATTCCAATATTAAGTTACTAGCAACAGAATTACTGAAGTGATTTAAAGGTAACATATCAATATAAGCTTACAGCTTACCTGTCTTGTGGGAATATGAGAAGTTGCTCTGAATTGTATAATTCTTGCAGTACATTTGACAGAAACTGACCCCACCACCTTTCTCCTCCACAGAGCTGAACAAGCAGAAGGCCAGTATGCAACCGTATCTTAGGGGTTCCACTGATACACAGGTGTTTAAATAATTCTTCACAAGCTTGAGCATGGAAAGTACTTTGCAGAACCACAGGAACAGAGTGCCCTTTCAAGAAAAGATAAGCAGCAACAATGTTTAAGGAGATAAGGGCTTCAAAACACAGGAAGAAAGAGTTTGTAGGAAGTTTTAAACACTGTAAGATTAGACTAATTGGCACAGGGGAAAGGAGGAAGGAACACATGAGGAGATGGCAATTTGCAGGTAACCCATACAGACCAGGCAATTTGGCCAAAACCAAATCTGTTTCATGTCCATGTACATATTCCCACATAATCTACACAGAGTAAAAAACCCTAGTTTTGCTTAAGAACAAACTGGCACAGAAAATTACAAGACAGCCACAGCTGCCTATCAACAGGACAATGTAACAATGTTTTGCCTTTATTTTTTCAAAGCAAGACAAACCCCACCACTCCTACTCAGACTTCAATTCTGATTCTCCAAGAACTCTTTCCATGGCAAGTTTAGGAAATAAAAATCCTTACTGGATATTAACAATCACAAACTGTGTGGAGATAATGGATTTATTACTCCACACACACAGCCCACTCCTCCCACCCCCTAAGCAATTTCTGCTTCCCCTCCCCAATTACAACTGTCTAATCTATCCCAGGTGTTGCACAGGCTTCAATCCTCATGGATCCTTCCACAAGCTGCTTCTAACTATAAAACCAATCTGAATATTCTGCCTGGGCAGTCTTTTGTTATTTCAGCAAACTGAATCAGACCACAAAGGGATTAGATGAGTGTCTTAGCAAAGGAATATACAGCCAGGACTACAGAAAAGGGAGAAGGACCTCAACACCTTCTCCTACCCTTTCCAGGAGCAGAAAGTGCTCAGGCCATCCACTGGTGAACCTTTGCACTATGTCACCAGTTACTAAAATCACATTACAACGTATCTGAACATAGCATAAAAGCTTTATAGTGTGCCAGCACAGATCAAGAAGTAGAAACACTTGCAAATTGTTACTAACATGACAAAAGTATCAAGACTTCAAAGAATACTAACCATTGGAAGAATGAAGCAAACTAAGCAAGGTATCCAGTAAGTATCTAATGATGGTGCGTAACTGTTCTGTGGATGACATCTGAATCAACTCTTTTGGATCAGATTGCTCCTTCAGTGTTTTCCTGCTTGCACCTAAAGCTACTTTGAGTCTCTGAACAGCATGGTGAGCCAAGTTGAGCTGAAGCTGTAGCTGAATGCAGTCCTGATAAGCAGAAAAGACTCTGCTATCTTCTTCTACTGCCTTATCTGGCTTTCGTAAAAAGTACTGGGCATTGTTAGCGCTATTCAGTGGTGGCAGGTCAATACTCTGCAGAAGGATTTCTAACCGGTGACAGGCCAAATTGTACCTAAAGGGAAACATTCCAACAGACAATTCAATAGATACCAGCAAATACCAATACATTTTAGTTATCCTGCCAGAAGACAACTTCTGGTCCATTTTGAATGCACTGTTAAAACACTAATACGCTGTAGTATTTTTATTATTACTATAAAAGATGTTCACTGATATAACTCTACAACAAAAGCAGAGTCTTCTTTAGTCTGAAGACTATCATGAGAAGACAAAAATAAAAATACATCTATAACTTTATGATATCCAGTATTTTAAGTTCAAATAATCAGGAAGTACATTCTTCTAACCTGCATTGTATGTCTTCTTGCAATGCAATCATCATTGCCAAATGTTGGTCAATTTCCGGCTGATTTGCAGCTTCACCTTCTCTGAGGGGATCATGCATTAGTTTCAAGTCATTTTCAAAGGGTAAGATATAGGTATGGCCATAATAAAATCCTAAAGGGATTTTTGCTCTGGCATTTGTGCTACCATATCGACCAATAACAGTGATCTGAAAGAGAACACAACTATACTGTAACAAAACAGGAAAAGTCAAAAATTAACTAAAAAAAAAAAATACAGCCAACTAAAGTTTGGTCTAAAGAGAACTTCAGAGAAAGTTCATATATTACCAAAGATCAAGAGATTAAAAGATAGAGTATGCAGTCTATATTAACTTTTACCTTCATAAACCTGCAAACTGGGGGTGGTAACAAGTCATGTAGAATAAGAGAATGCGTGCTAATGTCAGTAGCCACTACCAGTCGTCTTCCATCTACTTCTTCTCCTAAAGTCCAGATGTCAATTGACAAAGAAGCCAAATCTCCACAAGTGGGAATCAATACATCCGTCAGCAGTATAGGTCTTCCAAAATCTAAGGTCACGAATCTTCTTGCTCCTAGCAGAAAAACACAGGGTGGCCTAAATACCAGTGTGTGCTAAACAGCAAAGAGATGTTACTTCTCAGACAATAAAGCCATTATCTACATATTGTTCAACAGGTGTATATTTCAGGCTAAAAACAGCTGCACAATCTCAGAGTATCTTACTACAGCTTGCACACTCTGAAAAGAATTTTTGGCTTCAACTAGTTTGAAGTTGTTAGACTTGGTAAGCATTACTTCAGAACAGATTCTCTGTCCAGAGACCCAACATACTCCCTCAGCTCCCAGAACTTTTACCTTGATAAATATCACTGAATACTGGGACTTAAATTTCCAGATACAACAGAAATGCAAACCGAGAAAGATCTCTTCTTTGGAAAGCCAAGCAAGACTGCAGCTAAGCAACTTACTCAACACTCTGGAACATATTCCACTTATTTGAAAATGTGTCAAAATTGTTATTAGGAATTCTGGTTTTACCTGAGTGCATTCGCTCTATAATAATTGACTGATGAGGTGGAGGTTGAAGAAAATGTGAAGCGTGAGATATTGCAAGGGCAAGACCAGATCCAAGTGGATTCTGAGGAGTGGGAAAACATCGGTAAAATTAAGTCATTAAAATCTATGCATTTATAATCTGCTCTTTTCAAAAGACTAAGAAAACCTCTTGTGATTTAAAGATGTGTTATTTTGACACCACCTCGCTACAGTTACATTTGAGCATGAACCATGAAAATATATTAACTACTAAGCTCAAAGGATTAATAATTCCTTACACAGTTAAGCTAGCTGCAATTAAAAGAAACCATTTGAGGTACTATTAACAACTCCATCATGCTTTCGTAAGTCTTCCTTTTCATGTAGTCTAAATTTAGTACTGTACATTTCACATCTCATCCAAATTAACAGATTTTTACTAGTACTCAAGTACAAATCAGATCCTGATACAGCTTAGAGCATTTTGTTTCCCTAACAAAAAACAAACAAAAATAATTACCGTTCTGGACTTGCTTGTATTTTTGTTATGTGTTGCAAGGTTAACTGTTGGGGGATCAATGACTGAACCAGGGAAAAGCTGAGCAAGTTCTGCATTAATAACAGCAGAAACTGCCTCATTAGGCGGGGTCAAAGGTGGAGTCATGAACAAAGGAGTTGTTTTTGGTGTGGGTGGAATGACATCTGAAGGATGGATGAAGAACCCTGGGGCTGCTACTGGATTAGAAGGCACAGAGTTGTGAACAGGACCAACTGCTGATGCTGCTGCCGCCGCTGCTGCTGTTGTCTGATGCAGTTTTGCTTCCAGCTTAGCTTTCTGTGGGGACAATTAAAGCAGTGTATGCAGCAGACAATACTTGTGAACACAGCAATAGTATTGAATTCAAGTGTAACTTTCATTAGAAAACTAAATTCAGTAAATCCAAGCTACCTTCAAAACAGGCATGTTAGATAGCCAACTAGAAGCTGAAAAATGAAATACTATTCAATTTAACCTTCCTTGCCGAGGAATGCGAGTAATTAATTGGAGAAATCAAAAATGATAAAATACCTACAAGTGAACAGCAAAACAGGGTCAGCATAGCCAAGCTTCATACTGACAGTGGCTTTATAACTGGTACTTGCCTGTGTCAGCATCTGCACTTCTCACTTCAGCAGGCTTTTTCAATTTCAGACTGATACACTTATTTATTAAGACTTGGTCTTGATTACAAACTCCCAACCCACCCTCAAAATAACAAAAAAAAAAAAAGTCAGAAAGACGAAAGAAGCTTGGGAGACACTCTCAGCATTAATAAAAGTGCAGAGCTGTTCCTTCCTCACATACAGCATGGAGAAAAAAAAAGGAAAAAAAGGAAAAAAAAAAAGAAAAAGGTGACTAGCTCTGTGACTACTTTCTCAGCTTTTGAAGTTTAGAGACACCATTAAGAAATAGCTAAATAGCCTCCAACCTGTTGCTGAAGCTTCAAAAGCTGCTGCTGTTTCTCTTGCAGCACCTGGAGCTGTTGCTCGGCTGAGGCCATTGCATGAGAGAGAGACTGCAAAGCTACCTGGGCTGCTGAACTCAGTGCTGTCGAGGCTTCCCCAACTGTTCCAGAAGAGAGGCCACCAACTGCTGGGGTAACCCCAAAGGTACTCACTGGCATGAAGCAAACAAACAAAACAAAAACATGTATGTAGAAAATAAATGATAAAACACACCTTTAAATTAATTCCTTACTAATTGTTAAGAGCCATGTAAGAATAACAGGAAGATCTTTTATCCAGTTCTTGCTACAAAGTAGTACCGTCTTGAATTACAAAGTATACGGCTTATAGACTATGCACACTCATGATAGATGCAACATTCTCATTATAGAATGTTGCACCTATCCCTGGAATTTTTTTGCCACATAAGGCTGCAAAGTAAAGACGCAAGCTTGTATGTTACCCTCTTTGACAGAAAAAAACTGATCCAATTTAATACATTTAGAATCCTGTTTGTTTGTTAAGCTCCAAGAAGTAACTAGTTAAAAAACCAAAGCTATACGCAATCTGTTTGGCACACAATGCTCATTATGTCCAATTAAAAATAACTGTATTGTGGAACTATGCTAAGTAGAAAAAATGAAAAATTGTATATACCAGTAAACGTACTTGCATCGTCCCTTTCTATTCTAGTTCCATCACTTGTTGAAACACAGGTAAAGTGCAGAGGTTCAACTTCCAGAAGTCCAGTAAGGGAAGTAAAACTACCTTCCGCAGCTGCACAGCTACATATTTTCCCATTTCCTGAAAGAGAAATACATATCTGTACAATGAGCTTATGTTTTCTTGATAGTGACATTTCAAGTCATGAAGAGCTGAAAGGAACAACTAAACATAATCCACATATTACTTCACTTTGTGGAACAAACACCTTAACACTATCACATCCACAATATAAATGGAAATATATTTTTTAATGGATAATGTTGCCAAATCTGAGCAGAATATCTTAGTAAATCACACTAACAAATGTGACCGCAGTAGCATAGCACAATCTTCTTAATTCCAGATAAAAATTATACATGGTGATCTATTCTTTCCACACTGTAAAAAAATTATCTTGCAAAAGTATTGATGCTACTGGAAAGAAGAGACAGGGAACAACAGACCAAGATCATACACCAAGTTAGAATAAAAACTAGACTACTAGTCAATATACTAACAAATTCACAGTGATGGACAAAAGCATACAAGAAAAGGCAAGGAAAGAAGTCACTATGACTGATGAACTTGCTTGCTATGAAAAGAATTTCCTGAAAGATAAAAACTGTCTCATTCTTAGGACATTCCGAGGCCTAAAGATTCACATATGACCTAACCTAAGAGGACAGATATAAATATGCTTTAATGTATTTTAATGTCTCTGAAACAGAGAACATCTCATTAAATCTGTAATATTTAAGTAAAAGAGTGCAATGTGGCAGCTTGCCAGCTTCAGAAAAACCCATTTAGATTCCTCTGTCTACGAGGTGGTTGCTAGTTTAAATGAATAATAACACATCTCAAGGAAGCTGCTCAACAGAAGGGACAGATGCTTCCTAGACGATTCAGACTCAGGGAACGACAGCAGCCTTTCTACTTAATCTCTAGCCTTTTCTTAGATCTTCCACAGGATAAGAAAAGAACAGATACCAAAAAGAGTATTTTTTTATTGCCCTAAGGTCTACAGAAAATGTAAGAGATCTCAAGATGCAAAGAATAACTTGAACTTCATTACGTACAGCTATAAAACATGCGGCAAGTAAAAAAATCCCATCCTCACTAAAGGAAAACAGTATAGTAGAAAGAATTACTAATTCTTCCATGATAGGTAACTGTAAAACATACATACCTGATAGAACATCAGACAAATCAATTTCATCTGACTGTACTCCAATGCTGCTGTTGTATATATTTTTACAAGAAGAGCCACTTATTTCCAAATCAAACAGAACTGGATCAAAAGGCGAACTATATAATCCGTATCTGCAAACAAAACAAGACAAAGAGCTCTATTCAAACACCAAGAATTTATATAAAATCATTTATAGAAAAAGGCCAAATACTTAATCATCAGGTTTTACTATATTCCAAACTATTCTTTTTATTCAATTGACATATCTTAGAAATTACCATGTATTATATTTCAGGAAAGTGATTTATTAGGTAACCTTTTCAAACAGCTTATAATGCTAAGTAAGTACGTAACTCTATTACTAAGTTGTTCTGAAGATGTAATACTGTCCTAGAAACATAAAACATAATCACACTCGGACATGGAAACTAGAACTACAAGCCTCAGACAATCAAACAGCAATATGCATGCCTGCACAGGGTAAATCAGACATTTATCTGAAGTCAATAAATACACAGTACTGTTTTCCAAACCACCAAAACTAATTCAGCCTCAGGTAGTTATTCCAGCTACAGTAAGAAGAAAAAAGGAAATGCTGCTAGGAATACCAGTCGATGCTCGTGAATACTCTAAGTATCTCAACAGAAGAAGATCTTATTTCTCTTACTCTGTCAGTATAAAAAAAATGATAAAATCACTCAGTTAACAAGGTAGTCTCCAATCAATTATTGTTTTATAAGCCAAGAATAGGAAAAGTCAAAGTAATAACAGAATCAGTCTTGGGTTCTTCCATGTACCAATACCTATTAACAGCAACTGACAACGGGATTAAAAAATGGAAATCAGACCAAATTATTCAACAGGATAAGAAAGAAAGAATATGTCTGTGTAGACACAAAAGTGAGAAACATGTAACACTTTGCGGTTTGACTGGTAAGAACCAAAATATGAAATACTTTCATGAACACACCAGCAGCAACACAAAGTTCCTCCATGCCCTTTTCTCTGCCTTGGAGCAACTTCTTCATTCTTTAGCAGGCAAGGAAAGCCCCCGGCAACACTGAGAAGGCTGGAGTTTTTAAGTGCCTTTTTTGCTCAAGTAGTCACAAAAGGATAAATGTCTACATGAATACTTACAGTATTATATATTATATACCAGCAACAAGGCAAGACAGGCTCTAGACATCTCTGAATCTTAAAATGCCTCCATATTAGCTAGGCTCAATGCTTTTTGCCACACGGTACTAAGACTGTAACTAGTCAGAAAATGACATTCTAAAGAAGGACAATTATCACTTACAAGCACCTAACAAGGTAGCAAATTTAAGATGAAAAATTTATATTAAGAATAACAAGTATTAGATGAATCCAGGTTGCCCTCTACAAGCATGGAACATTGCATACTGTACATCTAGCAAGACTGATGCTTTGCTTACGAAAGAAGGCCATGCAGCAAACACGAGACAACACGCTACTGTATAGTGGTTACTAAAACACACAAAAACGGTCAGACAAAATTCAGTAGGGTACTTTCACAACCTGTTTTAGAGCTCAGATTCAAAAGCGTAATCCACTAGGTCAGCTCAACATTAAAATTGCTTACTCGCATGATTTAAGTGAAGAGTTTGATTTATTAAGCAAGCAGGTGATAAAACATAAAAAGGGGTTATAAGACATTTGTAGAACTGGATCAGAATTTTAATGTATTGCAGAGAATGAAATAATCTTGGTTGAACAGAATATATTTAAATAAGCACAGTGCCTTTTACTGATCTTCCAACAGGAATCATGAGGTTCAGAGTTTTAAAATGCATTAGCAACACTTTCCACAACAGGATACAGAAGATACATCAATTAAAAAAAAAACAAATGAAGAATGGATCAACAGTGTCACATAAAAAGCCCCATCACCCTATTCATCTATGAGTAATGAATATAAGATATGTGAAATCTCTTCTGCTTCACTCATCAGTGATCTTAACTGGAACAATGTTTACAATTTTGTGTACCACAATTCAAGGAAGATGAAGACCAAAGAAAACAGCTGAAGGAAATGCTTTAAGAATGACTACAGATCTGGAGAACACGATCAAGATGCAAACACCCTCTAGACATCCAAAATTTGTTAAGAATTAAATATTGCTAAGGTGGACAGGACACAACCATTAGAAGCCTTTAGCTGCAGCAGAATGTATTTCAGATTAGACACAGGCAGAAGGGAACAGTTCAAGTCTTAATGATAAGAATAACTAAGCCATGTAATAGCTTAAAATATTTAGAATAATTAAATTCTACCACTACTTTAATCAGATGCTTTCAAGAACAGGCTGGAGAAATTTGTCAGATTTCCTGTAGACAAACCAACCTGCTTTGTTGTGGGACAGCCTAAAATATTGTCTGAAATCCCTTTTTTTTTTTGTTATTCTCTGAACTGCAACTCATGTAACACAGCCATCTGGCCTTATCCTTGCAAGTTTTACTTGCTTCACTGCAGCACAGAATAGTAAAATGAGTACTACTCTCCCTTAAAACAACATGAATGTGCAGGTCCTTTAAGGGAAAGTGTAGAGTCCTGCATCTGGGCAGGAACAACCCCAGGTTCCAGTATAGATTGGGGAACGACCTGTTAGAGAGCAGTGTAGGGGAGAGGGACCTGGGGGTCCTGGTGGACGACAGGGTGACCATGAGCCGACACTGTGCCCTTGTGGCCAAGAAGGCCAATGGCATCCTGGGTGTATTAGAAGGGGGTGGTTAGTAGGTCGAGAGAGGTCCTCCTTCCCCTCTACTCGGCCCTGGTGAGACCCATCTGGAATATTGTGTCCAGTTCTGGGCCCCTCAGTTAAGAAGGACAGGGACCTGCTGGGAGAGTCCGCGAGGGCAACTAAGATGATTAAGGGAGTGGAGCATCTCCCTTATGAGGAAAGACTGAGGGAGCTGGGTCTCTATAGTTTGGAGGAGATTGAGGGGTGACCTTATTAGTGTATATAAATATATAAAGGGGGAGTGTCACGAGGATGGAGCCAGGCTCTTCTCAGTGGCAAACAATGAAGGACAAGGGGAATGGGTACAAATTGGACACAAGAGGTTCCACTTAAACCTGAGAAGAAACTTCTTCCAGTGAGGGTGACGGAACACTGGAACAGGCTGCCCAGGGAGGTTGTGGAATCTCCTTCTTTGGAGACATTCAAAACCCGCCTGGACACGTTCCTGTGTAACCTTATCTAGGTGTTCCTGCTCCGGCAGGGGGATTGGACTAGATGATCTTTTGAGGTCCCTTCCAATCTCTAACATACTGTGATACTGTGACATCTACTTTTATTTTATTAAGAAATGGTTGGCTACTGTACCTGGGAACAATAACAAAGAAGGAAAAATCTGTACTAAAAAACTCTGCAACGTAAATGCACACAAATATGATAAAATACAACTCAGGGAGAGGAGAGAACAGAAAAAGAGTAAAGCAATGGGTACCTAGTAAATTATATAAAAAAAAAAGGTATTAATACTTATCTTCTACTTAAAAAAAAAAAAAAGGAGAGAAATTACAGTATTCTCTTATCTGTAGACATATAAAGAAAAATACAGTAAATTCTGTCTAAATTTCTAAACTAAGTCAGGGAATAGTCATCCTTGCTAAAGACAAAAGCTACCGTAATCAAATATGGGATCAGATAGATCTGTCTCATGCTATTCTTATCCTAACTATGGGGATACAGAGTTAGAAAGCAACTTTAGTTCAAAGAAGAAAATCAGTAAAACACTATCTAGAAACATTCAAAAGTAGGAAACTGGAAAGGAAAAAAATCCCTCTATTTCAAATATGCTTTGTAGAGGAGGTACTTGGAAACATGCTATATAAAGGAATGAATCAATTCCTACAGAAAGGTGCAATTCTACAAAAGGCTGGAGCACCTCACATGTGCAGACAGGCTGAGAAAGTTGGGGCTGTTCAGCCTGGGGAATAGAAGGCTGTGTGGAGACCTCATAGCAGCCTTCCAGTATCTGAAGGGGGCCTACAAAGATGCTGGAGAGGGACTCTTCATTAGAGACTGTAGTGATAGGAAAAGGGGTAATGGGTTACAACTTAAAAAGGGGAAGTTTAATTAGATATAAGGAAGAAGTTCCTTACTGTAAGGGTGGTGAGGCACTGGAATGGGTTGCCAGGGAGGCTGTGAATGCTCCATCCCTGGTAGGGTTCAAGGCCAGGTTGGACAGAGCCTTGGGTGACATGGTTTAGTGTGAGGTGTCCCTGCCCATGGCAGGGGGGTTGGAACTAGATGATCTTAAGGTCCTTTCCAACCCTAACTATTCTATGATTCTATGATTCTAGTTCTTGAACTTTGCACAAGTCAAAACTATTTTCTACAGCTGTACCAAATTAATCCTTCCTCAAGCAATATGGAAAAATCCTACTATTTTAAATGGCCAATCTTTTTTTTAGAACACCAGAGGGTGGCACTAGCTTCTATGCTCGTTTTTATTAAGTTTACAACCACCACATTCTTAGTACCTTGTTTGAAGTAATGCTTCCATAGGTGTTAGGCGATCCTGCAACTGTCGGGACACAGCAGTTAGCAATGATGCACAAGCTGTACTACATCCTGCCAAATCTTCATCCTTTACATAATTCAGCAAGACAAAATACCAATACACAGATCCTGCATTTAAAAAAGGAAAAAAAAAAATAATTCAAGGTGAAATATGATATGCATTTTCCACTCAAGAAAGAATACACTGATGCCTAATCAATGAAGTACCTAATGTTTACTGAATCCAGACTAGGAAGCATTCTCCCCCTCCACTTTTTTTTTTTGGAGATACTTGAATTTAGAATCATTCTCTAATCATTACTTTCCACAAGCACGTCAAATTCTCTTATCAACTAATTCATAATTGAAGAAAAAATGGTTTCCAAGAGACAGCTTTGCACATAGTTCTTTCCTTGCTTCTGCCCACTGGTTCTACTAAGCATAAGAATCTAAATGCTCTCAGTACACTAAGGTGGTAGGCTAGGGGTGCAAATTCCTTCACAGCCAAGTCTTACTCTGTATTCAACTCTTTCTCTGTTTTTGGCTGCTGTCTCCTTCCTCTGCATTTGCTGGAGGGACTATTTCCTTTACAAATCAGTTCTGGAAGCATAGTGCAGTGTTTCTGTACAGAAACACAAACCCTGGCTTCCTCCTCCAACTCTCCCCAAGCATTCCAGACCCTCAGTAGCTGCACGATAAATGTTTCTACCTGGATGGTAGCACAACCAGCATTTTGGACTGCAAACTAATTTCCCTGCAAGACCCCTTGGTGATGCCAAACTAGATGCAGTTCAACAATGTCATACTGTGAAAAACACAAAGCAGGTCTTGCCACCCCAAATATAAATACTGAAGTCATCTTCCCATTCTATCTGGCACTCAAAAGGCTTCAACAAGGTCCTAACATACCATTACTCTGCTGTGTAGATGAGGTAGGAATTTAGTTTAATTAAAAATTTCTTTTTGGTGCAGAAGTAACAGAAATGGATTGCTAGATGGACATGATTCATATAGCCAGGCTCCTTGGATTAAATCTTCTAATTTTCAGAAGTAACAGACAATGCTGACTCTCAAAGAATGTGAGTGAACATCAAGAGAATGCACGGTTGCTGAACACCTTTCAGTGCCTAAGCACTCTGTTCTAACATAGCTAATTTGTTTAAAATCATATCATCTACAAATGCATACTTCATACCTGGATACTATCTAGCAGACCACTCCAAGAAGCAGTTTTTACTAATTGAATAATTATCTAATTCTTATTTCACAAGACAACCCAATAAAACATGCCAAACAACAAATGTACTGTGCATTTTTATGACAACAAACTTTGTATACATACCACCTGTTGCAGCAGCAGGCAAAAGAGGCATATTGTCAAGTAAAGCTTTTAGGAGAACTGATCCAAACCCTTGCTGACTTGGGTCACACCTGCCATTGCTACAAAGAACCACACAGATACTTTAGCACTTAATGAAGTAAGAGCAAATTGTGAAATCTCCCCCATAAAATGATGTTGAAACACTGATGTTCTTTGCAGTCATAGCCTAACACGTTTTTCCTTAGCAGATCTTCCAGATCTTGTTGCTTTATAAATTTGATCGTAAACGATAACGAACACATATTTACAATTCAGACCTGCATGCAACCCTCCAAAATATACATAAAATATAAGTATATAAAAATATAGAAATAATTAGCACTGACCTGATGCATAGTGCAAGAAATCGTGCACATTTGTGAGCTATGCTCCGCCCAGCTTCAAAGAAGCAAACACGTATTATATCGGAGACACACCTACGTGTTTTAGAAAGCAAGCTATCATTTCCTTCCTTTGAGCTGGAAAAACAAGTTGCATATTTTAGAGAACAGTATAAAACTTTTTTTTTTTTTTAACAGAGCTAACGCTGAGAAACAGCCATGCTATTTTAAACACAAGCTCTCTTACCTGCCAGGTCCATTTGAATACACTCCAGCCAGCCAACAAAGTGTGTCTAGTACAAGACTCTGAGCATGTTCTGTAGTCAGACCATCATCTGTCTTCTTGCAAAGAGTGGTGAGCAGCTTCTCATGGAACTCTGAAAACTGTAACATGGCACACCGTTGAACTCTAGGGAGGAAGGGAAGGAAATGAAAAACAGAATTATCCAGCATGGCCACTGTCCCATTAAAATGCCCCTCCAGCTTTGTATCCTGTCTTAGGAGTGGCAAAAAAAAGATGCCTGTATATGAGTAAAAGTAGTACGTAAGCATATGTGATTATTTTCCAAGCTCACATTCCCAGTCTTTCTATTTTCGGCTCACAGAACTTCTGAGGTTAGTGTATATTTACTAACCTTCAAGGATTTTTTTTCTTCCTATTAACTTGTCTGGTAACTTCTAAACTTACACAAACTTTGACCACCTACAACACTCTTTGGCAATCATTTGCACATACCTCTCTGCAGCCTCTTTAAGCCCATTACATACAAACTAAATACTGTATTATTTGTATTTAGGTCTGAAGTACCAATTCATAGGGACTTAAAACAGTTGTTGAGTAACAGTTTGCTAGTTACATTTGATTCTAAACTTTTTGACAAATAATACATTTTCTGGCATAAGAAACAAGACAACATAGAAATAGAAAGATGCTTGCATAAAAAAAAATGGAAAAAACCCACAAAAACACAAACCAAAACAAAAAAAAAAACAAAACACAAAAAGCCACAAAAGAACCAAAAACGTGTCCAAATAATTTAGCTAACTTACCAAGAAAACTATTTAATTTGTCTTTCCAGTCAAGCAAATAATCACTCAACATACAATTTCATGCAGGGTGTTATCCTACCACAAACTGCACAGCACAGTGCTCTCAAACTCACAATTTACAGGACTTTCCATAAGACATGTTTATGAAATAATATGAAACCGTAGTTTGACCTGAGCTATTCTGAACTAAGTGTTTAATGGCAAGTGTAATTAAGCTAGTATTTTTTAGAATGAAAAAATACCTACTAACCTTTCTTTTGACATATAAGTTTTTTTAAATCTTCGAATCGTTACAGATACTTCTTGAAGTAAGTCACAACCTCTCAGATTATCTGATTTTCTTGAAGAATTAGTGGCTTCGATTTTGCTAGATGGCTTTTCCTGTTTTTTTTAGGGAGAAAAAATAATAATCATAAATCACTCTGGTTTTGACTGCTTCATTTGTATATACTGTTCAGAGAAATACTGTTGAGTAAAATCTCACCTCAGTTTGAGCAATGTACTAAAATAGACTACTTTTCATAGAATCATAGAATAGTTATGGCTGGAAAGGACCTCAAGATCATCTAGTTCCAACCCCCCCTGCCACGGGCAGGGACACCTCACACTAAACCATCTCACCCAAGGCTTTGTCCAACCTGGTCTTGGAACACTGCCAGGGATGGAGCATTCACAGCCTCCCTGGCAACCCATTCCAGTGCCTCACCACCCTAACAGTAAAGAACTTCTTCCTTATATCCAATCTAAACTTCCCCTTTTTAAGCTCTAACCCGTTACCCCTTGTCCTATCACTCCAGTCCCTAATGAAGAGTCCATCCCCAGCATCCCTATAGCCCCCTTCAGATACTGGAAGGCTGCTATGAGGTCTCCACGCAGCCTTCTCTTCTCCAGGCTGAACAGCCCCAACTTTCTCAGCTGATCTTCATATGGGAGGTGCTCCAGTCCCCTGGTCATCCTCGTGGCCCTCCTCTGGGCTTGCTCCAACAGTTCCATGTCCTTTTTATATTGAGGACACCAGAACTGCACACAATACTCCAAGTGAGGTCTCCCAAGAGCAGAGTAGAGGGGCAGGATCACCTCCTTCAACATACTGGTCACGCTCCTTTTGATGCAGCCCAGGATACAGTTGGATTTCTGGGCTGCAAGCGCACACTGAAGCCATCTCATGTTCATTTTCTCATCGACCAACTGATTACCTTAATATAGATAATCAAATTTAGCAATGCCCTGTAATTTGTTATGTTCTAACTTTTCCAATAGTGTCCAAAAGATGTACATTGTATCGCCTGATTTTACAAGTATCAAGAGCATCTTGATCTTACAATGATCAAGAGTAAAATATACACGCAGAAATATAATCCTTTGTAGCAGGACGAGGTGTATGCACTACTGAAAACACGAAAATACCAGTTTCAAAATCAAGCACTCAGGATGGGGAAGTGGCAGAACAGACCTTTTCAGGTAAATGTGCACAGAGAAAACAACTTAAGAGATGCTGAACTCCGATTCTTGAAGGTGTTAACACAGTGTTAACGCTTAAAAAAGTAATTTTAATGGATCTTAACTCTCCTAACAGCTGCTTCATTTTCAGATTCCATAAATCATACAATTTCTACAGCTTTAACACAGATGTCTTTCTTGGCCAGTCATTACCTTGCCTGCTGCTACTTTTGCCAATAGTGAAGCAAGGGAATGGCCCTTGTTAGTCTGAGGTTTCAGAGACGGTATTCTAACAACTGGTCTAATGCCACCATTGCAGATCTCTTCTGTTCCTCTGTCATTCATTGCTTTAACATGAATTAAAAATGAGCGGTACTTGCCACCAGCCATGCCTAAAAGTGTGGGGGGGGAGGGGGGTGAGAAAAAAAGAAAAGAAGAGGGAAGGGGGGGAAAGAGAATTTACATAGTTTAATAGGGGCAAGTTGCAAACAGATTTCAAATTCACAGATATAGTGTAGAAGCAAAGCTCAGATACATTTATTCTAGTACTTGAGCATCAATTTGAAAAGTTAAGTCATTATTACGTTGTACAACAAAATTTGGCAATGTGAAAATAAATACAAACCAAAGTCTGACTACCGAAGTACACAATGCACTTTAGTCACACGTACTTCATGTGAATAGCAAAATAATATGGTTTACCTTTAACAAGCTTTGGACTTGTCAGAGTCAACATTCCAGCATGTCCTGACAGATCAAGTCCAGTAGCCAGCCATACTGGACCACAAAGTATATCTTCCTTGTGTTCCTCCAGAAAGGGACACAATCTAAGACCTTAAAAAATATGAATAATGTGGACCTGAATTATTCGTAATTGAGTCACAAAATCTGATCATTTGCATAAGTTAAAAATACACCATGTCAAACTCTGATCAATAAATGTATGCAATGCAACATTGAAAAACTAACAATTACACGAGGTTCATTTTTAACCAATATCCAGTGAAATCAATAAATGTAAATGACAGTTTCCAAAGCTTCTCCAGTTATATTATTAGGATAATAGGTACATTGATTGGCTCATCAGAGCTACAAAACACAAAATGTGTAAAATAAGACTGTTGAAAGGACCAAGAAAAAGAATTATAGTTCTGGAACTCATTTATTCCAACTATCAATTTTTAGTCTCTAGATCTCACTCAGACCCAATGTGACTGCCTTTCAGAGTGTCTCTTAAGAGATTTTGTGGAAGAGTACTCATTAAAAGGTTATAACAGGCACAGCAAGTGTGATGTGGCCAAAAGTCAACATGACTACTTACGAATTCCCTACTAGCTGTTCATTGTTTTGGTTGGTTTACAGCAGCAATCTCTATAAAGTCCATGTATGCAAAGTAAAAAAAATCTATTAAAACTAGCTAAGGAAACCAAGTAAAATAGTGCTGGAACAGGGTAAGAGTTTAAATTCAAAAGGTGATATATCAATCTCCTTTATTTATAAGTTCAGATAAATACTAATCTACTTTAATGTACCTGCAGTACTTTTAACTCTGCAGTAATTTGTTGTTTTGTGGGATTTATTGTTGGGTTTTTATGGGTGTGTCCGTGTTAAACTTTCAACTTCTATGGTAAACAGCCCTGTGAGAGAGGCAACATACTGAAGAAAGCTGAGAAAATAGTTGTTTTAATTAGCTGAGAAATTTTTGCAAAGAAACACCTGTGTGTCATTAAAAAAAGAAAAAAGCAAGCTCATACTCTAAACAAAATGTAACAAACAAAACTTACACTGTGGTTCCTCTACATCCATATACTGCATTTCTTCACTGAATTCAACCAGTCCTGGTTTTCCATTTCTTTCCACTTCAATATTATGAGCTGGAGATAGAGGAAATGTGATCTGCCTGTCTACTGCTGCTTCTAGAAATAAAAATATTAGCAAGATATCACAAACATTACTTAAGGCTTACAGAAAACAGAAGCAGTAGTTTTCATAGTAAGTCTATCAGCTTCCTGCCCATGACACCGCTTCTAATACAAGAACCACAAATACACAAACGCATGTTTTTCATACTAGGATTGCAACTGAAGTTGCGCAATAGTTAATATTTCTTTGAATGACATGTAAACAGCCTCTTTTGCACATATTATTTTCTCCTAATAATAAACTGCAGATAACTCAAAAGTTATTAGATTCTGGTATTGAAAGTTTGATAATTTAAACTACAACTAACTGGATTGTTCCTACTGAATGCACATCAGACATTATTTTATTAATACTTAAGCACAGCTCTTTTTTCAATTCAATGGTTTTCATCAATCATAGACAAAGAGGACATGCAAGCAGATGAACAAGAAGCATATACACTGAATTAACTGCCAGATCAAAAACATTATTTCAAACTAGAAGAATTACACCTCTGGCCTTCCCATTACTACACACTAACATATTTAATTGGTTCCAGGGTTCCTGTCATACAAAAAAACCCCACCTGACTAAATAAGCTTTCCCTTACACACCTTCCTTAGGTCTCATTATCTTCAAATTTCAGTTCCTTTCTCCCTCCATGGAAGAACAGATGTGAACAGGGGGTTTTAGCTGAATTTCAGTCTGAAGGTTTTATACATTTTCAAGAGCCACCAAACAATCCTGAATATTGCTTATACCTGGGACTGGAACATTTTGGTTAACATCCAGTACAGATATAAATTACCTAGAGGTTTGTCTTCCCTTATAATGAAACAGTTAGTGCCCTATTGCTTCATTCAACGTTGCACAGAAAAAAAGACAAATGTCATTAAGGTATTTTTCCAAAACCCATGAATTCTTTTTTGAAAAAGGGTAGGCAATAAGTACAACGCAGTAACACTTGAGAGGGCGTTGGTTAGTTGAGGCTCCCCAATCCTACAGACTCAAACAGAAAAAGACCTTACCAAGATTTCCTTGCAGGCGCTCTCACGTGCCCCAGTCCCTTCCACTCTGCCTGTGTACACCTTGTCCCTCCCCACCATGCCTTCTCCACCTTATCCGTAATAGGGAAAGCAAATTCTGCTACACTGCATGCAAGAAAGTGAAATGTCACTTTCTTGAAGAGCTCTGTCATATATTATGTTCGGTATACTGTAAAGATCCACAAAAAGCGATCTATTTCACACCCAAATTAAATACCTTCAAAGAATTACCAACTCATGGAACTGTTTCCTCAGAAATATTTAATACAGAGACATTAAGGAAAAAAAGCGTAGCTTTCCTTCTACTGTTCTGTTCCACAGGTAAAGATTTTCAGGGTAATTCTGACATTCAGATCTGCAAATGAATTCTAAAATTCACGCTGAAAACAAAGCAGGTTTTGTTCAGAAAAGCAACATGGAATATCTGTCCTATTTTTTTCTTTGACAGAAAAAAAATCTGCTGTATATTAAAAATTAAGGTTTTACTTAAAGTGTTAACCAAAGGAAGAACCTGCAAGAACACCTATTGACTGCTGTCCTGAAGTCACAGCTAGCATTTCAGTTAAAACACTTAAAATATCTTGTATCCTACAAGAATACACGTTTCTCCAAGAACATTACTATGCAATAATAATGTATTCTCAGATAACCACCAGTTTATAGGATTTCTTCAAGAAGCATCTCCAGCACACTTTTTTTTTCTTGTTAAACACTGGGGGATACTAGGAGTGAGAAGTTGTATGAAAGCACGTCAATGACCTTTGGTATGCCTGTATTCCTTTTCAAAGTATTACCATTGTTTAGCTGGAGTGCTCTTACTTAGCATTTATAAAACAGAAAGCGAAAAAGAGCTTTTATAATTGTGCTCGCTGTTCTCTTCTACCCAACACATTTTATATCCAGCCACCAATTTAGTAAGATGTGACAGAAGATTCCTCTGGAAAACTAGTTTCCTAGAAGGTTTCCAGAAAGAGGTGTCCAGATAAAGATAAACAATTAATACCTCTATAAAAGGAAGAGCTGCATGTAATACCTTCCATCCCTAGCAGACGGGGCAGCAGGACATGCAATGAACACTCACCACAGGAAAATCCTGATAGAGGCACAAACTCTTCCACATCAAATTGACTTTTCAATTTATGTTACCCCCTCACAGGTTCTCTGATAGCTAGTAAGATGCAGAGATCTTACTTGGGAAGACTCCTAGATCCAGCTAGGAGTCTTCCTAAGGTAAAAGCATTCATAACTTTGGTCTACCCTGTCAAAACTGCAAGGAACAAAAGGTAAAATCATACTGCAGCTTCTGCATAGCTTACTTAATGAGCCAAATGATGACAGAATTCCCAAGTAAGCCAGTTATTATCTTGTGCTATGAAAAAACACTTGCTGTTTTCTCTCACGCATCCAAGAGGCACTGGCAAATAACTTCCTTCTGTGATTTGGAATAATTTATTATAATATTTCTAAATATATCAAGAACTTTAAATGCACCATTTGTTTCATCAGTCAATCTCTAGGATGATTTACAATTATTTAATGACTCAAGAATTCAAGCAGTACAGAACAATAATTCAGTTCAACTTTTTTGAGCTATGTATTTTTTTTGTGTAAAATTCAGGATTCTGAAACTGTTTACCCAGTTTGTTTCCCCACTTTACCTTCAAACATGGTAAGTGAAAACAGACCATGATGCTGAGGAAAAGAAAGTGGAAACGAGTAAAACCAAATATATACACAGTTCTAAGAAATTCTTCTAATATACATCACAGAGTATAATAAGCTTGAGAAAAGAAATAATCTGAATGATATCCAAGTTCCTTCTTACCATTGACTTTCCCTAAGCCTGGAGCTTTATTTTTCAGTAAAGTCACTTGAATCTGGGGAATGTTTGTGATGTTTGAATTCAAAACAAATTTGAAGTCCACATGTCCGACCATACAGGCTTTTGGCAGAACAAGTTCAAAGACATGCTCATCCCAGCTGTTGCTGTCAGGAAAAAAAAGGAAGACAATGACCCAGTGTTAAGAGAAAATGCAGATCAAGCAAGCAGCATTACCCAGTGCATTCTCCATCTGTGCATGTTTTCTTTAACAAGAGAAAGAAAAACACCTTATACTGCATTGGTTGATGTCCACATGAATTTCTGAAGTAGAGTCCTTCAAGCTGCTGTTACCCACATTCATTTTGTAAAGAACATGTTAAAAGCTAACTGATAAGAGAAAGCAAATCAACATTTGGATAAAAGTAGCAATGAAAAGATTTCCTATTACCCTCACTGCAGTACTGTTTCCCTAGTACTATAAATACCAGTTACTCTTTTCCTGAAATGATGCCCCAAATGAAGTTTTAAGTATCTCTCAATAGCCATGTATGGAATAGTGATCCTCCACGAAGGTCTCATATTAATCCAACAGTAAAGAGATCTTTAATACTTGTTATACCTGTGGCAATGAGCTTCACAATCTAATTCTGTGACGAATGAAAAGCTCTCCTTTAAGCAGCTTTTTAATTTCTCATAGTTCTGTTTAAGTGCATCAACTTTATTTGTGAAGTTTCAAATAAGAAAATAAAATTTACTTCCTTAATATTTTCACAACATTTTAGCATATCCATCCTATATACCATTTTTCTCTGATACTCTAAAGCAAGTTCTTTCAGCAGCTTTTCTCACCTTTGAAACCATTCTATAGCACCTTTTTAAAGAAGAATACACAAGCAAGACCATGTTCTAAATGCAAATACACCATCATTCTCATAACTACAAAATATTTTCTAACACACTTCTTCATTCCTTTTCTAGAAGATCTCATCAATGTTTGATCTTCCACTACAACTGACCTTTGAGCTGCATACCCACTCCGAGTTTAAACACTGGAAAGCAGATCAGTACCTAGCTCCTCCTTCTTTCATATGTTTCAAGCATGTCTGCATTAGGTGAAAACAGAAAACATTTCCTATCTAAATTTGAGAAAAGCCAGAAACTCCAATGTTACTGTTTTATCAAAGCACATTAGGAATTCACATATCTTTTTTATTTTTTTAAACAGGATTAATCCAATTTAGCATTTCAATGAAATTACCACTGAAGGGGAAATACTGGTATTTTAGGTAATTCACAAGTTAAACCAGACTCTGCTTTTCTGTTTTCTTAGTTACACATCTATTTTAAAATAAAAAAAATAGGATTGAAAGAGTGCAAGTGTAATATAAAGCCATTCCTTAAAATACATTTACAGGATTATCTCCTATCTATTTGAGAAACAAAACTATTATCATATCAAATTGCATTACTCATCCATCTAACCCTGTAATGCCACATTTTGATAGGAATCAATATGAGACACTCAGAGGAGATAAAAGGAACTTTAGAATAAGGACCAAAAAAATAATCCAGAAATCAAAGTTTCTTCCCAGATAACTTTCAATTAAGAGCTAATGCTGTTCTCAGTCTTAAGATTTTATTTTCTACTCTATGAACAAAAGGACTGTAATTTAATCATTTTCATCATGAGTCATTTAGCAGCTGTCAAAGATTTCCAGTACTAAATCAAAACTTGTAACTTCACCTCTTTACGTTACTGTTTTAATTGCAGCAGGCATAATTCTTTTCCTCTAATGAAACCAATACTCATACACTAACGTTCCACCTATCATCTTCCAATTAACAGCTATTACTTGTTTTCTTCCTTACATATTCATATTGGTAGCTTTTTATTTTTCAGCTGTTACTGAACACACTGGATAACCAATAGTTTGAACTGGAAGTTATTTTGCAAGGAACCACCTCCTTTCTACTTGTTACATAGGGAGTATTTTACCTACACAAAGATAAAAATTTTAAAGCCTGCAATGTACTGCAGGTCTTTAACCACAGCTTATGACCATTTAATTAAAGGAACTTCAGCTCATGTGAGGTGTCAGCCACAGAAATACCTGCAACTATGACCTTCTAGACCCATTTCTCACCTGGAACAGTTTGTTCTCACATGCTATTCCCCCTACACACGATGTCTAGCTCCCCTACAATCCTTTGGCTATTTCACTGTTTCCACAGTATGGACACTCAGATTATGTCTTTCTATCCAAATCCTGTACATCAGTGGTACAGACAGGTGACAGCCTGACCCAAAAGATCTTGTAGTGCTTTATTACGAGCCCCTTGATAAAACACAAAACACAGCCTCTACCTGTATTTTGTTTCTCTGAGCACTTTTCAGAAAAACTATGCAAAGCTATTTCAGGTACATTTTACACAGCTCATCAAGACCACAACACTGCTATTCTAGTTTTTAGGTTCTAGTTTTAGTCTTTAGTCTAGACGAATTACAAGTTCTCAAGTTACGTGCAAAAAACTAAGCAGTACTACCTATAGCATGTCAATGCAGTTCATTTAAATGAAAATACTGCCTGGATCTTAGCACAGCCATGGCTATATAATGGCTTAAGTAAATGACTCTTGTACAGAGATTTAACTTGACGTGAACAGAAGTAAATCGAGATTCTATCTTCACATTTTTAAATAAATTACAATACAATTTAATTTATGACAGCTCATTAGTCACACTGGCACCTGCAGCTTTAATTTTCCCTTCGAAAAAAAAAGTACTAAAAATGTGTGTATGCATAAGAAGGGTGAATCAGACTTTTATAGAAACAATTAAGAATATTTGTAATTCTGACAAATGTGCTTGTCTAATTATATAATGAAATGGCAACATTTGGCAAACAAAAATAGGAAAGTTAAAAACTTGATTTTTCAATCTGCCTCAAGGTTCACTAAAACAATTCTGGCAATCTCACAAAGACCTTTAACACAAACTACCAAAGAGGGATTGCTATCTGAAACCGAAGTACAAGTTCCTGAATTTACACACTACTTAAAAACAATTAAATTGCACAAAAATTGTGCTTAAATCCACTATATAAACTACTTATGCAGTACTCATGTGATTCTTTCTGCATCACTACCTGCCCACCTGTCTGTCTGGAGCTTCCAAGTTCGAGTATGCTGAGCTGCATCCCCATGGTGCTGCTGGTGCAAGTGCTGAGGATGCCGCCTTTGCTGCTGCTCTTGCTGGACTTCTACCCAACAGGGAGGGACAGTGGCTGAAAACCGTGGCGTCAAGGTCTCAAAACGGGTCAGTTCAACCAGGGATGTCAACGTTTCAAGAGAAAATGGCTGGTCCACCAAAAGATCAACTCCTGAGTAATTACAGAACTTATATTAATTGCTACACAGATACTTTTCCCAGAACATCCTATGCAGTTTTGAAATATAACCAAACTGCTATGGGTAAAATTAATTACATGGTATATGAAGTTTCTAAAATAATGAAGCAAAAAAACCCATAAACCCAAACAATTAAAACCCCCACCCCAACAACAAAAATACCCAAACAAACAAAAAACCTAACAACAAAAAAAAAACAACCACCAACCAGACACAAGCCACTAAAGAACTCCAGTCTCTAAGCCAGCATCCTTTGAAGGCAGCTCATTTGGAATAAATACTGAGAGCTCTGAGCATGCTGTCTGGGATTCAACCACAAGCATCAGGAAGAAGTAATTAGCCAGCTACACTTTGATGATGTAAAGCTGATTAAAACATTCTTTTAAACACCTGTACTGACTTAGATTTAAAAAAATAATTAAAAAATGAAAGTTTTATATCTCTTGAAAACAGACATGTGGAATTACTACACAATTTTAAACAGTGACAAAAGCGTTACAACATTGCTTTGGCATCTGCTTATCAATATATACTTGGTTTATGGTGGGTTACTAGAATGCTTTGGAAGGCTCCCAATTTAGCTTAAAAGAGGGGTAAGTGAAAAACAAACAGTTTTATATAAGGCACTTGAAAGACACTAGACCTAGACAAGTATTTTGTCTTCTTGTTCAAGTCTTGTCCTGAGGAAACAAGGATATTAACTGAAGGAGTACTCAAGATTAAAATATCACAGGGAGACAAACACCTAAAGAAATGTTACAAAAGAAATTAAAAATATTCAGGTGTCCTCAGACAAAAACCATTGAAAACTTGAGGGAAAGTAACTATGCACAGTGTCAATCTTACTGTATTTCCAGTATTTTTCTCTTAAAAATTTATTCTGGAAAAAATCTTTTACTTGTGAAGAAACAATGGATATCAAAAGCAGCAGGTTTGCTACCTGACTACTACTTGTCACCATCTAGGGAGCAAAGAAAATTACATCCTTCAGCTTGAGAGCAGGCAACAGGGCACATGCAATTCCTCCCCAGAAAGTGGAGGAGCTCCATATGTGATACCCAGAGTCAGGCAAAAAATTCGCTCTCCTTGCAACAACTATAACTTCGACTTTTTAGTCCAGAAGACAGGAAAATGCTGAAGAGATTAGAAATGTGAAATTAGTTAGGAATTTAATTTCAGTAATATAGCAAACACCTTCATTTTTTTATTGCCAAGTACGAACCTCATTAGCTAGATGACACTGCAATGATAAGTGAGATCATCATAGCTCTAAGTGCGCAACAATTCTACCTTTGAGTAGACTGGATTTTTTTCTGGTTCATACCCCCCCCCAGTAGAAACAATTACAAATTTGGAGTATTCAGAGCAATAATATGTAATGTGGTATCAACCCCTAAAACTGAAAAATTAAGGAGCTAAGAGCACTCAAAAGTTACTTAGCATCTTTTGCAAAATTACATCGTTTTGTTATATTGGAATAGTGAGTTATGATGAGCTGATTCTAGTTCTAACGGCAAACTCGAACAAAGGTTTTAAACTGTTCAGGAAAACTAACATCCTTTTTCAATTTGTTTCTATTTAATAAAAAAAAAAAAGGCATTATTTTAGATCCCTTCACCACAAAAATCCCTCCACTCCTTAAAAGAGAAATATTAATTTTAACCTAATCTAAAATTTACAACTCCGTACACTTAAAAGTATTTTCTTCTAAAACAATACAAATCAAAATGTATCCAAGTTGTAAATTCTATTTTCTAGCCTACATTTAAGAAATTCATTCCAGAATGCCAACAATAGATTAAAAAAAACACCCCACAAACAGCCACAATATATATGAACAAAAGCTTGTGCTTGTTACTGTGGTTTCTCTACTGACCACAGCATCTTTTAGCTACAGCTTCAGAGAATACTAAAGTGATTTCATGAAAACACCCTGCCGCTGCTTGCCATCAGCTGTGAACAAGATATATAGATCAAGACTTGATGCTCAGTCAGATCGGCCTAGGAGTTCACTTCCCGAAACAGAAAGCTTTCTGCTGAGCTATGTCTCTGTCTGAAAATCATGTTAAGACAGAAGCTGAAGAAAATGTGTTTTTTTTCTCCTGGCTGGGAATTGATTAAAAGAGGAGCAACACTGATGCTACAAATGTTGGTGGCTATGTCTGCTCACATGCTGACAGCTTCATTATACAGAAAATGTTCGCACAGTCCTAGCCATCATTTGCACATTCTATGCTATGAGTCCAGGATTACTGACTTCAGTATCCTTAACCCGGACTGCTCAGACTAAGAGCTATGCAACCAGCATTTGGTTTCAACTCTTCTCCCCAGACCTCTCATTTCAGCACTGGCTTCCTATGACTATTAACCTTCTCTCAAAGCTTTTAGTGGCTCAGTTTGATGCCACAGCAAAACAGTACTCAATCTATGTGATGATTATTGTACATCTAACAGCTACTTGGAAATCATTACAGACCAAGATCAAGCAATACTACATTCTAAATACTACATTCTAGACAATCTCAAGATACAGCTACTTTTGAAGTAAGTAAATCCCTTCCTTGTTCCAATAAGCTATAATCAAGCTATACTGAAGGTGATGGTTTTCTTTTTATTTGTTTGGGTTTTGTTTTAAATCAGGAACTGCTAAAACGTTATGTCTGTACATAGCCAGTGATAGACATACAGCAACTACATAACAGGGGGCAGCAAAAAAAGGATAAAGCAGCATGCAATTAAATAATTCAGAATCATCCTAAAATGCAACTTCCAAAAATTTCAAAAGCATTTTTACTTATGATACACCTAAACATGTGCGATTTACCTGTAATGCCTGGACTTGAAGGATTAGATAAGGGCTTGGTACCTTCTGAGGACTGTTCTACACTTTTAGAAAGGGATCCATCTACAAGTATATCAGCTTCATCTATGTCATCACAGGTTCCTCCAATCTGAAGGAAATGAAGTTCTCCACCTAAAATCATCACAGACAACAAAAGAAGAAAGTTCAGACATGCATACAGTAACACTCAACTCACAAGACAGCTTTTGCAGTTAAAAGTGCTAAACAACTATGACAGTAATGCAGGACCTGAAATCAGTAAGATTATACAGGAATACCAGGTTTGCTTTACTATTACAATTTTTTTCAGGGTAAATGCAAGACAGAATACAAAAATGCTGACTGCAGTTCTGAATGGCATGAAGGAAAAAAAAACTGAGAGGGAGAGGGGATTAAAGGGTAGTTAGTTAAGGAAACCTCAGCAGAAACGAAACATCATAACCATTCCAATCATTTCCCACAGTGCAAATTATCCCTTTAAACAGAAAGTAGTTCGTCATGTCAACTGATGGCCTACACTACATTCGTAAAGTTGCATAAATTTCCTTTTAAAGTTCAATATTTGAGAACTGAAAAATCACTTCCCCTCTTTAACTCTCGTAACTAAGGGGCTGTTCACATTATTTCATCAAACTTGGAATGACAACACTGATCAGGACAACAGCCAAAAGAACAAGTCCAACATTTGCTAAGGACACAATGTTTTGATGGAAGCTGGAATGATTCAAGGAAGTTGCCCATTAGTCACCACTACAGATATACATAGATGAATTCTGTCATTTACAGAGAAATCACCAAGAAGGAATGCTCAGTTTTACATAAGGCTGGGGGAAGGGCTATTCACAGTTTTAGAAGTTACAAAAATCCTACTCAGTAGGATTTAAATAGAGAAGAAAATCCTAGGGTAGGCCTTCCATAGCTTTTACTGAAAATTGACTACAGACTGTCCTTCAGCATCTGAATACCATTATGACAAACCCTGTTATACAAATTCTCAGTTATCTGAAACGAAGTTGAGATAATACACCTAATAATAAGCCAAGATAAAAGTATTATCAGTAGGTACATGGTCTGCACTGTGAGGGGTGAGTAGAGCAAAACAGCGATAGAGAGGCACAGAGAGGCAGAGCGAGCATGTGAGAGGCACAGAAGACACGCAAAAGGCACACAGAGAGCTGGTACAGGGTTTTTTTCTGTTTCTCAGTATGAACGGCCTGACAACAAATGGCTTAATAAAAGCACCAGAAAAAATAAAACCAGAATAAAAAGAGGAAAACAGTAGCTTAAATGACCAAAATGGACAAGATCTGTGCACTGTGGGAAATCCACCCAAGGTCTGGGCAATGCTGTACGAAAGCAGAGCTCCCAGCATCTGAAGGAACAGGAGATTTCCTCACTACCTTTATTTCTCTTTTTACTTTTATCTTACTGAAACAGCTATTTCATTAAGCCCTTCGTCGGTGAGGCCCTTCTCACTGAGATCTGATAAGAAGCCTCTACCACATCTCTCTCCACCCCAGGTCAACCAACTTTGGTATAGAACAAGAAATTCCAAGAATGGAAGGGAAAAAAAACATAGTTCTAGCAAATAACAACGAGTTTCTTTGAAATTAAACCACTCACAGATGAGCAATTTTCCTTAAAGAGAATTAGGGACACATTAGAAAACACAGACCCTGACAGCTTCAGCTGGTAATAAGCCAAACTTCAGTTTGTTTGCTGTTCTGTTTTTACTGCTCAAAATCAATGATCAGAATAATCTCAACAATCAAAACCACATAATCTCCTGTACATAAATAAAGTACACGCTCATGCCATGGAAGTTCAACCCACTGAATTGCACTATCTGCTGTTTTTATGGCTCTCAGCAGGAAAAATGCTGAAGAACTTCAGAAAGCTGTGGGTTTTCCTAAAGGAAAGTTATGCTAAGGTCTCACTCTGTAAATGGTTGGGTAGAGACTGCTTTTAAAGAAACAAAACTTTAGTCCTCAAACCAGATTTCTGAGTTTCTGTCACTAATTAACAGCAGCGAAAACCATCCTTACCAGTCATTATTCCTATACTACAAGAGGAAGAGTCACAATCCCTGCATTCCTGAAAGATTCCACCACTTTTCCAAGAAAAAATCTGCGCTCAACTTGACATATCCCACTTCCTCATATCTGTTTTAAAAAAGCTTCTGTAAATAAGTTTATTATGATCTTTGGTTAAAAAGTATTAGCCTCTACAATTCTTAGTGCTTTTGCACGCTTTCCAGACCCGTGCAGGGGGCTTTGCTTCTGTATCACAAAGGAGGCATTTGCTCTCATAGAACACACAAAGGCGACCTTCTGATGACGCATACTTGAGAAGTTGTCGCAAAGATACTATAGTTCCTATAGTCAACAGCTAGGAAAAAAATCTGTGTAAAAGTCAATGCTGCTGTTGGTTTGGTTGGTTGGTTGGGTTTTTTCCTTTGTTTTTGTTTTGTTCTGGTGTTGCTCCTGGCTCATGTTCTGCACTACTGGGCTGAAACAGTGATTCATGTTTGACAACTGTAGTTCTCGAAATTTATGCATCCAAACCAAACTGTATCTGGTTCTCTTAAGTACAAGATAACAGGCTTCAAATATCACCAAAAGAGCACCCTATAGCTGTAATCCTATTCAAAATAAATACCTGTAACCTACTGCATAGCTGACACCAAAAAGTAACATTTTGAAGTGGGAAAAGAATTATTCACAAGTCACAAAGACAGATGATGTCTAATTCAGGTCTAAACGGCGGTTACATGAAAACACTCAAAACCTGAAACACCCATTCACACAGAGGTTTCTTTTCAGCTATATCTTATAGGTAGCTATGGGAAAAAATGATACAATCAACGCATGAAAATAATATGCCATCAAGATATATATGATTTCTGTCAACAGCAGGAAAAGGCTGTTCCTACATACGTAACTTTCAGACATGAAAGTATCTCTTCACCTACTCCCATCATCCAAGCAAGTAAACGGGAAAGAATATAATGCTCAGGTTGTATTCTTGAATAGTTTTCCAAGATCCAAGCACTTCCAGTGTATGCATGCTCCATATCTTATACTGAACATTTGCACTTTTGTCCTTCCACTAGGAGATACTTGCCGGAAGGATTCACCAGTGAATACAACTATTCTACTTTCAACACATACCTTCCTAATGTTGTCAGACTACAGGCACTATTCCATGCGTGGTAGTAAATATAGAGGAGCAAAGACCTCAGACTGATTTTGTAAGAAGCCCAAGAAAACTGCATGGTGGGGGGGAGGAGAAACAACAACAACAAAAAAAGCCCACAAGAAAAAAAGAGAAATCTCTAGCCATTTATCTGCTAAGTGGACAATTTTACCCCCATACAGCAGAAAGATTAAAGGACGATTATGATTCAACACAACAGAGATCATGCAAAACCTATTCCTTACGTCAAGTTATTAAAATGTGCAATAACACACAGGAGAAAAAGTTACACTAATAGTTCAGCTTTTTTATTTGCTTTTTTCTTTCAGTATTCCTGAATCTTAAGCAGTACAGTTATTTATAAACCTTAAATATCAAGTAATTCTTTACACAGCTTTGTGTTTTGGCATAAATGCTAGGAGTCTGAGGTTTCAGATGTATCTAACATCAGACTCTGAAATCCAGACTTATAATGTATTTTTATGGGCATAAATACTTAATCCCTAAATATTTATGATGGCTCAAAAGTAAGAAAAATTATCCTAGGACAAGTGACCGAGCTGTTGAAAGAAGAATAGCAAAGCTTCTAAAGACATTTTAACAATGAAAATAATGAAGTTAATACTAGTTTGGTTGCAGAGCAGAAAATCAAGTTCCAAACAGAGGTGCAGTGGTTGTAAGTAAAAGATAATCAATGGATTAAAAAAAATGTTATCAAAGTACTATATTAAAAAGAGGAAGCTTGAGGGCAGAGGGATACCTGTGACACATAGACAGGACTACAGAAATAAAAAATCAAAACTCAAAGGCAGCAAGAACGAAGTCATAGCAAAGCTATTTATAAATTACTAGATGGACACTGTAACACCCTCAGAGGGAACAAACAGAGATATTTGCTGAGAAAGCATAATGACGTGTTTGTCTATTATGAGGAAGACGAAGTGCTCACCAGTCTGTAGCAGAGGTGGTGGTTATCTAGTTAGAGTAGGTTTCTTGTTAGAAATCCTACAAACACAGAATAAATGCTCCCAGCTCAACAGACCTGCATATCTCACACTCAAGTTCTCCAAACAGGTTTAGATAATACCAAATGCTATAAGAATGTAATTACCATACATGCTAACAGTGGATGGGAAAGTACCCTGCACAGTAACAATAAGCCCTTTAACTATTAATCTTAAGCCACAAGAAGAAGAGAATAAATTTGCTGTAAGGAAGAAATGAATGACAGTACAATTCTGTAGGGGGAAAAAAAGGCAACCTAGAGATGTTGGGTTTTGTTTTGTTGTTTTTTTTTTTAAATGAGGTTGCAGTTTGATCAGCAAAGTAGAGGCAAAAACATTACGACACATATACGACATACTAACAGTCTTCAAGGGCAATTAACCTTTCAGTCTGAGTTTCATTTTAACTAGGAAAAAGAGTGCATTATTAAATAAAACTGAAACAGTTTAATAAACACTTCTTCAAAAGCAGTTACCAAAATAGAACAGTTTAGCAAATATGAATGTTTCCATTGGGAATCTGCAAACAAATTCTAGTTGCTAACATGAAATGTTTCATCCATACTAAAGAAGCAGTCTAAAACTTCCACTACTAAAAACTCTCAGTAGGTAAGTGATTATCACAGTGCCCCTCAGAGACATGAGATTTTTACAGTACGCTTGACTTCATCTTTCGGACTTAACAGGTAAATCTGATTTAGCAACTGCTCATAGGAGGACTGTGTAATCAACATGACATCACCATGAAAGAAGGAAATGTGCCAATATAAATTCTTCCAGTAAAGTTAACAAGATATTGGTGGGAGTTCATCTGAAATGTGAGAACCATCCCATCGGTTTATTCCCTCTGAGAGGTTAAGCATTTCCACCAGAGCTGCATTCAAGCGCAGCACAACTAAATGGTACACAGAGGAATTCAACTGGGTGACAGCCAGAGCCGTTTCCACTGTCCCTGTGTGACATGGAAATGGGAGGTGTGATATTTTAGGGTCTTCTGCAAAGTAGCAGTTACCTGGACCAGAGTTATGCTCCCCTCCCACCTGCCTCCTTCCCTCAAAATGTCTCATGTTCATTCTGAAGAGATCTAACAATCCTGCATGGACAGCCTGGCTCTCACACTTAAGAGAGAAGTAATAATACCAGTTGCAAAAGGCTGAAGCAGAACCAGCAGCCCTACCTGAAAGAAGATACAACTGACCACTGGAATAAGGTATAAAAGCATTATCTTCTCTACCCTCTTAAATATCGCCACAGAGAGAAGGCATTTTTCTGAAATGTGAACCTCTCACACAGAAATAATTACATACAGGAATTACTTTGGTTTGGTTTGGATTGAAGAAAATCTGTGCCTCTACAAGAACAATTTACCTGTACACTGGACATACTCAAGAGTTACTCCCATTTCAGAGACCTAAATCTACACTTAAGATGAGGAATTAACCAGAGTTCATGCTCTCTAGAACAGAATCAAACTGTACATAAATTCAATGGAATTTACCTATCACTATTTTGAAACTCAGATTCTAATGTTCTAGAATATAATCCAAATACATTTGTAAGAAAAAAAACAACATTAAGAATTTATTTTTAAACAAAAGTCTTACCTTTGGTGCATGCACATAATCTGTCTGTGCCCGAACAGTATATCACAGAGACAAACATATCTGGTTCCTCAGTGCCCTCCTTTTTGGGTGGCTCCACTTTGGCCAGAATTTCAAAGTTTGTAAGATCTAGTATTTTTACATATCCTCCCTGAGTAGTTATTACCAGGTGCCCAAGAGTAGAGATCTCTGATCTTCTCTCTCTCCCACTGCCATTTTTAGAAGTTAACTGTATTTCCTCTACAGGCTCCTCACAGTCATCTTCTCGATTATCCAATATATCTGGTGGGAGCAAAATCATTGAGGTAATTGTGTCTTGGGGGTCTTTGATATGCTGGATTTTTACTGGTTCCTCCTCTAGAGTAACTATTCTAGTGGCATAATTCATCTTATAAAGCACTAGGTATCCACCACTAACACTTCTCTGTTCAGGCTGAATTATTAAAGGAGTTGGTACATCTGCTGGTGACTCATGTTGGATTACATCAACACTCGTGCCATTCACTACAGCAAGACTTGATTCTAGTTCCCCTTTCCTTCTATTACATAGTGCCGAGTTTAATTTATTTAAATTGTTCAAGGCCTCTACTTGATTTATTGCACTCAGAGATTCGACAGAACAAGTCCGCAGTCCTACTAACAGATGAACTCCATCTGCACAAGGCGTGATTGAATCTACACACAGGTTCTCCTCCTCTGCAAACTTTGGCAGACGCAGGCATTGAACCAAAGTCCCAGGCTTGGGAACCATAGAGCTCCACTTGTCCGAGTCCGGAGAAGCTAGGTTGGCTGCAGCATCTGCAAACTGCTGAATGTAAGTCACAGGGGGATCCTGTAATAGCAACTGCTCCTGACTGTCCAGCTCCATTTCAATGATCTGTGGAACTGTGAAACCATCATCATGTATACTTTTACTCATAATATTGTTCATCTGTGAAAAGAGTTTTCCTGCTTTTTCATCAGACTCCTTAATGCTGTATAGCAGCAATACAGGTAAAGTCCTCCTTACCAGAGGGGAATTCAGTTCGGAATTAGTGCAGGATTCATTGTCAGTTGATCCCTGTTCTGAGACACTCTCACCTCGAGTCCTACTTAAGCCATCCAGTGACCTCTGAGAGTTACTGCTAACAGGAGAGGTAGCAGGTGATTTGTATGTTAACAGACCTCCAGCTAATAAACAAGGAAAGGGAATGTTGTGTTGTTCTAGATGTTTCTCCTTCATCTTTTCACTCTTACAGTTGGCCAAACAGGGATTTGCCCCAAGTTCTTCTAGATCTTTAACCGTGTCTTCCAGAACATTTGCAACAATTTCCCACTGAAGTTTTTCGGGTTGTTGAAGGATGCTGAGAGCTGTTATATCAAGGCTGATTTCCATAGTTTCTTTTTGTGATGTATGCCCTTAAAACAAAAAGGTTTAACATATTTTAACAACAACAAAAACAATCACCTTGCAGATAATACTGTTTGATGAAAAAAAGCCCTTTTTACATCTCAAGTCAATTTCACTGTGTATGTACAGTCACGTATTCTTCCCTCACCCTCCCGCTGATTCTTTGAGTAAGATGTAAAGTCAATTATGCAAAATAAGAAGTAATCCTCCCTCCCCTCAAAATTTCTGACTCAGCCTCTAGGAAAATCAGACAAGAACAATATGCATAGCACTGTTCTGCTTCCATATGAAACCTTTATTCAGGAAGAAAAATACTCCAACAAAGTGCATACACAGAGGCAAACAATCAAAGTACTCTCTTGAGGCAAAAGTTGCTCCTCAGAGAGAAGAACTCTCTCTGGCATTCCCCTGAATTTAAAGGAGCTGCTAGAGCTCTGATTTGTTCCTGTTCTAAGTAGGTTCTTTTAACTTGGTTTGTGTTTTAGTGACAGCAAGATAAGCACTGCTTATTATCAAATAAGGCATTTATTAACTATCAAAGTAAGGATTTTCCTTGTCTCCTGTGTGTAATCTCTCCAACACAGAATGACTTAAATACTGTCATTGCTTTCAAGGTCAATCTTTTTTCCTTTTTTCTAATACAGTGAATATAATATCACTGATTTTGATAGGGTTTTTTTAAAAGCCCGAGAAGAAAAACTTCCCTCCTAACCTCAAACTATGAATCAGACATAACTTACCTGTCACAGATTCTGATCTGGAATGCTCTTCACTGTCTGAATCCTCCAGCAGGTCATCACTGAAAGAAAGTGCATGAATGACACTATGTACACTGTTGCTGCATTCTTAATTAAATAAATAAAAATAAAAAAGTACTGTGTATTATAACTTGGCATTTATTTTAGTCAGCATTGTAAGCACTGTACATCCATTGATAACCTGGTCATTGACACTAATAGTACAAAGACATTTTTACTCCACCACCAAACCAGTAGGCCAGCTTTTCATTTGCCTCATTCTAATACTGTATTCCCAAAAATTCAGATACAAATGGAATTAAAATGAAAGCCTGTTCTCAGGAATCTTTGCAAGAATAACAAAGCCAAACAAACAAAACCTCTGAAAACTGATAACACCTTCTTCAGAGTTCCTCAACATAGTCTCTGAAAAGTGGAGCTGCCAGGCTGCTCTTTTATTCTACCAAGGTAATTTTGTAGCTAATACAGAAGTGTGTTGAGAAGTGTCTTGCTTTTAAGAATACTACCAGATGAATCATTTTTTCAGAACAGCAGATTCTTTTCAAGACACCTCTTCAAGAGAAACAGGCCCTGCACAGTTTTAAGAATATACCAAGATCTCACACAGCTGGCTTTTCCAATGTAAGAAACAATTTCCTATTACAGGCTCTTTACATATAGGAAGATCTTTGCAGCTTCAGGAGTAACTACTCACTGGAGTACTAAGCTTGATTTCCAAAATTCAACAACTTCCTCCTCACACCAAAAAAAATGGATATTTTTTGGCTCAAAACTGATTAACCTTCACTTCATGACAAGGCAGCAACAGTTCAATACTTTGATTTTCATTCACCTTCCCCTTGAGTGGGAAGGTGATAGTAAATTTCACACTGGCTAAGTGAAGTGAAAGATGCTTAGTTCTGAGCAGTATGACTGTACTGTCTGCACTATTCTTTAACCAGCTTTTCAAAATGTCTTAATTTTTTTAACTGTCAAGGAGTTTACAGCCCTAAAAGTCTAGGCCTCGGCAGCTCTTAGGCCCCCAACATTCTAATGTTGCCCACATTTCCACATACCCTTTTCAGAAGGATAAGCTTCATATTTGCTCTGCAGTACTGTAGGAATCACACCAAGCTTAAACCCAAAGATTTACTTTCCTGCGCACACGGAATACAATTACTCTCCGTGATGCTGAAGAAACATCCAGAAAACTAGCAAGACTTCCCAGACACCTTTTGTCTTGAGTTTTACAGAAAATATTCACCCTTTTGTTTGAGCTTTGGTAATAGGAGAAAGGAGTTTCCAGGCACAGACTGTAAGAAGCATAAATGAAAGAATACTGCTTTTTCTCACATGACACTTTCTAAACACCAGCACACCCTTCTAGCTTACGTAAAAGCTTGCAACAGGACTGTCTAATTGCTTAAAGTCTGCATGCATGTGGTAAACGCAGAAAATGAAAGCAATTCCTAGCAAATCCACATAATTAATTTTCAGAATGACATAACCAGACATGGAGAAAAAAATCAGAGAATGACATGTTCCAGAAATTCATGGGTAGCTTTTACTTTCAAAATCCAAAATGCGTAATCCATGAGTAAAATCAAAAGCTGTTCCAAAACTTACATTCCTTTCTCTTTTTTTCTCTGCCTATGGAACATCAGCACAGGCAGCAATGAGATTTGGTATCTCTGTTAGTGGTGTATGAAAACTGAAACAGCAGGAATAAAATGGAACTGACTTTAAAGATAGAAATTTAGATTACTGGGTCTTAAGTGTTGAATTGTGTACATAATCACAGTGGTTAAAAAAAATTATCTCCAAGAAAATAAATCTTACCCATCTTAGGTTTCACAAAGCATTGACTTAACTGAACAGCATTTACCACTTACACAGCAACATTCCATATTTCTCATTTTGTAGATCAGCATACCTGTCTCCTTCTAATTTTGGTATATCTGAACAACTAGATGAATCTTCTAGCCATGCTAGTGTTGGTCTCCTTGAGTCAACCCCTGAGCTCTGTTCTCCTGATAACATAAGTTGCTGCACAATAGCTGGATCATATGCATTGATCTCAAATTTTAAGTGGACCTGAGAAATAACAACAACAAAAAAAAACAAAACATAAGAGGTCTTTGATTTGAATCAAGATACGCTTAGTCAGTAATTAGTTAATAAAAACTGGTTTATATTGTGTACCTTCATAAGTTTGGAAACATCCCATATACAGATCTTTCCTCGTTTTGTTGCAGCAGCTAGAAAATGAGGGCAACTTCCAGATCCAAAACAGGCTATTCTGTCAGTGCCATCTGTGCAGGGAAACTGTGCTGGACTTGTTGCCAGTGTGACTGAAAGAGGTACATTCTGAGTGTGCTCACCCTTGACAAATGGGCAGTTTGGGGAATGTCTCTCATGTTCAGACCTTTAATGTTAAAAACAAACACAGCAAACATTGACTTCTTACTGTGAACTTACTGTGAAAAATACACACATCATATATAAACTCAGCCCTTGAAGCAAAGCTGAAACTGAACTGCTTGAACCTCTCTACTGTAGTGACAGGACAAGGGGTAACGGGTTAAAACTTAAACAGGGGAGGTTTAGATTGGATATAAGGAGGAAGTTCTTTACTGTTAGGGTGGTGAGGCACTGGAATGGGTTACCCAGGGAGGCTGTGAATGCTCCATCCCTGGCAGTGTTCCAAGACCAGGTTGGACAAAGCCTTGGGTGAGATGGTTTAGTGTGAGGTGTCCCTGCCCGTGGCAGGGGGGGTGGAACTAGATCTTGAGGTCCTTTCCAACCCTAACTATTCTACGATTCTATGATTCCGCATTCAACCATACAAGAGAGCTCTGAAGCTACTAACACAGCTTTCCCTGCTGTTTCTCAATAGCACAACTGTATTAAAGCCTTTAATCGCTTAATGGATATTGATATTCAAATGGGATAAGTCTACACACAGTGCTCTTACTACATTTAGTCCATTTAAAAATATCATTGTTCTGTAGGCAGGAGCCCATCATGGACTTGTGAAAAAAAGTCCGGATTAAATTCTACAGAACATACATTAGAATTCCAATGTTATGAGATACCAACCCTGGAAACATTCAAGGCTAGATTACACAGGGCTCTGAGCAACCTGGTCTAGCTGAAGATGGCCCTGCTCATTGCAGGGGTTGGACTAGATAACCTCTAAAGATCCCTTCCAACCCAAACCATTCTGTGATTCTATGATATTACATGATTATGTTACCTTACTAAGACACAGCAATGTCCTGTCTTTAGCTCTACATTCACACTTAGAAAAATCAAAACTGAAAACAGTCCTGAATGACAAATTGGCCAAGAAACATGAAAAAACCTTCTTATCTCAATATATGTCTAAGGTAGAGACATGGCAAAGCAATTACAGTACTACAAAATGTCTGGAAACTAATGAGGGAAAGGAGAAGACAAGACTAAGACTATTACAAAGGAATGTTTCCAGCAAGTCAAGAATAAGGCATATTCAAATAACGATTATAAATTACTAGATAATAAAGACAAAAAAAGTACATTAAGAACCCTGATAAAATCACTGTAAGGCACTGCATTTCACTGCACGGTGATAACCATGTGCAATTTTAGCTGATTCATGGAACTAATAACGAATCATGCAAATTCACATAAAAAGCAAACATGCACTGCATGGCAACTGAAGTTTAAGAATGTAAAGACGTGTTCTAGTCACAATGATAAAAAGATTTAATTTAGATCCCTGTAAAGAAATGTTGTCTGCCATGGAACATCTTGAACATCTTTGCCATAGAACAATTTGTAATGAAATAGCAAATTAGAATCAAGAAATAAAACTAACTACAATGGGCTTGACTTAATATTATACAAAACTTAGACACAGTAAAGGGAATTATTTTGTGATTTGTCCCATGGAATCATTATGGAAATCCATTTTTGTCAGCGATGCTCCCTAAACTCAGCAGAATTCCCATTAAGATAATGGCGATCTTTGTCCTCCAAACATTTCTAACCCCTCCATCACAAAATTAAGTCTGCTCTAAACATCATTAAACTTACCAAGGTTCATCTGTAGGCTCCCAACACACCAAACATACACTACAGGTAAAACACATGGCTCTGTCATCTCCTGATGAAGCAGGCTGTAAAATATGAAGAAACACTTGAAATGTATATAGGTATATATTACAAAACACTTGAACCAGGTGATCAAGTCACCTTCTAGTGGCATAGCAAAGCACCACATTAGAAGTATACAAGGTCACAAATTAGCAACTATAAAGGGGCAGAATTTAACTTTTTAAAATACAGAAATAAATAAACCACATTACTACAGAAGAGACTCAGAACCAACACATGTACAAGCCCCTTGCTAAAACCTCACAGATCAGAACAAAACGCCATCACTGGTAAGACTTTCTTTTATTTGGAAGAATTTCACAGGGCTCAAAAATGAAAAGCCACTGCATGCTTGGATAAACACAGGTTAAACAAGTATTTCTTACTATGCCCTCAATCTGCTGGAATATAAAGCATTCTATACCACTTCTCTGCAAACGACAGTTGCTACTTGCTGAAGTGACACAGAAAAAGAACAGAAATTTCAGTTTTCTTAAAATCTAGCATTTTCCTGATCACATCTCAAGTAACAGATACGCTTGGGAATACACAGATGCAATTCTAACATAGAAGTTCCCTGCATTTTTGCTCCCAAACAAGCTTAAGGAATTCTCCAAAAACTTTCTCCACTTGCACTTATGAGGATTTGCAGTTAACATGAGGCAATGTCAGCTATTATTATTTAAATCCATAAGATAAATAAATCTTTATAGTAGAAATAATTTCAAAGAAGGAAAAGTAAGCAAAAGTAGTGGAATGAAATGTTGAACTTATTCACTAAATTTAATAATTTAGTAATATGATCTAGGACTGTTATTAAAATACAGCGTAAGTCCCACTAGGAAAGTACGGTTAAAGAATTCTGATGTCAAGCTTATCGCTTTTTTGCTTTACTTATAATACCTGTAAAAGATAAATATATTTAGTCAATAGTCTAACAAGGAGAGAGACTCTATGTAACAGACAACTTGATCGTTATTACTGTTAACACAGATCAATTTAATACTTAGAAGTGTTTTATACGCTGAAGTTCAGAACAATATTTTCTGTGATTTGTAAAAAGGAAGCAACCTCTAGGCATAGAAAAAACATGAAACTTTTTCACCTGCTCCCCAAACCCTCATCTAGAAAACAAATACTACTAGCAACTGAACTTTTTTACCTGGTGATAGAACCCAGCTTGAGCCATAGGATCTGGCTGTGCCCACCTATAACCCACATGAGGCCATGAAGTGAATGTCTCCCGTCTGTTAGCTTCACTATACATCAAAGACCTATAAACGCAAAAAATGCTACATTATCTAAAACTGCCACTTAGGATAGGAAAAAAAGTAAAGTAGTTAACATGTATTTTCAATGTTTTAGAAATACCACAGACTGTTAAGGATGACAACTTGTAAGTACAAGTTGTAACTACTACAGAAATGTTACAAAGTTCTTTCACAGAGGTGCCTAAAGTACATTCTCCACAAAAGACCAAAAGCAATGCAACAACTTAGAGGTCTTAAGTTCAAAATTAATAGAATAAGCTTCTAGGTAGCCTGTTTGGTCTAACTGAAGAGAAGCATCAGATATACGAATCTACTCTGCATTTACTGAAGATGAAGAATCTATCCCAATAGAACTGCTAGAGAGATGTTGGTTTGTTTCCTTTTTAACATGACAACTATTGTAAAAATTTGGCATTATTAGTTGAACAGATATGAATATGCATACTTGAAAACACTCCAAAGTAGTATTTTAGGCTTAAATACATGGCACCAACCCCACAAAATTTGTCAATCACTGACAGTGTAATACTTAAAAATTATAAACTACATCACAAGATATGAATTCCTCTGCAGCTCAACCTCTACAGAGGAAAGAAGCACCTCTTTTCCACCTTTACTCAGAGCATGTCCCTCATCTGAAATAGTACATAAGAAACAAATATCAGCTTTTCCTTCTCCTTCATGGAAGTTTTTTCTCCAGTATCATCCCAAGAACTAGTGCTGCTAGATAGAAAAGTTCCTCACTTCTTGGTTTCTAACAGTTTCAGAAGATTTTTTTTCTGTCTTATAAGAGAATGGATATATTAAACATTTCCTACCAAGGAGGTAAACTAGTCCTGCAACACCCCCCTAAGGGCTGTGCTGACTTGGCATTATACCATTTTGGAAATCTTTAATAAAAAATGGAAATTTTAATCAAAAACCTTTGGAAAGCTTTAAAGAAAAATACAATACAGCAAGGTACAGAGTTGGGGAGCGGAAATACGAGACGAAATTAAATCGTATCAATTTTTTTGATGTAAGAAATGATAATAAGCTTACAAAATAATATTTCTATAGAAATGTACTAGATGGAATTACAGACTTAGAAGATTTATCAGTATTCTAACTAGTCTCTGCATATGTAGACTAAAATAACGGGTTACTCACTTGTGTGCACATTATTATTTGGATCAGAAAGAGATGAACCAACAGTCTGAGGCAAAATTTTCTGACCCCAAACACACAGCAGCTGACTAGAGAGTTCACATGCTGCAAAGGTAATAACTTCCTAAACTTCTAAACCACAAAACATAGGCATAACCCTTTCTTATATGAAGGAACTGATTTCATCTTGCAGCATAGTATGTAGGCTTTATCTTTGGTAGACAAATGAGTGCTGTCTTTGCATTCAAAGAAGCATACATATCCTCTTAAAGCTATGCAGTTTCTGAACATGTCAACATGGCAGTGTCAGTAAGGTCTAAAGCTGTAACGTAATAAACTAGTCATACACGCTTCAGATAAAGCCCATAATCAAACATGTTGAAAAGTAAAGCCTCAGTGAGCATATCACATTAACGTGCTACAATACCACCTAGGGATCTGTATTTAGGGCTGCAATTGTTACCTTTTTGAAAGTATGTGTTGGGATTAAGAGAAAAGTGAGCTCAATTAGCCTGGCAATGAAGTTAGAAACCAAATGAACTCTTGCGGCACCCATAAGGGTTTCTTTTAAGTTTAGTGATACGTTCAGTGCAATGTGCACTAAACAACAGTTAATTACTGGTATGTGCAAGAGGAAGAAAACACAGAATAGGACTAATTCCTCTGGCAGATAACATCACCTCTAAGAGCTTACTCTGATATAACTAAGGGGTTAAATTCATCACTTATTTTGTCTTAATATACCTGTCCACAGATCGACCGGGTCCCACACCAAGTTCTGGTCGAGCACTGGGTAAGAGGTAAGATAACCTATCCATCACAGAGGATGCTACAGGTAAGGCAGCAATATTTTGATTTATCTTCTTGAGTTCATTTACAATGGCACTGGCGACAGACTTTAAAACATGATGAGGAAGGTGGAAAGTAACTGTTGCCCACTAAAACAAGAATAAAAAGCACCTAGTTTATATTTTAAAGTTTTAACATCTAAAATCAAACAGATCACAGAAGTGTCAAAGGCAAAAACAAATGCACACCTTGAACCTTCTCTTAAGATGTACAAGAACAGACACACAAAAGCTAAAGAAAATAATGCAAGTAAAGTCAGTAACTCCAGATTTTAAGCTCAGTTCAGTTTATTATTTGGATTTATCATCAAGAAATTAACCTTGTCTGTTCCCTTAACAAGTGAAAATTCACACTAAGGAACACATAATACATTCTATCCTCTTAAAAAAAAATCCACCACACCAAGTCAAGCATTTTGTATGCTTCAATGACAGCCAAACAAATTAGACTTGGAAATCCATGCTAGACAGTACAGAGACAAATTCTTACCTTTGCAACTTTATGATTTGCTGCTGTTTCATGTGAGGTATTTTTTAAACCATCCTTCAGTTGTGTAATGAATAAGTCATATCCCTCTGTACTAGAAACATCTACTTTTTCTATGCAAGCAGATAACAGCTGCTGAGCCTAAAATGCAGATGAGCAAGAGAAGTCAGCATATACACTGAATAACTACAGACAAGAATTACACCTGTTCCATTACTCTGGGAAATTTAATTTGGCATAACCTACTTTACCATATACTATATCAGTGTAATTCACATAAAAGACCCCGAGTTGAATAAGCAGTTCCAAACTTTACTTTGTAGGCCAACTAAGAGATAAACTTCAGCAACAGTGACAGTAATTACAAGAAGATCCCTCAAGGGCAGTATTGCCAAATGTTAAACTTGTCAGTCATATAAACAATTAAAACACAACATACATTAAAGCCAAGCAAAAAAAGTGACATCTATTGCCCAATGCTTTCCCTTCGAAAGGATTAATTCAGCTTTAGGGACAAACAGTGAGAGCAAGAACAAAGCCTTGGTATTTCTGAGTAGCTTTGGATCTTAAAAATAGTAAATGATAATGAAAGAACAACACTACGACAAAATTAGAGATAAATTACTTACAGTGCTAGCATAATGAAGCTGAAAAGTTAGACAAGAAAAAAAGGGCTAGTTCAGGATCCTGAAATTCTTAAAACTCACAAATAAGGCGTCTAGACAAGAACATATATAGACTTATTTTCTTCCAAGTTCCATTTGTTTCTAGCTTGTCTGCTAACTTCACATTGCCAGGTAAGATTTAAAGGTACACTTTATATGCAAAGCATAGAGCATTCTGTATCTGTTGTTAGGTGGGCTAACATCTGAAAAATGTTACATGAAACCTTTCAAGTTACAAACGCCAAGAAGTATTTCCCAAGGGCAATGGCCACTTGGTTACACCCTTGTCCTTGGGGAGTTCAGGGAAGACAAACAGAAATAAGATCAACCTGTCCCCTAGCTAAGGCTGTATCCACTTCTCAGATTTCAATATAAAGACAATTACAATTTTTGTGACATCTCATACTTCTCAAGTCTCTTGCAGATGACAGAAGAAAAACAGATAAGTTTGTGGAAGTTCATAAATTTACAGTGTTCTATGGGGAAGTAAAAACAGCATAAAGCCTGCATCATAACTTGTTAATGCTGCCAATTCAAAATGCCTCAAGATGCACTGCATTACCAGCAGATCAATCATACAAAAAGACTACTTAAGTGCAAAAATTTGCAGAGAAGTTGTAGAGACTAACAAAATATAAAAGGTGGACTGAGGCATTTGTGTAATACTTGCTTCATATTTGCTAAAATTCTCTGAGGTCTGGCTACCTCCTGTTTAAAATTAAAAGTAAGAACTGAAGACTGCAAATGTTCTTCATACCACCTCACTGATTTGGCCATGCACTCCCCAGATCTGTTCCTACTGAACTACAGTATTTTCATTCCCCGTGCCCCTCTCCCTTGGAAGGACCTTTTCAGAGAAGTGCTCTATTTTAACCTTGAGATAATGGTGTGTAAACTCTTTAGAACCTAAGAATCTTTACGTAAAACTGACACAAACTTACATTAGACTGCAAATCAGTGACACCAAAACTTCCAAAAGGAAATGCTGACTTCTCTCAGTCCCTTCACACTTGGCCATACACACCAAGATTTAGTAGTTACCCGCAAAGGGTGTAAAAATTATGTCAGTGACAGAGAGCTTGAGGAACCTGGAAAGCTCTCTTCGGAGACCGCTATGAAGCAACATTTTATTGCTGTTACTCCTACTCAAGATAAGTAGTTAAAAACCTCATATATGACACATATTCTTGGTTCATAATAAGCACCTACTATTCAATACTCCCAGAGCACATATTTTAAACTGACACCGAAGGTAAACCGATGCAACAAAATCTAAAGCACTACACCCCAAGCAAAAACATGTACACTGGACTCTCTTAATCGATAGCAAGTCCTTGCTTATATTGTCTCAAATCAGAAGCAATCACATTACAGCTGCAATAGTCCAAACATAAAAGGGAGGCCAGGTTTGCAGAGACAAAAAGTTTTCAATTAGGCCAACTGACCCAGCTAGAAAAGTTAGATTCCAGCATTAATTCTTCACGTGTAGCAACATCATATTACCTAATTTTATTTACCTTTTTTCCCACCTGAAAGCCTAAAACAATCAAACACCTCAAGGATGCTTCGCAGCCCAGACTGACTTTGTAAGTGCACACAGATTCCATACATAGCTCTGGAAATGAGTCTTGATTTCTGGTCACTAAAAAGTTCTTTCATCTGAAATAATGTACTAGTGATTCTAGTAAGCTCTTACTTGCCAGAGATACAGGTACTGCAAAGAGCTATTGCCCTATGAGAGGTAATAACAACTTTTCCATTACATGCTGTTAATATCACACTAGAAACCTAGGGTCAAATGTCTGGTTTCAGTATTTCTGACAGCATTATTTACATACTCTTTTTCCCCCCTTCCCCATACATCTTACCTCTGTAACCGGCAATTCAAGCTGAACCACATCATCTTGTTTTGAAACAGGTGTTTGCAGAGCTGTGTCTAACAGTAAGATGCCATTGAGATCTTTCCTACATCCTACTGCATAATCATCCACAAAGATCACTTTATCCACAGCAGAAATATACTGACATTTCACCCGTCCACCTGGTTTAGCTAGAAAGGGAAAGGCAAAAAGCAAAATCTGATTAGAAAACAGCGTTTAAAAAAGACCTTTAACATCTGTTCCAGAAATTAATGTAGTATTTCAACAAAATCTTTACTTGAGTGATCAAAACCCAGCATTTTAGGTACTACACCTTTCACCTAACTTTATATTTCCTACATTAAAAACCAAACATCCAAAATTTACATATCCCATCAATAACTACAACTATTTTATTCCCATAATGGAAGCCATCATTCAAGTCCTGCTCCTACCAGGAAGCCTAAACTAGTGTTTTCAAGCCTAATGTAGATGCCTGGTGTACTTGATGTTAGCTGACAACCAAGAACAAGAATTAAATTCCACAAATCGGCATGAAAATTATACCAAAATTGCTAAACTACCATTAAGGCTGATTAACACCATTTCATTCATCAAAACAACACTCAAAACCTAAGTATAGCATATAACATGTGCCAATGCTACACGTTCCTTCAGACACTAATGTAGCTTATTTCTGTCCAGCACCACACACAGGATGTCAGCAATAGGTTAGAGGAGTTTGGTGGAGGTGAAGGAAGACTGGCAGCAAGTAAGACTGGCAATGGATATTATCCCCAGAGATTTTTAATATCGCTCATTGTTACATGTCTAAGGCTGGATGGATTGTAAAACTAAATCCATGTAATATGCTACCTGTGTAGAAGGCAAATTGCTTTAATTCATGGGAAGTTTAAGTTGGTGCTACAGAATCTGACTATATGTATGCCTTAAGTAGATGAACACATCATCCAAAGCACAAAGCTGGAATCACTGGATCATCAACACAGATCTCTTTTTGTTGCACAGCAACAGAAGTTTCATTAAATTTTGCATTAATTGAGTCCCTGTTCTCCCCTTTCTGCAGGCACTGGATACTGGTTTTATTATGAATAATTAAAAATCACCATTAAGGTAGCTACCATACAGATAAAGCATCCAGATAAAGACAGCCACTTAAATCTGTCATCTTCACACTTTGATATATTTAAGTGGAAATTATAACTTCTCCAAATATAGGGCATATCAATCTGACTACACTGCACTTGTGGTATCCTCTCTTGAAAACTCAGATCAAGAATAGTTGTCAGCTGCCCTTCTCACCAAAAGTCTGGAAACAGTGACTCACAGACTCTCAAAATATGACACATAAGCCCTTGCCTGCATGAAGTATGCTGCGATTGTAATCATTGCTATAAATGTTTCCAACTTTTTTCAGAAGCACTTCAAGAGCCCTGGAATCACTTGATAGCTGTCAAGTCATTAGCCCTAGCTTAACATAAAAAGGTCCTCTGAATGGCAAATCTAGTAGTTTCAAACTGGTTTTTTGCCAATACATTGGAGTTCCTCACACAAGACTTTCTACAGACAACACAGCAGCAACAAGGAAGTAAGCCATTCTACAGAAAGGGAAAAAAAACCAAAACCAACAACACCCCCCCCCCCCAAACCCCAACAGTTTTAATAAAAAAAAAATCAAACACAATTTTTAACACTTTTAAAAGTATTACTTTCAACAATGTTCAGAAAACCCATTTCAAGATGGATCTACTACTAGTCACAAACTAGTTCACAGGTGGCTGGCCATAAATTAGAACAATGGGTTAAGAACCAGGAAACTAAAAACTTTGTAAGTCACCACTATAGAAGAAGTCACCACTGTAGAAGAAATGCCTAAAAGAGTTTAATCACCCTCAAAGCATTGGCAGAAAGGTCCTTTCTAACTCAGGATCAACATTTTACAATGTGCCAAAGGACTCTGACCTATATCCTTTGAAAAACCTACTGGCACTACTACATTATATCCTGCCTGTCCAGCCTGGCTAAGTTTACTAGAAGCAAGTACTGATCTGCATCTTCACAAATCACAATTCAAAAGTTTCACATAAACTCACAAAATTACTCAACCCAGATCATCAAAACCCAACTCTATTCTCATTTTAGTCCAAATTCCTTCAGCTGTCATTTATGGAAGGTGAAATAGACATTTCAAGGTTTTAAGAATTTTGCTTTTCAATCTTGACACAAGTGAATCATGGCTTCTCCCAGTATCTCCAGTTTTCTATCTAGGATTAAAACCAAAAGAACTCTCTAAGAAGCCATTAAGCCTTTGGTCAGTTCCTATAAGGAAACCCAGCAAGCTGCTAGCATGTTGAAAGTGGAAGCGCAATAGCATACTACATCATGGTATGTCATCTATAACAACCTTAGAACTAGCAACCCGAACACTTAAAAGCAAATAAACAACAGAAAAGGAACATTCCCCCTCCATCTTCTTTGACTGAACACTAAAAAACAGAGATCAGCAATTTTCTGGGATCAAAACTGACCTACAAAAAATCACACAAAATAAACTTGTTCAGAGAATATATAAGTCTAAGCAGCACCTATTGTGCCTATCTGCAGGCAGTGAGATGAACCAAACTAATTAGAGAATTGGCCTTTCATGTCAAGAATCAGAATGAAAAAGCTTGTCTCCATCTCTGATATAGATAGCTTTAGCCTCAAAGCTTTAGACCTTAAGAGGAAGTGACTCACCTGAGTATGCATGGCTACCTTCATGAAGAGATGTAGATTAATGTTGACAGTAATACTTTTGATCTTTTATAATATTGAGAAAACTTAATTCCCCTTGAAAACTGCTAGCAAGGAATGGCACTAAAACATATCACAAAGTCACTAATTCTCTTGGCAAGAAACTCCTATGCACAGAAATCAAAAACCAAAATTGTTTCTAAATCACAGAAAACTAATACTTTTATCTGCAGCTATAAAGTGACAGTTGTTAACACATGCATCACAGCACTAGTGACATAATGCTAAGATCCAAGACCAATCAAACAGCTAAAGGAACATCCATAACCTCAATCTATGAATACAACTAGGTCTTTAGATTAAGAATTAAAGTAACATTTTTGGAGAAACAGAAATCCCATCAGCTCAGCAAAACATGTACACACATTAACTGCACTGAGCCCAGTCTTTGCATTCCTAATTTAAACTAGAATATCCAAACAATACCTCAGTAGTCATTTGAAAATACTGCAACCATGGGAAGCTATATGGATAAAGTTTCAGGAAACCAAAAGCCCTACCTATCCTACTAAGTCTGTATCATTGGATTTGAACTTAAGCTATTTAAAGGCAGGAGAATCCAAAAACTCAAGTTAAGGGAGCGGTACAGCTGCAGAAGTCCTTAAAATTTACTGTAAGAATTAAAAATAAAAATTTATTCCCTCCTTCTGTTGTGAAGTGTGGGCGTAAAGCTTCAAGTTTAGGAGGCATTATCACTCCTGGTAATACGCTGTATTAAATTCTCCTTCCAGAAGCCAAATCAGCAGACAACAAAACCATCCTTTCAACTGGAGGCAAAAATGCTTCTTGACAGAACATTGCTCAGCTGGTTCGCACACATTTTTCAGATGTACATGGGATTAAAAAAAAAACGTATGTATCAGTTGTCCTCATTTGCTGTGAGGCAGGTGCCTTTCCTAATTGCTACCCAAGTAGCATATAATAAGATATGCCAAGGCAAGCATATCAGAACCCTTACAGTTTGAGGAAGTTCTACAGTACAAATAATAATAATAAAAAAAATGTTTTAAGCTTTAACTTGCTGGTTTAACTCGCTATATTTTCAGGAAACTATTCTGAACTAGTACTATACAAAATCACTACTATAGATTAGTTGCAATGGGTAGTATTTTTACACAAAAGAGGACAAAAAGCAAACTACTGCAAGTTTGGTTTAAAAAGGAGAAAGATGTATTTAAATTGTTTTAAATCAGTGGCTCCCAAAGGAAACCAAGACACAGCGGTTATGAGCATCTGGGAACATAGTAATGAAAAGACCCCTAAGGGATGACGAAACCAAGCCATCAGTGCCCATCATTACTGAATTTATCCATTATAGATTCTCTCTTGGTCCTCCTCACCTACATCTTCAGTGGGAACTCCAGCAGTGCACTTTTATCTTCCAGGTCCAGTCGCCTAGGCCTAGCCCCTTATTTGCTCTAGACATCACCTCAGCAGAGCAGCCACCGTGAAGCCCGTAGGTCCCTCCTTTCCAAAAGAAAAGGATTCTCCAACTTGAGGAAAACATTCTCCTAAACAGCAAGGATAACAGAGGAGGCAGAAACACCCAGCTTAACATCACAAAGTGCCTTCAGACTCTCTTGTTTGCCAAAACTGGATTTAGGTAATCCAGAATGTCATCTACAGTTTATCTTTTCCTTTAGCAACAAACAGGACAGAATTGCGTCAGCAGCAGTTCATTATATGATAGCTGGTTTTAACAATCTTCATTAGAGTAAGAAGATGTGTTATCTGGGACAAAGCATTGGAGACTGACACATGAATATTAACTCGATGTGTCTGATCACGCAACTACTAACAAAAGCTAACATTAACACTTAAAAGGTTTCACAACATAAACAAAACCCCACTGAGATCAAGGCAGTTCATATCTGACTAGCTTTGCAAGCATAGGCTTCTCTTCCACTCTCCAGACTTCAACTGAGACTAAATCAGCAGGAAGACACTGGTGAGCTCTTTGTGCCCACGCTCTTCATGTGGTTTCACATCTCCATGTATCTAACATTACTGCTGCCTTGTATGTCACACAGAATGCAACTGCTCACAGAGCTTTATACGATTATGCTGAGAACAGATTATGAATATTTCACAAGGTACACTACAGTCCTGTCTGCCAACTCAGGTAAGTTCTGAAAACTCATGTCCATGCAATTCTCCTGCAAAAATCTCACAGAGAGCAGTGTCTTCTTCAAAACTTTCCACAAAGTGAAAAAGTATGATTAAAATTTTCAGGAAAGCTGTCTTTCACAAAGTGCAGACAGAAATTACACAGCAGCTACCCAGAACCAGAGACAGGCAAGGAATACTTCACAGCTCAGGAACAGGAACTTCCCGTTCCACAAGAGCAACTCCCATTGCAGCATTTCAGAACAAAGAG